GATCGCTGTTTGCTGTTAATTTCAGGAAAAGCCTGTCTCACAACTTACACGTGTGGACCTTTTGGCACTCAACTCTACCATCATCAAGCGCCTTGACGACCAGCGCAAGCGATCACAAACCTGACGCCTGGTACAATTGAACAACAAAGTGAGTTTAGCACACAACAGAGGGGTGTCAGTCTACAAACTGTTACATGCTGTAGAAGATCCCACATTGGGAGGAAGACATTGCCATTCAGCAAGATACTTGAAGATGCCGATACACGTAATGAGATAAAGGAAAATATGCCAGTCAATATTTTGTACATTCTGTTTTGTGCCTCACGTGTAGGTGACAGTGTGTTTGAGTGTATGTATGTGTGTGTGCGTGCATGCATGCATGTGTTTGTTTTGGGTGACTATGTGTGTGTGTGTGTGTTCGCGCGCGAGGGTACGCATATATTTTACGATCCATGCTTTTGTTTTTGACTTGATATTCATAGTATGCATATTATTACATGAACATAACATGCTTTATTAATGAAATACAACTGCTGTGTGAAAGATGAGAGTTTGGAAGGGCCGATTGTAAGACAGGCCTGCATGCCTAATTTGTAACCCTTTGAAAATAAAGTTCGTTCGTTCGTTCGTTCCTTTATTTAAATCCCCTAAATTTTTTTCATATTTATAATGTAAATACTTTCTGAATTTCTCATACATTCCAGTATGGATGATGGTAATAGTCAGTTCGAACATGAGGATGCCAGACATGAGGAGGGAGGGAGCTGGAGGTTATACAGCAAAAGGATGGACAATGACCTTCTCCCCAAAAGTTCTTTAACCAGAGGAATTCATATCACTGAGTTTCCAGAGAGCCGGGTCAACCCCACACCTCTTTTTTTTGAAGAGTCAGATATTTTGTTGGAGCAGTATCTGAGTCCAGGAAAACTAGTGAGTATTAACACATTAATAGGTATTGCTTGGTGCTAACAGAGCAGTGTAGAAGATAAGTAGAAAGAATGAAATGATGGAGAATACAGACTTAGCATTTTCAGTTGAAATGTGTATAAGTGAGGTTTACTCCACACAGTGGACAGAAGAAGTGTTTCTGTTTTATACATTTTACTTTTATTTATTATAAAAAAGGACCTTGATTAAGTGAAATGGGAAAATCCTATACAGATTAGCAGAGTTGATATTTGTATTCATATATTTGCCTAATTCCTTTCTGAATTTTTTTTTTTTTTTTCAATTCCTGATGAAAGTTTTGCATCCGCAGAATGCATACTGTCACTTCTGTTGTGTAAAGTTGACTTCATCCACTTTCGATTCATTCATTATATATTTAAAATGCTTTCATAGATATGGGTACGTACAGATTTATGACAGTTATATGCGTTGCATTTGTGTTCATATAGCAACTTTTGGCTGGAGCTGATGACTTAAAAACTGTTGAGTCCTTGAACCTGAAAGTAGATTCCAGGGAAACAAGTCTGGGAAACTTTGGATCACTTCTGCCAAACCTGATGGAACTTAACCTCAATGGAAGTCATATTTCTTGCATGCGGTAGGACTGATATATCTACGTTTCATCTTTATTCTTTATTTCTTCCATAATCTGGCCTGTCACTCAGTTGTCTGTCTCCTCACTGTACTCTGTAAAATCTTTTTATTCTTTGGCATCATTCAGTTACTGCCATTTTTTTTTAAACCCCACATATAGAAACAGTTTAAGAGTTTTCAATATTTCTTGCTGTAAACAGTCAAAGCAGTCTATTTTACCCTGTGAGTTCTGGGTCTCGATTATGGGATGGGGGGAGGAGGAGAGAATAGACCCACTGCCCCCTAACAAGAACGTTGTAAAATTCGACAAGCAGGCAAGGAACCAACAATCTGCATACAAATAAACCTGGTCTGTAAAAACAGATGTGCACACAAAACTCGCTCTCATCACAGTCTGCCTAAAAGAAACTCAAGTCTCTCACCAGTTTTCCCGCCTCATGAACTTTCATACTCAAGAAGTCACTTATATCCTGTGCCCATCTTCATGTCGGTCGGCCCCTGCCCCTCCTTCCTGGTACCATGCCTTCTGCTATAATTTTTTCCAATCTGTCGTGGCGCTTGATATAACCAAAATATGACAGCTTCTGAGACAGGATGCTGTTTATTAGCCAATCTTCCTTGATGTTCAGATCTTTCAAGATGTCAGTATTTCTTCTCTTCTTTGTCTAAGATATTCTGAGAATCTTTCTATAGCATTTCAGCTCAAAAGCCCCTATTCTCTTTCTTAAGGACTGAGAGATAGTCCACGAGTCACATCCATATGTAGCCACAGGGAAGATGCATGCTCTCAAAATTCTAATTTTGATCTCCTTGCTGGTGCTTAACCATAGACTTTTAAGGCTGTGATGGATATATAGCTAGCACAATATACCCATTATGCTTCAAGCTGTAAGGGAAGGAGTCTCCTACTGTACACAGTCAATTAATCATGCTGTTATAGCCATATTAATGACTCCTCTAAAGTAAACAAAGTAATACCGCCCAGCATAAAGTATTAAAATCATTATATTACAGCCATATTCTTTGTGTATGACTTAAAGGCTAGTGAATGTGGTTAACAGTTTCATGATGCTCGAGTACTAGGGCTCATTCTCCACAAAGGACGGTGGAAAAAAATCATTTTCGGAGTTTTCTGACAGTAGTACGAGAGTTGCACTGTGGAAGAGATTGGGACCTCTCCAGGTAACATTCACAGAGATGACAATGGTTGACTGTAGCCAAGCTTCAATGTGGAAACAGCACATAATGTTTGTTTTTTTATTTCTCAGTATAAAGTCCAGAAATCTAGTTTTTTTTTCCTCAGTATTAAGTCCAGAAATCTTGTTTTTATTTCTCAGTATAAAGTCCAGAAATCTTGTTTTTATTTCTCAGTATAAAGTTCAGAAATCTTGTTTTTATTTCTCAGTATAAAGTTCAGAAATCTTGTTTTTATTTCTCAGTATAAGGAAATCTTGTTTTTTATTTTCCAGAAAAGTCAGAAAATCTTGTTTTTATTTCTCAGTATAAAGTTCAGAAATCTTGTTTTTATTTCTCAGTATAAGGGCCAGAAATCTTTTATTGACATCCATGTTATTGCCACATGAATAGTTAAAAAATCATTATAGCTGTCGTACTGTCGTACTCAACAAGTCAAGCTATTAGTGACGTATAGTTGAACTCTGTAAAGTCAATAAACAGTATTATTACGGCTGTATGATTTTCCCTGTATCAGTAACTGGCCCATAAGATGCTCTCAGATACAGTTGTTACAGGCTGAATAGTCATTCTGTGATCAAGTGCCAAAGAAATTATATTTACTAAGCCATCAAATGAGTTTTATAGGGTTTTGATTTTGACCTCAACTTCTCAATTTTCAAGAGACTTAGGGTCATCATTAAGAAAGCTCCGAGTTCTGTGGATGGCACGATGTGGGCTGGAAGAGCTGGATGGTATCTCAGCATTGTCAGAACTGAAAGAACTTTACCTGGAGTATAATGAGATCTCTGATGTCAGTCCACTGTCGATGCTGGAGCGTCTGGAAGTGCTTGATCTGGAGGGGTAAGTGTCTGAGCTGGTGAATTGTCTAGGTGACTGAATTTTAGCGTTTGAATTTTTCAGTCTCAAACAATGTGTGATGTTTGTTTTTGCTCATCTTATTCAGTCACAAACATGACAAAATATGAGGTGAAGTCAATAAGTAAGTCACAAATGGTTATGGGATGGCAGAAAAATATAGTTGATGGTTTCTAAAGGTGGCATTAGGTGATATCAACATCAAACTTTATGTCTCCATTTTGGTAGGTGGCGCTAGGTGTTAGATGCGCATTTGCAACACAGAAACAGAATGGTGACTGTACTAAGGGAGTGTATGCTCAAAGAACAACGTGTTGTTGTGCATTTGGTTATTGTTGGAGATTTGGGGCAGGGATGGGCAAAATGGCCGCCTGCAAAGGACATTCTTAAGGAAGTGCTTCTTGTTTGTGCTTACAAATGTTTATGCCATAAAGCGGTGCAAGTTGGATGACCCTTTGACTTGCTGTATTTATAATAAATTTAGTACTGGTTTTGTGCCGACTTCTTCTCTTGTGACTTTTTTTCCTGATTTTGTTTCTTTTGGTCACTCCTGCAGCCTTTCTTATGGCTCTTAATTTTTGAGGGACTGAAAAAGTTAAATCCAAAGCTTTGGTTTTCAGGACGCAAAGCACTAAAAGCTATGAATAAATCTTAAAAAAATTATTTACCAAAAAAAAAGGCAAACAGGCAAACAACCCAATCTTCCTTGGTGAAATATCATTTCAAGATGTGGAGCTATACACCAGTCTAGGCAAAAATGTAGACACAGATATAAAAACAAGAACACTTCTGCATTTTCTTTTAAAAGGGCTGTTAGCCCACTGTGTTGTGGTTAACAGCTAGGCTGTGATTTCTGCACTTTTTTTTTACCCAAGTCTTCTAATTTCAGCAAACTTCTTATCAGTCACCTTTTATGATAGGGGGGGGGGGGGGGGGGGGGGGGGGGTATTAACCTGGTTTTTTGTTTGTTTCCAAAGCAGGACCAAGAATTCACACAGGGGGAAATAAGAATACAAAAGGCAAAATGTTAAGTTATAAGTCTATTTATCGTGCCAGTAAAAAACATTATAATGTAGATCTTGATAATTCCATAGCAGGTAGTGATGTTTGGGCGTAAAGTGTTAGACCCTGTTTTGTTCTTGATTGCAACATATAAGTTTGAGGTGGCCAGTACACTTCATCATGATTCAGAGAAACATTTCACCAATATGTAAAAAGTTACCAGAAAATTGTTAGAGCTGTTAAACTGGAACATCATTAAATTGCGCTATATCTTTAAGGTCAGGGTTCCTCTATAGGCCACCGAAGATAACTTATTGTATTATGACCCCATCCCCCTACCTACACACACCACATGAAGTGACATGTGACAACTTCCAAAACAGATATGTTTTTTCCAATTTCAGAAACAACATCGATGACGTCATCCAGCTTCAGTACTTGTCTCTGTGCCCAGTACTTCGCAAATTGGCCATTGATGGAAACCCAATTTGTGTGGGTCCAGTATTATCGCAGGACCAGGTAATCACTATCATCCTTTCATTCTGAGGTTAAAGTTGTCTGGCCATAATAATTTAACTGAGAGAAATGTATGGACAACCACTTGTACCATCAGTTTTAAGAAAAAGAAGATGGCAAAATATTGGATATATCTAGAGGAGAAGTGAACGTAGAATCACTAGACAGGCACTGAAATGGGAAAAATTGACTGATGAAATGAGGATGTCTGAGAGAAACCCTGAGACAAATGTTGAGAGAGGCCAAAGCTGCTGGACAGAATTCAGTTCATGATATCAAAAGAATCGCACAGGATAGACCAAGCTACAACTAAACTGTGAACTCTGTGTGACATACAACAGCACAATATGATGATGATAATGATTATTATTATTGTAATTCATTACGTCCATGTTATCGGTGTTCTTCTGCCCCCACCTGTACACCATTTTGTCAAGTGTATCAATGTCTTCTCCCCCACCTGTACACCATTTTGTCAAGTGTATCAATGTCTTCTGGCCCCACCTGTACACCACTTTGTCAAGTGTATCAATGTCTTCTCCCCCCACCTGTACACCACTTTGTCAAGTGTATCAATGTCTTCTCCCCCCACCTGTACACCACTTTGTCAAGTGTATCACTGTCTTCTGCCCCACCTGTACACCACTTTGTCAAGTGTATCAATGTCTTCTGCCCCCACCTGTACACCACTTTGTCAAGTGTATCAATGTTTTCTGCCCCACCTGTACACCACTTTGTCAAGTGTATCAATGTCTTCTGCCCCACCTGTACACCACTTTGTCAAGTGTATCAATGTCTTCTGCCCCACCTGTACACCACTTTGTCAAGTGTATCAATGTCTTCTGCCCCCACCTGTACACCACTTTGTCAAGTGTATCAATGTCTTCTCCCCCCCCCCCCACCTGTACACCACTTTGTCAAGTGTATCAATGTCTTCTGCCCCCACCTGTACACCACTTTGTCAAGTGTATCAATGTCTTCTGCCCTCACCTGTACACCATTTTGTCAAGTGTATCAATGTCTTCTGCCCCCACCTGTACACCACTTTGTCAAGTGTATCAATGTCTTCTGCCCCTACCTGTACACCACTTTGTCAAGTGTATCAATGTCTCCCCCCCCCCCACCTGTACACCACTTTGTCAAGTGTATCAATGTCTTTTGCCCCCACCTGTACACCACTTTGTCAAGTGTATCAATGTCTTCTGCCCTCACCTGTACACCACTTTGTCAAGTGTATCAATGTCCTCTTCCCCCACCTGTACACCACTTTGTCAAGTGTATCAATGTCCTCTTCCCCCACCTGTACACCACTTTGTCAAGTGTATCAATGTCTTCTGCCCTCACCTGTACACCATTTTGTCAAGTGTATCAATGTCCTCTTCCCCCACCTGTACACCACTTTGTCAAGTGTATCAATGTCTTCTGCCCCCACCTGTACACCATTTTGTCAAGTGTATCAATGTCTTCTCCCCCCCCCACCTGTACACCACTTTGTCAAGTGTATCAACGTCTTTTTCCCCACCTGTACACCACTTTATCAATGTCTTTTGCCCCCCACCTGTACACCACTTTGTCAGTGTATCAATGTCTTCTGCCCACACCTGTACACCACTTTGTCAAAGTGTATCAATGTCTTTTGCCCCCACCTGTACACCACTTTGTCAAAGTGTATCGATGTCTTCTCCTCCCACCTGTACACCACTTTGTCAAGTGTATCAATGTCTTCTGCCCTCACCTGTACACCACTTTGTCAAGTGTATCAATGTCTTCTGCCCTCACCTGTTACACCACTTTGTCAAAGTGTATCAATGTCTTCTGCCCTCACCTGTACACCCACTTTGTCAAGTGTATCAATGTCTTCTGCCCTCACCTGTACACCACTTTGTCAAGTGTATCAATGGTCTTCTGCCCACCTGTACACACACTTTGTCAAGTGTATCAATGTCTTTTGCCCCCACCTGTACACCACTTTATCAATGTCTTCTCCCCCCACCTGTACACCACTTTGTCAAGTGTATCAATGTCTTCTGCCCACACCTGTACACCACTTTGTCAAGTGTATCAATGTCTTTTGCCCCCACCTGTACACCACTTTGTCAAGTGTATCGATGTCTTCTCCTCCCACCTGTACACCACTTTGTCAAGTGTATCAATGTCTTCTGCCCTCACCTGTACACCACTTTGTCAAGTGTATCAATGTCTTCTGCCCTCACCTGTACACCACTTTGTCAAGTGTATCAATGTCTTCTGCCCCCACCTGTACACCACTTTGTCAAGTGTATCAGTGTCTTCTTTTTAGTGCAGTGGATTGATATATTTGAAAAAAATTTGAAAAGAAAAGATTCACAACTAGAAAAACATGTCTGAAAGGGAAACACTTTGAAATGGTGACTGCTGCGCTCAACTGTCCATTTTCATGAGTTGAAAAATTATTTTGAAGACATAAAAAAATGTAGCTTTTCATGGATTTAATTACAATATTGATGTTAAAGCTATATGAAACATCGTAATTTGTGACACTGAAATCAACACGAGTCAATAAGAATAATTTAGAGGGAGAGAGAGATCCACATGCATGCGTGTGCTCACACTCACACATACAGAGAGTAGACAAACATTTTTCAGTATTATTTTACATAGGCGTAAAATGTATAATAAGAATGAAAATATCACAAACAAAATCATTTCTAACCATCTCCCCCCCCCCCCCCCCCCCCCCCCCCCCCCCCCCCCCCCCCCCCCCCCCCCCCCCCCACCTCCCCTGACAGCCTGGTTACAACATTAGAGAAACAGTGAGGGAATTACTACCGAACCTTGTAATCCTCGATGATGAACGACTGGACGAAGAAACCATATCTTCCAGACATAATGTGTTTGATGAGGACTGGGCTTATCTGGAAGAGTTACAGAATGAGACTCTGTTACAGGATGTGCATTCACATCAACAAGATGAGGTTGTAGAAGATGGAGGTCAGTTCTCTTGTTTGCTAATTCAAAGTTCACTATAATAATAATGTCTTTATCAATCTGTCTGTTCTCCATGTGGGTTCCGGGGCCCCATATTTGGGGGAGAAAGATATAGACCTACTGCCTCCCTAATAAACATGTAAAAGGAACATAATTAGGGATTTTTTTTTTGCAAAATTCAAAATCTGGAAGAAGACTAAAGTCTGAAATCGGACGCAGAACTGAAACATTTTCACTGGATTTCACAGCTGGTTAATGCTAAGAAGAAGAAGAATCTGTCTATTCATCAGACTTCACTTTCTTCCTCTTGTCTGAAATTATTCCATAGACTGTCACTAAGAAGAAGAAGAATCTGTCTATACATTGGACTTTTCTTTCTCCCTCTAGTCTGAAATTATTCCATAGACTGTCACTAAGAAGAAGAAGAATCTGTCTGTTCATCAGACTTTCCTTTCTCCCTCTAGTCTGAAATTATTCCATGGACTGTCACTAAGAAGATGAAGAATCTATATAGTTAATAAGACTTTCCTTTCTTCTTCCAGTCTGAAATTATTCCATGGACTGTCACTAAGAATAAGAAGAATCATGTTTATTCATCAGACTTTACTTTCTTCTTCCAGTCTGAAATTATTTCAAGGACTGTCACTAGGAAGAAGAAGAATATGTTTATTTATCAGACTTTACTTTCTTCCTCTTGTCTGAAATTATTCCATGGACTGTCACTAGGAAGAAGAAGAATATGTCTATTCATCTGACTTTCCTTTCTTCCTCTACTCTGAAATTATTACACTGAACTATGAGTAAAAAGCCTAATGAAGGTGGAAGGGGGAAAAATGAATGGTGGGAAATTTCAGCAGCAACCTTTGTCAACAAAAACCATAACAACAAGGGAAGGGAAGGGGAAGGTATATGAATAACTATGAAATATCGGAAGAGGACTCCTCTACCGAAACGCTGATAATTAAGCAAAGAACCCATTATAATGTGGTATATAGTTTTTGACCTATATTTTATAGACCAGTCAGCACACAGTGGGTGATGTGGTTAACATCATGCCGGCTACCCTTGACCTTGTACCTCTTTTAGGCTGGGTCGACCTAGAAGCCAAGGTCATTTCTGAAGAAAGATACAATATGACAGTGCGGATTTACACCTGTGACTTTCAGGCCTGTGGGTGAACATTTAGCTGCTCTGTCATGGTGGCCTCTCTGTGAGTGAGTTCAATCTTCCCCAAAATCCTAAAGCAAATCCTCCATCAGATGTGAATGATTTTGAGCCATGGGTGATTGTAAGTCAACTAATATGTTAAATTTTTTTTTCCCCCAGGAAGTATACCCAGCTCAGGGGGGTCCTTAACCCAGAGGGGCACAGAAATAAAGGTTTATCAAACTAATCATGGGGAAGGGAGCTAGAGGGTGAAGTTAGAAAGATGGGAAAGGCATGGGATAAGCTGCCTACAATAGCGGAAGATAGACCGACTTGACCTGAGTTAGTAGAAGGGCCTATGCTCCACTGGGGGATAGAAGGCAGAAGATTGATTAAATGAGTCAACTGTTTGCCTTATGCTTTGATGATTGTGGGTTTAGTTTCAATCTCCTTGTTCAGTTCATGAATGCATTTGTTTTGGAAACCCTTTTTCTGATGAAGCTGCCAAGTTTGTGTTTTGTGTGATGCTTTTTGCAGGCAACCAAACTTTGTGCCAGGTGCTGTTTGGAAAAGAAAACCAAGCCATATGGGATAGAATACAGTGCAAGAAAATTGATCCTCACCAGTAAACATATTTTTCAAAAGCACGCCCTACAGCAGACGGATAGTATTTTTAATAACTGTATGACTTTATAATTTCTCAGATTGATCTGTGTTTTTTTTTATTGCATGACTTTCACTATCAATGTAACATTTCTTAGACCGACCGCCAACTGCAGCCCTACAACCTGCTGCAGATTATCGACCAGGCTCTGCCCTTCGACCTTCATCAGGTTTCCGCCCTGCATCATCTTCCAAACGACCTTCAACAGCAAGCGGGAGTTCAAGTTCACTTGTTCATCCTGGGGTCACAGTCTCCATTCGACCTATATCCAGTGGTCAGAGAACAGTAAATGTATTTGTGTGTCTGTATGTGTTGAGTGGAGGGTCACTGACGCTTGCTTGCAGCCGTGGGTCAAGGATTGAAATTCGCACTCAGTCACCTTTTTTTTCTTCAAAAATGACTGTTAGGACTGCCCAGCCTAAAATGGGTGCAAGGTAAACTAAAGTCTTGGAAGTTAAGGCGGCTGGCATGATTCTGACCTCCCCCAACTGCTGATTGGTACATAAAATATAGATCAAGTACTATGTGCCCAGTATGCCTAAGGGTGTGGAAAGAGGTGCATTACTTAGATGTGTTGTACTGTTGAATAGATGTGAGGCATGGAATATATGCAGACTTCTGAGAAACTTCTCCTGGATAATATAATTTCTATAGAAAATGCAATGAATACCATAGGTGTTGAATGTTCCCAAACCATGGATAAGAAGAGGAAACGATGAGGCTGGGCTCCATCACTGGGCTCATCCAAGAGAGATGAAAACCAATAACTAATAAGAGAAATGAGATGTAGGAAGTCAAATGACATCTTGTAAGCCTTAAAAGAAAAAGGAAATTAATTGCATATCATTTACAAACTGTTTCAAAATAACCCCAGCATTTATGGCCTGCTTGGGATTTTACAAAACAATGTTATGTTCATTAATTTGCCATTGCTTACTGATAACCAGCAAACTCAATTGAAAATGAGCGGGAGGATGACTGGGCCACATGGAATAATCAGGACAACAACACAGACCTGATCTGATATTCTGATGGTTGACCCTCAGGAAAAGCAAGAACAGTAACACTGCACTATGCCAGGCAACTTTGGGTAGATTTGAGGTCCGGTCCCAAAAATCTCTAGCCACAAAAATGAATCAAACGTGGAACATTTTGTAATGTACCTTGTATGTTTTTTAATGACATTCCCAGATGCAGTTGATGGAATTGAATCGGTCAGTGATTTAACCATGGGCGGTGTAATCTGTGGGAACCCATCAAAAGCTCTTCGGCAGAGAAAACAAGCAAAAGTTGGCTCAAAGGAAAACATTGATAAAAAACTGGAAAATCTTTATCAGAAGGTTTGTGACTGTAGCTACATGTTTTACAACATATTTTCTTCTTCTGTTTCTTCACATTTATCAGCTGTAAACTTTGATGTGGGGACCTGGTTGTTTGTCCACTGCTGGACTTGAAGTGTTGCTTGCACATCTGTGTTACAGATGTGTCTTACTTGTGCAGACTGTTGGTTCTTCACCTCTAGGCAGATCACTCTGACTTGAAAGGAAATGTTGATCCTATCTATGTTGACCAGGTGCCAGTTGGGAACCTCTTTCTAGAATGACCACAAGAGGTGTAGACAGGTCATGACCAGTATGAGCCCAGATCCTGCCTGGCGCACCACCATATGTGTGGTCAGTACATCTGCATCCCCATAGAATATATAACTAAGAGAGATACGTATGAATCTGTGAAATTTATTTGTTTAAATACAGTTGACAGAGAGGAGTAGAGACTCAGTCATTGACTTCTGCTCCAGAGCAGGCACCTGATGAAGGAAGAAGAGCTAGCCTAATTTATATTAATCATTTTATACAGTTTGCCCTTGTGGGTTCCGGAGCTCCATTTTGGAGAACAATGAGTAGACCCACTGCGTCCTTAACAAGCATGCTGTAGGATTCACCTAATCAGGCGTGTTTCCTTCTAAGTCGCAGTACATATACTTAAGAGGCAAGGAGCCAGCAGTATGCATACAAAAAGTCAGATCTTTAAAACAAATGAGTACATACAACTCAAGTTCTGGATCAAGTGCAAAGCCCAGAAGCGGATGGTCAACCAAAACTTTCCGCCTGGGTTTACAGCTGGTGAATGCTAAGAAGAAGATACAAACAATTGTTCCACGGGTATAGTTTGTTGAACCATGAATTGTATTGGTTTTCCTGGCAGGGTGTGGTGCTGGGTCCCACAGAGGCTGCAGACAATGCATCTTCGTCGGCAGAAGAAGAGATGAGCAACATCATGGACGAGCTAAAGGCTTGGAAACTGGAACATGACAAGTTTGTTGGCATTATCTTTTTTTTTTCATTGTAACTTACAACTCTCTTCTCTTCTGCCCTTTATACCCCCATGGAGCATAAGCTGTCAGCCAGCTCATACCAAGTCATTCTATCTTTTGCTTTTACATGCAGCTCATCTTGTGCTTCCTGTCTTTTTAACTTCTCCTTTCTTCTGTTTTTGTGTGTGTGTGTGCGTGGATGGATATTCCTTTATTTCTCCGCCCCTGCAGATTCCAGTGCAAAGACATTCTAGTTATATTGTTCTCAGCTTTTCTCAACATGTGTCCTATTCACCAGCAGTGTTTTCTCTACACCTCTTGATTCACTGGAATTTGTTTAGTTCTTTCCCAGAGCTCAGCATTAGTGATTCTGTCATACTGTTTAATTCTCAGTTAATGAATGTTTGCAGTTTATCAGTAATTGTTTCAGCTGTTCTCAATGTTTCCTCTCAGTAATATTGATTTGAAATTAGAATTTAAACTGGTATGCATATCATCATCATCATCAGGTGCCTTGCTGACTGGCGTGGGCGATCATGCCTCTCCACAATCTGCAAACTCCTGCAACATGTATCAGTTCCTGCGTATTATAGCCAGTAATAATTTTCCAGGTCAAAGGAAATTTATGACGGCTCTATATAATATGCAGGATTCTTTTCTAACCTCCAGAGACAGGAACATAAATTATTGCATATAATTCATCGTTTCAGGAAGTTTTGCTTGTTCTGTTCTGTCTTTTATTTCTGTAACATATTTCTCAAATGGTGTTATTCTTCTTCTTAGTCGCTCCTTTTCTACCTTGAGGTGTAGAGATTTGCCAGAGAGATCGCCAGACATCTCTATCAGCAGTTTTAGTGGTGTTATTCATGTACCTTAATTTGCTGCCTTTCCATTCGTCAAACTGCCTGGTTACATATTCAGTTTGTTTAGTTATTAAAACCAAGAAGAGGTAGAGAGCAGCTGGTGAAACAGATTCCATCACTCACAGGGCTCCATCACTGGGCTGCATCACTTGGCTCCATCACTGGGCTGCATCACTGGGCTGCATCACTTGGCTCCATCACTGGGCTGCATCACTGGGCTGCATCACTGGGCTGCATCACTTGGGTCCATCACTGGGCTGCATCACTGGGCTTCATCACTGGGCTCCATCACTGGGCTCCATCACTGGGCTGCATCTCTTGGCTCCATCACTGGGCTGCATCTCTTGGCTCCATCACTGGGCTCCATCACTGGGCTGCATCTCTTGGCTCCATCACTGGGCTGCATCACTTGGGTCCATCACTGGGCTGCATCTCTTGGCTCCATCACTGGGCTGCATCTCTTGGCTCCATCACTGGGCTGCATCTCTTGGCTCCATCTCTTGGCTCCATCACTGGGCTGCATCACTGGGCTCCATCACTGGGCTGCATCTCTTGGCTCCATCACTGGGCTGCATCACTGGGCTGCATCTCTTGGCTCCATCACTGGGCTCCATCACTGGGCTGCATCTCTTGGCTCCATCACTGGGCTGCATCTCTTGGCTCCATCACTGGGCTGCATAAATGGGCTGCATCACTTGGGTCCATCACTGGGCTCCATCACTGGGCTGCAACACTTGGGTCCATCACTGGGCTTCAACACTTGGGTCCATCACTGGGCTGCATCTCTTGGCTCCATCACTGGGCTGCAACACTTGGGTCCATCACTGGGCTGCAACACTTGGGTCCATCACTGAGCTCCATCACTGGGCTGCATCACTTGGGTCCATCACTGGGCTCAATCACTTTGGTCCATCACTGGGCTGCATCACTGGGCTCCATCACTGGGCTGCATCAATGGGCTCCATCACTGGGCTCTATTACTGGGCTCCATCACTGGGCCCCATCACTGGGCTCCATCACTAGGCTCTGTTACTGGGCTCCATCACAGGGCCCCATCACTAGGCTCTTATTTGGTTGGGAGACCTAGGTTCAAATTCTTGGTATGGTGATGGGAATCTTTTTTTTTTTTTTTTTTTTTTTTTTTTGTTTCGTAGAGGGCAAGAATAACAGTTCTAACCTCCACATTTTTCAGTGACTGAACTAGCTATGCGGCCTTTAATCTTTAGGCTAACTACCCTCAGTGTATCATCGTCAAAATTGGTAAATGCTGGCAGTAAAGAGAGTATAATGCAGAAGAGTTGAAAGGTAAAATACTGGTTTTATTATAATACAGTACGCCTTGTCCGTGACCTATGCAACTTACCACCATCCGTACCTTCGAGCAACAACAACAGAAATAAGTAAATACAAATAGTAAATACAGTGAGATAACTACATGGGTAGGGTCAATGAGTTTCTGAAACTAATGTCTAAAGCCCATGCTGCAGAGTCTGATTATACGTTTTGTGTTTTATGTACAATTTGTTTAACCCATTTGATTTAAAATACTGCTCATAAATTTGACTTACAAAAAAGTTGGATTTACAACATGTCGGTCAAAATGGAACTCATTTATAAGTCAGTGAGACACTGTACTTAACACTGTAAATAAGATAGAAGTTTTTCTTTGATTCAATGATTATGTTGCTCTACAACTATGTTCTTTCCTGTTTTCCCATCAGACGAATGGAGCTGATTCTGAAGTCAAAAGAAGCTCAGATTCTGATTGTTGACCATGATAAAGCGGATAACAGTGATGAATTCAGTGATGATGATGATGATAATAGCAGTATGGAAGATGATGAAAGAAAAATCCTAGAAATCATGATGAAAAACTTTGGCCACAGACCTCCATATTTGCCGCAAAAAGATTCTGCTGAATTTGAACAAGGAAGGATAACTCCCACAGCAAAATCACCAGATGTAGACTTGAATAACTTTCATTATAAATCTAAAATTCCAGCTAATTCTTTGGAGAAATCATCATGTGTTGTTGGTGAAGCTATGGCCTCCTTTCCTAAACAGGGTAGATACGATCAAAGCTTCGATCTTGAGGAGGATATTTCAGACTCTGCAGACTTAGATTCTGAAGCATCGTCATCATCTTTGTCACTGAACCAACTGTATAAATCTCCAAGTGGTGACTTTAAAGACTTAAGTACTGAAATTGATAGATCACTTCATCAAAGGACGTCTTCAAGAAATCAAAGTGATATAAGTTTAGCTCCACTGAGAGTACCAAGTCCATCGTCTGCTCAGATTAAAAATAGAACACGCTCTAAGCTAACAGAATTGTCTTCTCCTCGACAAAAAAAACTGAGGTATGTATGTATGTGTATATATAAATAATATGTTTCATTACAGCTAAAAACACTCTAAAGTAACTAAAGTATTCTCTCTATGGCTAACACATTGGGATGAGTCTGTATATATTTATTACTAGAATGCACTCTAAAAGCTTAACATTTTCATCTTTTTGGCTAACAGTTTGAGGTAAGTCTATGTATAGTTTTATAAACCAAATACGCTGGCCAGAATGGTACATGTATAGTTTTATAAACAAAATACGCTGGCCAGAATGGTACATGTATAGTTTTATAAACAAAATACGCTGGCCAGAATGGTACATGTATAGTTTTATAAACAAAATACGCTGGCCAGAATGGCACAGCAGGGAGTGTCCAGGGGATTTGACCAGCACTCTAAGCTCAGAGGAAAGGCAAGTCGGACACATAATCAAAGTGCTACTGGTATTGTTGGTATTGGAACTCTTCACTAGTTGTTGTAGATGCTGATGGTATATCCCAGCATCCACAGTAATATATGGGTGTGCTACCTGCTCCATCAGTCATACAAGATACCACTCTTTTTCCAGTTATTACTTTATGTTTAGTTAACATTATGTTTTTCATATTTCTTTATGTTAAAAGTTAACATGGTCTTTAGAAAGATGCAAAATATTCTCACTTTAGAAAGATGCAAAAGATTCTCACTTTAGCAAGATGCAAAAGATTCTCACTTTAGCAAGATGCAAAAGATTCTTACTTTAGCAAGATGCAAAAGATTCTCACTTTAGCAAGATGCAAAAGTTTCTCACTTTAGCCAGATGCAAAAGATTCTCACTTTAGCAAGATGCAAAAGTTTCTCATTTTAGCAAGAATCAAAAGATTCTCACTTTATTAAGATGCAAAAGATTCTCACTTTAGCAAGATTCAAAAGATTCTCACTTTAGCAAGATTCAAAAGATTCTCACTTTATCAAGATTCAAAAGATTCTCACTTTATCAAGATGCAAAAGATTCTCACTTTAGCAAGAATCAAAAGATTCTCACTTTAGCAAGATGCAAAAGATTCTCACTTTATCAAGATTCAAAAGTTTCTCACTTTAGCAAGAATCAAAAGATTCTCACTTTAGCAAGAATCAAAAGATTCTCACTTTAGCAAGATGCAAAAGATTCTCACTTTAGCAAGATGCAAAAGATTCTCACCAATAAGAAGATGTCAGTTGCAGTAAGAAAAAAATGTTAAAGTGCTATTTAGAGCATGTGTTCTAAATATGCATCTGAGACATAGACAATGCATAGGCCGGCTGACAAATATTTACTCGTGGCAGAGATGTGGTGTGTAAGAAGAATGCAAAGATTTTATCACAGAAGGATATAAAAAAAATTAATGAAGCAGTCCTCGTCGAGATAGATGAAAGGTGTAAACTTTTTAAACAATTAGACGTAGACAGTCAGTATTTTCTAGACATATTATGTAATGAAATGGACTGAAGAACTTGGTAACAGCTAGCAAGATTGATGTAAAGAGAGCTAGAGGAAGGAACATCTTAATGGTCTGGCAGCATGGGTGGGGTGAGAAAAAGAACATTGAGCTGATCTGTGATTCTAGTGATCATGTAAGATAGTGACACATGTCAGCCTATGCCCACCGGCACGGCACATGATTATGATTGTAAGTTAACATTGTTTACATAATTTTATCTTCTTCTTCTTCATGTTCACCAGCTGTAAACTCCGGTGGAAAGTTCTGGTCGTTCGTCCACTTCTGGACTGCAGTCCTGTTCCAGAACCTGAGTTTTGCGTGTGCATCCATTTTACGGATCTGACTCATTTGTATGCAGACTGCTGGTTCCTTGCCTCTCAGGCAGATGCACTCCGACTTCGAAGGAAGCTCCCATTTAGTCGACTCTTACGACATGCTCTTGGGTAGGCAGTGGGTCTATTCTTGTTTACCCTATAACAGGGCCCCGGAACCCACACGGGGAAATTATTATATGATTACTTCATGTTTAGTTAATATCATGTGTATATTTTCCAACTTTCTCTTGCAGGGTTGGACCTACTGGTCTCCCCTTGACTTCACAGACCCAGCAGCCGGTGATTAGAAACAATGTCGCTGTGATTCAGTCAAGGTCAGGGATAGTTCAGACATGCAGGCCAGGTGTTTCTCAACCTAGCATCGTTCTACTGCCGTCTCAACCTAGAATACAGCGCCACCTTCCGCAACCTCCAGCCCTGATATCCCAACCTCCGAGCAACTCTTAAACTTCATTTTTACCAGCTTGCAGAATTTCATTATTTAAACAAAACCAAAAAAATACTAATTGCTTCACAATGAGGCTGACTTAAAGCCTGTTAGGGCATCAAAGACGTAGTGTTCATAATGGCCCAGACAGTGGGTTCCAGGAGTAAATGCATGACCAGAAATTGCTGAAGAAGAGGTAGAGTTCATAAATGTACAAACACCGGTGTGCACTTATAGAAGCTCGTCTGACCAAGTATTTTTTTCTGTGTTTTTTCAATTTTTTTTTTTTTTTTTTTGGATTGCAGTCTGTAGGATAAACATCTCATTAATGATAATTAGGCAGAAGCAAATACCTGAAATTCTGTCCAACTGTGTACAATTACGAAGTAACATGCCATCCAATGTTGACGAGTCTTTCTATTGCCTCTGTGTGTGTGTGAGTGCATGAACAGATCTGAGCATATGTGTCGATGGGTATGTGTTCTTCTGTTTTTGAATTTGCCAGGTAATCACAGCTGTAACTTCGCAGCAAATGGCTTGTCCCACAGTCGCTCCGTTGCTGTGCCAAGGAAAACCACACAGATCGTCCAGCACTGCCCCTTGTGAAAACAAAAAAATTGATAGTCTGCATTCTCAGCAAATGCAGTAACATACACGCCCATTTCTCTGGCAGTAGGCCACTTGCCATTTTCTGAATCTGCAGTTCACAATACATATCATGTTGGGTATGGTCGAAAAGAATTCCTAATAAGATCTGCAGTTCACAATACAAATCATGTTGGGTATAGTCGAAAAGAATTCCTAATAAGATCTGCAGTTCACAACACATATCATGTTGGGTATGGTCGAAAAGAATTCCTAATAAGATCTGCAGTTCACAATACATATCATGTTGGGTATAGTCGAAAAGAATTCCTAATAAGATCTGCAGTTCACAATACATATCATGTTAGGTATAGTCGAAAAGAATTCCTAATAAGATCTGCAGTTCACAACACATATCGTGTTGGGTATGGTCGAAAAGAATTCCTAATAAGATCTGCAGTTCACAACACATATCATGTTGGGTATGGTCGAAAAGAATTCCTAATGAGATCTGCAGTTCTGAGTATCCCACCATAGTATCAACTTAGAAGCAAAAACTTGCCACAGCTAAAAACAGCTTTTACTTCCTGGTGGAGCATAAGCCCTCAACCAACTCACATCATGCTCTTTAAAGATTTTGTTGCGGCTGGATTTTGTGGTTAAAGCGTATTTTATGGGACGAAGTAGTAAAACTAACTCCAATATTCCTTAGTGGCCTACCTTTGACATACATTGTACGTTAACAATAAGCCAGTAAAGTACTCATATGATACTAGCTCATTTTTTTTTTAAACAGACCAACTGGCACTCCATGGGTGATGTTGTCAACTTCCTGCAGCCTCCTTTATTTTCCCGGACTTTCGCTACTACCCATTTTAGGCTAGGTTGATTTTTTTGTTTCTCAAATTCAACTTGATGCAGATTTTAAACCCAAGACTTTCAATACTGATAACCTTGTTTTCAATATTGCTTTTAGGGGGAAAGGGGGGGGGGGGCATATTGGGCATATAGTGCTTGACCTAATTGTTATAGACCAATCAGCACTCAGTGTGGTCAACATTATGCCAGCAGCGTTTACTTTCCAGGACTTTACCTTGTACCCATTTAAGGCTGGGTTAGCCTCGGGACCAAAGCCATTTTTGAAAGAAAAAGTCCACCTTTCTGATTTGAACCTATGACCTTCGAATCCGCATGCAAGCATCTAGCATCTACACCCCAGCATATCATCAAAGGAGACTTATTAAGGGTTTGCCTGAAATTGAAGTTGTTGGGCCAAAAGGCACAACTTTGCTTTAAACCACAATACAAACATCTTGTTTAAGGGTTGACCAGAAAAGGAAGTTTATTTGACAGAATGATCTCTCTCTGTGTCAAAAATGATTCTCAGCTTCTCAAGATTATCAGTTTCTTTCTACAGATATTTTTTTTTCCTTTTAAACTGGGATGTGAAACTAACCTGACAATGAACTTTGAATATTTAGTTTTTAAGTTTTGCAAATATAAATTTGTAAAACACGTATTCAGTGCAGCTAAAATAATTTAGTATTTTATACTAAAAAATTGATGGAATATTTTTTGGTTAAAGTTTGCTTGAAAAATCTTTACTTTTGAAAATATTTATATCTCGCAAGAATCGGACAAATCTGTGTCTATATTGTCTTTGCTGTGCATTTCTGGTGATCAGAGTCATTTCCTACAGCACTTGAGAAAATGAAATGATGTTATTATGCTTATATTAAATTACTATTGCACCTAAATTTAAGTAGAATTGTTTAAGTTGTCTAAGCACTTGATTAAAGTTGTTCCTTTAATCTGACTTACATATTTCTTTGGAAGATTGTGTGACATTACAACATTCTTTATGTGATACTACTACATTCTTTATGTGACATTTCAACTTTCCTTAGAACATAAGTTCCTAACCAGTTCTCTGCAGAGCTCTAAGGGCTCCAGCCAGTGCTCTGCAGAGCTCTAAGGGCTCTGTCTGCACTTACCAGAAGCTTTATGGCCCCTACAGAAAATTAAATAACATTTGAATTAAATTATAGATAGAGAAACAAAAAGTTGAATTTAAACAAGAAAGAAAACTATATTTTACACTGTGAACAGACATTATCTTGTTCCTTCCCTTTTCCAGTCTGCATAATTGTTTAGGAATCTCCATGAAATTTTGTTCTCTCTTTTTTTTAGCAAAAAAGATGCCGGTACTCACCTTAAAGTGTCCAAGAATGGATGGTGCCGGTACCCGCCGTAAAGTGTCTAAGAAAAGATGGTGCCGGTACTCGCCGTAAAGTGTCCAAGAAAGGATGGTGCCGGTACTCGCCGTAAAGTGTCCAAGAATGGATGGTGCCGGTACTCGCCGTAAAGTGTCCAAGAACGGATGGTACTAGTACTTACCACAAAGCTACTATTACAGCGGCACCGAAAAAAATGTTGCCTAACAAAAAGTGCTGGTACTGCATACCCTTGCACACCACCAGAAAAAAGCCCTGGATATCACCAAGATCATTAGGATATCTCAATTAAACTTCAGTAAAAGCACAAACTGCCACCTGCCAGGGTTGGTCTGCGACACATTGTAAAGCATTTACAACTGATCTACGTCTGTATAACCGGAAATATTTATTTGTCTCGGCATTGATGACCTAGGCTGCTGATGTGACTTTCATTTCTATAAACGGAAGTGCTGTTTTTTTCTTAAACGTCTCTTGTTTGCATTTAACGTGTGAAATGTTTGTTGTAGTGTAGCTATGTCGACATTAAATCTTGGGCTGAATACTATTTTTTAAATATTTATGTTTAAGCATTTACAGAGAAAGACTATTTAAATAATTACTGCTGATTAAAGAAAATTATTAAAATATTTATTTCATTTAAATCTGAGTGTATATTTTAATTTTGTATTCTACTGCAGTTACAATGCTATGTGTATAAGGCGCAAAAGTGAAAGAAATAATAGTTGCATTAAATATTTAAATAAAGTAAAAAAAAAAAAAAAAAAAACACACAATGGCACACTGGCAATATGATGCTAAACTCATATTTTTCTAGACAGATCAACATCATGCTGGCAGCATTTACTTTCCAAATTGGATTTGATACTTATAATAAGAACTCCACAGGGAAGCATGCACAGCAGGGATCCACTGTCATCAGTAGAAAGATCCTTCATTGACGACCTGGTCATGACTCCAGGTCTCAGTCTTCCCCTGCTGCATTTTATTGGACTCTCAGACAAGGACAAGACGTTAAGGTGACTTTGCAACAGGTGTTGTGATTTGGTGATATATTGTCGCTGCGGTAGCAAATTAGATCAGTCCACTATCCTAACGACCCGAGTGACAGGTTAACAGTTGGTTCAACGGACAGGTGTTAGACTTTGGCATTTGACAGTGAGACACTGGCAAACATTTATCGGATACTTTGGCTTTAAGGGATAAGAAGCTCCTTTCCACTAGGGATTCAGACCAGTCTACCGAGGCCCATTCCCCACGACGTTCCATTGTGTCCAGAGCCAGCTCGAAGCTCCTATTATATAGCTGGAAACCAAGGCCTTTTTTTTTTAAAATCCCTTCCAATTGGCAGATAGGCACCTAGCCATCACACTTCTGCAGCCGCCATTTAAATATTTAACTGGGTCAAAAAAAGAAACACTTTACTCGTCGCCGTCATCATCAATAGCTGTACTGTCATCACCATCAGAAACACTAGTAAAAAGTCTGCGATGTGGTTAGAAATGTTCTGGGTATTTTAAAGCTACCAGTTTCAAACATGGACCTTAACTACAACCAAGAGGAAAAACTTAGAGAGAGGAGATGCCCTAGAAGTTAAGTTAGTTGCATATCTTTTACAGGACATTGCAGAACCAACCCAAGCCTTTTTTGGCTGTTGTGGTTTTTCTAGGCATATTTTACGATCAGTGGTTTGCCACTGCTTTCTGAGCGTTCAACTCTCGGTACCATTGTCGAAACCAACCCAAGACAAATCGTCTGCCTGAGCCACAGATGCCGACTGTCTTATAACTGCCAGAGCAACAAGTAGAAATAACATGAACAAAACTTATATTAAAAGTGAAGAAATTAAAATAAGACTAGAAACAAAATAGTTGTACAGTTCATTAAAGAACAACAGAAGTATGGGAAAGACTACGCAAAACATAGAAAGACTGTATTAAAACAACATTTAAAAATTTAAGACAAAATTAAAAATTGCATTAGAAAGAGCACACATATGATCTCGCCCATAATTTGTAGTTTTTATATATATATAAGAGAGAGAGAGAGAGAGAGAGAGAGAGATAGCTAAAGGAAGACAAGAAGAAAAGACAGTACAGTGCAGATCTGATAAGCCACACTCATGATGAACCCAAGAAATACTTCTTCTCAGAAATTCCTCTTATCCAGATAAGAATTTGAGCAAGAAAAATTGCCTGGGAATAAACAAATTGTTCTTCACATCAGAAATGTACCCCATCCAAGATTGCCTGAAATGGTCTGCACTGTATTTGTTTTGTTTGCAATTTTATTATAGGTATTGCACAACCAACTAGCTTTAAGAGGAGATGGATGACTCAGCACCTAGGTCTTGTAACAGCCTCGCTCCAACGAGTATCAGCTTTTTCTGAGCCCATGTGACCTGAAGGTCATTGCTTAGGATTTAAGAGTTAACTTTTGCCCCATGAATGCTAAAATATTGGTGACAAACACATGGGAATTACAGGAAATAATTGCTTAAAAAACATTTTATACAGGTCACAAATAAGTTTCTTGAAACATCAACATCAACTGACATCACAGCACTCGGGGCATTCCCATAAGCGCTCCATCCCCATCTTTAGCAGCCAGTAAGGAGTTCAGATACTAATGGTGCCAGTAGCATTCTGATTAAATGTCCGTCTTGCCTTTCCTCTGAGCCTCAAGCATCTGCCAGAACCTCTCGTCACTCCCTCCTGCATCAATCTCACCAGACTCTGGTGATCCATCTGCTCCTCCGAACTGTGCACTTTCTCCCACAAAGCACTAACCACGTCTGTCTTTTCATATATCAGTATTCCACCAAGTTGTGCAGAGCCAGCCAGTCTGTCCACCTGTTCATTTCCCAACACGTCAGCTTACCCCGGTGAAAAAATCCAAACAATACTCCTCAACCCTGTCCTCCGCAGTGAAGCATGCCACTCTGCACAAAGCATGCCTGTCCTGATCTTCCTCAGCATGCTTTCTGAGTCAGTTACAATCATGATGTGTGTGTGTGTGTCGTGTTCTCTAACCAGCCGAAAGCTGCAGTGACCGCCTCCACCTGTTAAGCTGGATGTTGTGGTATCATATGCTAGGCTCTCCTGCACCAAATGTAGACCAATAACTTTTGCTAAGAAGCCCCAAGCACTTCTTTTGCCTCTTGACACTGAACCGTCTGTGTAAATGATCAAATCCTCTGAGTGAGCATTATCTTGAATAATTACTGAATTTCCATCTCCGTGGCACCTGCTGGCCAGTCTCTGCATTAAAAAGGGATACATTTTACATTTTCTGCCCCAGAAAGAGGGTGACTTCCCTTGCCATGCATGCCTCGTCTGGTCGCAAGACCTCTCCTAAGTTGCAGGAGTGTCATCTTCTCCTTATTGCCAATGCTTTAACCTTTCCCTCTTTTCTCATCTTCTCATCGCTCACTTGTGTAATCATTTTCACGTTCTGCTACCTGCGCGATGGTTCGGGAGTATGGAAACAGCAATATTTTTCTTTTCCTGTGTTTCTCGTAAGTGCTTTCTCTCTCTTGGTGGCGGAGGCACCACCAACGAACGTAGAAATACAAAAACATCCCAGTTTCAATACTAAAAAATCATCACACTTCCGGCGTTTTCCCCCTGCAGTACTTCTTACTTGTACATAGGCGCCTGCGGTGCCTGAAATACACTCACGACAACATAACCTCCCACAAACATTATATACGCCGAGCCACCACCAAACCAAGCCACATCATAACACCGCTGAAACATAGGAGAGGTCCTGCGACCTGACGAGGCATGAATGGCAAGGGAAGTCACTCTTTTTCTGGGATGAAAAACGTAAAATAAACCAAAAAAGGAGTAATATACAAACAAGAACAGAGTGCAAAAAATGGAATACATTCTCCGGGCTTAAAATAATGTTGAATGTTCAATTAAGCGAAGAGTTCCAATTCCAGTAACTGTCCGATTGTATATCTATCTTGTTTTTCCCCTGAGTGTTGAACATCTGCCAGATCCCCTGGTCAGGCTTAAAAAACAATACGTAATGGGTAACTCATGCATCAGATAAAAATTAACTTCTGTAATTATGTTTTCAGGTTTTGAAGAAAGTGATTTTTAACCTCATATTAAAAATATAACTTCAGTGTACGAATCCCAGACAGTAAGCACAGACCAATAATACACACACACACATATATATATATATATATCAGTATATCTTCATAAGGCATCTGGAAGAATTGTTCATGATGACAAAAGTGTGATATATTAAAATACTGAAATGTCTAATACTGCTTATTACACATTTTTTTAATTATTATCTAAAGCTATTTGCAGGTATAGTCTAATACTGTGGCTTTTGCAGTAAATGTTTTATGAAAAAAATATCTTTTCAGGATAACTTAATTTATGTGTGAAATACTGTAATATCGTAAGTGCCGATATAAATATTAAAATGGAAGACAAAATGTAAAACTTTGCTGCAGATGAAAAATCATCGAAAAACGTGCGTAATAAAGCAGGGTAAATCAAAGTGGCCACCAGAACGACGTTTGTCCTCAGATCTGGGAACTGTGCTCCAGTCAAGCATGCTATACACATTCAAGGATTTTGTCATCTGTCGGGCTTGGACAGCTTCTTCTAAGTTTTCAAAAGGTGGACTGGAAACAAATACAAAAATTATATAAATTTATACTTTTCTCCTGCCTTTACAGCTGTATTTACCACCTTTAGTGTGCTGCAGGACTGGGTGGCTGTGAATTTGAAGATTTAAGCCTGCATGGCCAGTGCAGTCACCGTGAACTGTGCAGACAGGGATTTTTATTTTTGCCACAGACAGAAAAATCTCAAACCTTTGAGGATCAAAACCCCCCCCCCCCCCCCCCCATGACAGCCCAATGCTCTAACCACTTAGCCGTCTGTTCCTCATCAATTCATTTAATTTTGTAATACTGGCATAAAATTTAAATTAGCTTAAAAAATTGTCCATTTGCGGGCATCGTTTAGTTAGATTAGGATTTTGTCCATGATGTCAGCTGTAGACTTTGAGCAAGACTGATTAAGAAAAAGATGGACAGAAGAGCGACTGCAGGAGATCCCCTCCCTAGCACAACACTCATTCCCTGTCCTCACTGTCCAAGAACTTTTTGGGCCCGTATCTGCCTCATCAGTCATCTTCGTACACATACTTGATGAAAAAGAGTGGTCATCATCATCTTGATGGACAATACACACACACACACACACAGACTTTAAAGAGTGTGACATCACATAAAGCTTCTCTTCAAAGATGTTCTCAATGAACTGTCAGAGAACTATTTTGTCATTCTTTTATAGAAAGAAGTCTTTAACAAACAAACCTGACTGCATTGATGAGGTAAATTAATAACTAATCAACATTCTTCAAGTCGTCAACATAGTCCATACTAACTTTAATCTGTTCAAACAGGTTGCGAGCAAACAGATGTTAGACCGCATCCATTCAAACTGTTTCTTTCTAACCTTCTCTCTCACCGTTCAAGAGCTCATTCAATTAAAATGCACAAAAGTACACCAGTAAGCAAAATGTGCACCTTTCAGATCAACACTCAGTTCATTAACTTGTGCATTACCTAACTAATATTTCATACGGTCATACAAACATATTGCGGTGTCCATTTCCTGCGGTCATACAAACACATTGCTGTGTCCATTTCCTACGGTCATACAAACACATTGCTGTGTCCATTTCCTACAATCATACAAACACACTAATGTGTCCATTTCCTACAGTCATACAAACACATGGCTGTGTCCTTTTCCTATGGTCATACAAACACACTGATGAGTCCATTTCCTACGGTTATACAAGCATACTACTGTGTCCAGGGCAGTAAACATATTCTCACAGCAGATACTGCTGTCAATATATGAAATGCTAGGGCTTCACATATTCTAGACCATATGTCCATTGAGTTAACCGTATGTGTTGATTTCTCCCCACCAAATGTATGGATGACACATTCCATTTCTGGGGACAGCTTTTATAAAGTTTGCTCTCTAGACAGTTGCAGTCCCCTGCTGGCGAGATTCTGTCTTCCCGAGTGGACCACCGCGATCAAAACATTGCGAAGGCAGCGTGGTCGAGGCTGCCAAAACTATCAGTCATTATTCCGCCCCGACATAGCACAACCACAATACATGCAGCTTCCACAAAAACACATAGTATCCTGCATTAGAAATACGCACAAAATAGCGGTCCATGATTACGAAAAAGAATAATCCAAGAGAATTGTCAGCCAGCAAAAATAAACACAGCTGTTATCCGCCATTTAGAAAACGGAAGTCATTCTAGGCCAAATGAAACAGGGTAATGTCACTTTGTCACCTTTATTTCCAGAAAATTCTGGAAATCCTCTTGTAGCCATTTTCACGATAATAATAATTTAGCTAACATTAACTTCATTTAAAAGAGTAACCTAACTGTGCTGCCCAGGCAAAAATTTGACGTTAAAAATCTACCAACAGTATTTCAGGATCTTCGCCGGTGCTACAGAGCCTGTGCACTGTGCTGAGTTTCTTCGGACTCAGGCTTCAGTTAGAAGAAGAACGGAGCACTTATGGGTTACTATCCATGTGCCATGATGTTGATCAGTTGTTCAAAACCTCAAACTTCATTTAAATATCAGATGAAGACAGGATTATGAAGACATGATTGTAGAGTCTTCATCTTTAATGTTTGATATAGATTAGGTACCTGAAGATCAAGGAGACAGTTTACTGACTCTTTCAGTCCTAAACAACGCATGATTTGTGAATCTCTCTGACCCCTGAATCCCCTCCTTAGCTTAATGTGTTCTCCTACTTATTTTAATATTTGGTCAGAACATACCTAAGAAATCTGGCTTCTCTAATGTCACTACTACTGTTTTGTCGCCACTCTGAAATAATGCATAGGTGATATTAAACCATGAATATTTCTTCACTTTGCCATCCCCTACAAAATCTTCTTCTGTTCTAAAATGAATTGAATAAATTATACAAAATAAATATTGGTTAAGAAATATTAAAATAAAATACTTACTGGCTCTTCAGGAAACTTTTTGCTGGAGTTTCTGTGAAAAAAGAAGAGTTTTAGGTATGAAAACAGAAACTTTGAACAAAGAAGAGTTCTTCTTCTTCTTCTTCTTCTCTTCCACCTTGTACCTCATCGAAGTGTCGAGGGGGGGGGGGGGGGGGGGGGGGGGGGGGGGTGGGGGGGGGGGGGGGGGGGGGGGGGGGGTTGTAATGTTCGTTGATGAGCTCTGTCAAGAGCACTATTAAGACTGATGTTCATTTTTGTATTGCTGTTCTTAATGCCATTACTCTATATTTTCCTAGGTCTTACACTCGCTCTATACCCCTTGTAACGTTTTAGTGTGGCTCGCTGTGGCAGATAGTACCAGGGCATTCTTGTTAGGTGTCCAAACCACTTCATTTGTTGTTCTTTGATGACTTTATTCCTATCATTCGTCTGATTTCATGATTTCGTATTCTGTCTTTCCTTGAAACTCCTGCAGCTCTTCTAAGGCATTTCATCTCTGTTGTCACAATTTTACGTTCATTGGAGGATGTAAGTGTCCACGTTTGGCATTGATAGCATAGTGTTGGCCAAAAAATAGTTCTGATAAGATTCTCTTTAGTACTCCAGGGTATCTGCTTGTGTGTCAACAGGGGAGATAATTGCCCCATTACTTGATAAGCTTTGGCACATCTGAAGAGTTACAGGTATGAAAACAGAAACTGTGAACAAAAAAGAATTACAGGTATGAAAAGAGAAACTGTGAACAAAAAAGAGTTACACATATGAAAACAGAAATTGTGAACAAAGAAAAGTTACACATATGTAAACAGAAACTGTAAACAAAGAAGAGTTACAGGTATAAAAACAGAAACTGTGAATAAAGAAGAGTTACGTGAATGAAAACAGAAACTGTGAACAAAGAAGAGTTACACATATAAAAGCAGAAACTGTGAACAAAGAAGAGTTACATGTATAAAAACAGAAACTGTGAACAAAGAAGAGTTACATGTATAAAAACAGAAACTGTGAACAAAGAAGAGTTACATGTATAAAAACAGAAACTGTGAATAAAGAAGATTTAGACATTTGAAAACATAAACTGTGAACAAAGAAGTTACACACATGAAACAGTATGTGAACACACAAGAGTTACACATATAGAAATAATCTCAAGAGTTTATACATTATTTGAAAAATATAAATAAACTCTTTACCTTTTTTTTTGTTCCGTTTACCCTTTCCCCTGGTCTGAGCACTAAATGTGCTATCCTAATGAAGTTGCTATTTGCTTATATTATAATTTGTTGCCTTGTGCTTTAACCTTATACACACAGCTTTCTGTGTGTTCCTTTGCTTTGTAAGTCTAGTTGCTTAAAAGAATCATATTCCTTGAGAACTGAATATGATTGTGTCTCTAATGAACATTTTGTTTCATTATAAACTAAACCATTGTGCATTCTTCAATTTTTATAATCTAGTCTTATCTAGTATTTCCCAATATATTTCTAATCATAATATCATACCTGGTCTTGTAGAAATTATTTTAGGTCTGGTAGGTGAGTACATACAAGGATGACCTTGAGATCTTCTTCCAAAAGCAACCGTGTCCTTGACTTTCTCTGAATTACGACGACAAATTATGTGGGCCTTGTCACGCTCATACTTGGTTATCCCTGAAAGGTTTAATTAGTATTAGTTTATCTGGCATCAAATTTCAAATTTTAATTGTTGGTATTTTAACATTAATAAAATCTTTATGAAGTTTTGAACCCCGGGCTAGGTTTGTGAAAGTGCTATAATACTGATCTTTCATTAGCTGGGGGTGGAGCAGGTCAAGGTTATGACATCCAATTTGGTTAAAGTCCCACCTGGTTAAGATCATGCGCTGACACTTGGTATTTTACCCCCTCCCACATGAGGCTCATGCAAGAAGCAAAAAATAGCACCATAGTTATTTAACATAATGTCATATGAGGAAACTAAGGAAAGTTGGCTTGTGAAAGACTCCCTCTTCATCATGGAAATGTTTTCTTTTTTTCTCTATTCCTGGAATGCCTCACAGCATCGAGGCAGAAGGAGGTCTCTGGTACAGGCCCTTCTGTTTTGTATAGAAAACCTTGCCACTTTATATAAAGTACCTTTCAGTGGGTCCAATATTTTCCTGATCCAATTTCTGCTTGGTCGGCATATGGCTCAGTTACGGCTGCATCTGTAAAACACTGCTGTCTGTGGTGCCCTGTGTGTTACATGGTAAAACCATCTGATATGCTGTCTACCGATAAAGTTCAGTATTGATTCTGTGCCAGTTCTTCTCCTAACATCATCATTCCTAAGTCTATCTATCCTTCTTATACCTAAAAATATATTAAAATACTGAAACATGGCAAAATCAAAAGCAATGATTTAAAAAAGTCTACAAAAGCCTTGATGTGATACGGTTGAGAGTCCATGCTTACTGGGAGACACACACACAAAAAAGAACTACTGAATTTATTGTGAACTGGTTAGTGTACTTCTTCTTCTTCTGCCTTTATGCTTAAAAGGGAGCTTGATATGTTGTATTGTGGCTGACAGCTAGGCTGCAATATCTGTGCCTTTTGACCCAACAGTTTCAATTTCAGTGAACTCCTAATTAGTTGCCATTTATTACATGCTAGTTAGGAATGAAGATGCACTGACTTTGAAAGCACATAGGGCTGGAGAACTGGCAAGAAAACGAGAGACCCCCAGGCATGCCATGGTGAGAGCAATGTTCTGTAGATAACACGTCTGATTGATGAGATGATGTTAAGGGTAGTGGGATCACACATGGAACTTACATCGATAGGCTGATGTTGAAATGATTTCTGATTGGGGAAATCTAATATGAAAGGATAAGATACTAATAAAAAATATTATTACCTAAACCATCAAAAATCGTCAAAGATGGTAGTGAATTTATAACAAAAACACGATACCCAGGTTCAAGGGCTACAGGATTATTGAACAAATCTGAAACAGATAAACATGGATTAGAATCAAGACAGTATTTTGTAGACATTATTTTATAATGTAGTCTAGATATACCAAGTATATTAAGTGTGAACAGTGTAATAAATTGGAAAACAAACACATTAGAAAATCTTATAAGAGGATAAAAATCCTCACTTGATAAAATACAGCTCCACTACTAATCAGCATAAAGCAATTTAACACAAAATTCATAGTAAGATTTGAAAAGCTGCTTAAAAGTTTGGTTTCTTTCTCTTCTTCTTCTTCTTCACGTCTGCCCACCATAAACTCTGGTGGAAAGTTCTGGCTCTTCACCCACTTAGACTTTAGTTGTTTTTTTTTCTAAAACTTGAGGTCCATCTACACATCCATTTTACAGATCTGGTTTACGTGTATAAGGACTGTTGGTACCTCTCTTCTCAGTCAGATGCATTTTGACTTCGAAAGAAACACCCCTAATTAGTTGCCTTTTATGACATGCTTGTGGGATTGGCGGGGGAGGGATCTATTCTCCAACCACATAATGAAAATCTTAAAGCCACACATGAGTGGTTTGGTTTGAAAAACATCACTTTCACTCCACAAGGAAATCTCCATTTAAGCTCGTCTTCTACAGATGACCTAAGAATCTCACCACAGAACGTGAACCCTGTAGCCTAGCTGAGGCTCCACATGTGTGGATACCTGAACCATTCATGCTCTAAATATTCTTGCTGGTGCAGCTTATGAATGTCACCCCATCTCATCGGCAGTAAGATTTCGTAGTGGAATTGTTAAGGACACTCAACAGTCTGGGCGTGTCATGTGTTCCTTGTTTACAACGTTTCAAGCACATGCACCACAGACAACAGCAACTAATGAGCCTAAACATACAAGAACATAAATAAATTGACACTCAAGAACCATGGCTCCTTTGGCGCTTCGCTCCTGCAGTACTTCTTCCTTGCACACAGGTGCATTCAGTGCCTGAGATCTACTCAAAACAACAATACATTCCAGAAACAAAGATTCATTCACAGAAAAGAGAGTTGCGAAAAGAAAGTTGCACACTTTCGTCTGAGAGACAGTGTGAACAGTGTCGAACGCACCAGCACACTGTGTACAGATGGCGAATGAAGATATCTCATAACTCCCTTAGAACATAGGACAGCCCGTGGGAACTGCTGCAGAATCTTGCGCACAGTAGATGGGGTGACATTCGTGAGTAGTACCTTATTTTATTTTGTAAATGGGCCTTCTTCTTTGCTTTCCCTTTTACTCTTCAGTGTCAAGGGAGATACAAGACTGTGGTTCTTGCTTTTCTGGCCGTCTCAAATGTAGACACATTGTACTTTTAAAGAGTTTCTCTGATCACATCTTTACATTGTATTCTTGGTCTACTTCAAGCTCTCCATCCTCTACTTTGCCATCCACTGAACTCGATTCTTCCAGTGCTACTTTTCCATCCACTTAACATCCTATAAAGAAAGCACATCTAATGGCTTCCTGTTGCTCTTACTCTCATTAGCTAATGTACATAATTTACAGTCAGAAAGTAGCATGGGCAGTATGTTACAACCTAAAAATGTTTGCGAGAAACAAATGGTGAGACCAGACAAGAGCAGAACCAGGCTTACCGCCTGTGAGATGAGATGTTTGAGCATGGCTGTGAATAAAAACCAGAAGAAATCGAGTGAGAAACGATGTGATCACAAGAACTGTAGGAACAACACCAATTGCCAAATTAATTGAGAAACAAAGAATGAAATGGTTTGGCCATCTAATAAGAATGAAATCAATGATGCCAGCAGCACGAGCTTACAAACCCAAAAATCTAAACACTAAGAGGCAGAGGAAGACTGAGAAGAAGATGGATTGAAGGAGTCAGTGACACCTTAAAACTGCATAACATCACAGCATATCAAGCGACTGAGCGCACCCTGGCCCTGGCTTGGCTGCCAATCGTCTGATGAGCTGTGATCGTCTGATAAACTGCGATCATCTGATCAACTGCGATCGTCTGATGAAATGCGATCGTCTGATGAACTGCGATCGTCTGATGAACAGCAGATATTGACAAAATAAAGAAGAGGAAGACAACAGCACTATGCAGGAAGCCAAATAAAAAATACAAAATAAACATAGAATGTGTCATCAGCTGCTACACACTGCAAGATTTACTGAGGAGGGGACCCAGGCGTTTATGGACTGAATGGTTCAATATGCAATGAGGATGATCTGTCGACTAACAACACCTTAAAACTTTGAACACACGCACGCAATAAATGTACAATGACCTACTGAGAACACGAAGTGCATACATGCGGTCAAATTCCTTCACAGTTGTCGCCAGATCTGTTAAATAGTTGTTCTGCAAGGTCAGCACCACCAGGCATGTGAGGTGTCGTAGCGACCCACTAATGTCACTCAAAAGGTTGTCATGGAGATATAGTTCACATAACCGAAAATTTGAATGAAGGAAATTCACTCGTCTTATCTACAAGAAAATATTGGAATGCAAAGGAATTTATAAGTACAAGCTTGCTTAATACAGCGGTTCTCAACCTATGGGTCGCGCCCCTTCTGTGGGTCGAAAAACCCTTTCCCTGGGTCGCCTAAGACCATCGAAAAACACATATTCACTGAATTTATGAAATAGTAACGAAAATTATTTTATGGTTGGGGGTGGCCACAACATCAGAAACTGTATCAGAGGGCCGCTGCATTAGGAAGGTTGAGAACCACTGGCTTATTATAATCAGTTGATATGGGTTAAATGTATAAGTACAAGTCTGTTTAATAAATGAGCTGACATGATTTAAATTCATAAGTACAAGTATGTTCAATATAATCAGTTGACAGGAGTTAAACTGGGAGCAGAGATGGTGCAGTGGCTAGCACACTTGCCAACCAAACTAACGGCCATGTGTTTAAATCCCCATTAAAGCGATGATTTTTCTTTTTTTAAATTAACAGGAGCTCCCATGGTCAACCCTGCGTAACATGGATACCAGACAATCTTCCGGTCAGCAAGATGTTGACTACAGAGATGACGAATCATCATCATTCTGTTGTATGGTTGCATGACACATAGGGCTTGCAGTCTAGTCCTCATTTCCACTCTGTTCTCTGCAATCCTCTCAATATCGTGGAAAGAATCCAGTCCAGCAGCTTTAGCCTCTTTCAGTAATGTTTATCTTAGGGTTTCCCTTGGACATCCTTGCTTTCCTAACCCATTTGTTTCCTATTTCAGTGCCTGTTTGGTGATTCTCTGTCCATTTCTCCTCATGATGCACCCAATTTATCTGGATTTTTTTTTTTTTTTTTATCGATCACTGGCTGTGAATTCCAGTGGAAGGTCCCGGTTAATCGTCCGCTTGGACTTTTGGCTTTCACCTGGACCTGATTTTTGCGTGTACAACCGTTTTTCATTTCCCTGCCTCATGGGCAGCTGTACTCCGATTTCGAAGGAAATTTATCTAGATGACAAAAATACATATGACAATGAACTTGTGTGTATTTACCTTGTTCCCATTCAGCCACAGATGTTTCAAATACTTAAATCTGCCCAAGTCCACCACATCAAGCAATTTCCTGTGAATTGTAAACAGCACACAGAACCAACAATAGACACAACAGATAATCTTTTATCGTTTTTACAGAATTGCTTACATTTTACATATTTAAAAGCTCGTAATTTATCTGCTGTACAAATTTCCTCTTTTTCTTCTTTGCGCTCAGCCCCTGTAAACTCCGGCGGAAAGTTCTGCTTGTTTGTCCACCTCTGGACTTTAGTCTTGTTCCAGAACCCAAGTTTTGCGTGCTCATCCGTTTAACAGATCTGACTTAACTTTATGCCGATTGTTGGTTCCTTGCCTCCCAGGCAGATGCGCTCCCACTTTGAAGGATGCACCAACAATTAGTTGACTTCTATGATATGCTAGATGGGGGAGGCAGTGGGTCTATTCTTGTTTTCCCCACAACGGGGCCCGCGGAACCCATACAGGAAAAAAATTGCATCTGAATTTTGCTAACAATTTTAATGAGATATTACTTAACAAGCACAGAATTGGTTTAAAAGTAGCAAATACGGAAACATGTGAGAAAGCAGTCACAGGACTAGGTGTGAAACAGAATAAATATATATACGTCCTCAGATGGCAAGTGAGTATTCAGTTCGGTTTCTGACTTTGGAGAGCTCTGAAACAATTACCTTAGAGATGGTGCTTTTGTACAGAATTATTTAAATGGAAAAGCTTTATTAACCTTACCCTCATGCACACCCTTATCAGGAATCATAACTAACCTCTTCTGATTTAGAAATGTATTACTTTTAAGTCTGCAAAAGATGAGGTAATTAGTCTATTTTCTCAGAGAAAGAACTAATGCAACATCAAAGCAGTCATATTACCTATTTGACAAGGAAAGCTCTTCAACATCCTTATCCTTTGAAATGCCTTTCATGAGTAGAGCATCTCTGATCACCTTTAAGTTTTAGAGAAAGAAAGTATGCATATATGAATATAATATGCATCAGATGACATTGTGAGATGAACACATGGGCAACTGCTGTTCAGGTCTGGTGTATTCATAGGGACTTGAATGGATTCATAAGAATGGAGCAATTAAACATAAATCTTTATGTCTGCAACTGTAGGGGTTATGAAAGCATGAAAGACTATATAGATCAACAAATACTTATAAAGACCATGTTTTATATACCTACAATTGTAGGGGTTATAAATAATGAAAGACTAAATGGGTCAACAGTTAGGTTTGTATCACTAAAATCGTTAGCCAGTAAAACATCTGGCACTCATCATCATCATAGCCCTCTAACACTGTGTGGCATTGGGTCACCAGTTGCTGTTAACTGTTTGATCATCTCCCTATCAGTCAGATTCAATGGACTTGATGTCTGCATGTTTCATGTCTATGCATTCAGCAAAGTTCTACATCCATGTCTTTCTTGGTCTGCCTCATCTCTTCCCCTCTACTGAACCCTGTAGTATCATTCTGAAGAGGGCGATAGATCTTATTACATGTCTATACATTGCATTTTCCCACTCAATGTTGTTATAAGTAGTTCATAGTTACCAATGTGTAGGGTGATATGACAGTGAAAATCATCATTTGCGATATGGTCTCGGTGTTTGTTTGCATTCACCGGCTGTAAATCCCAGAGGAAAATCCTGGTTGTTCACCTATTTCTAGCCTTTGGCTGTGTTCAATCAAGGACTTGAGTTTTGCATGTGCAGCTTTTTTACAGATCTGATCTAATTGTATGCAGACTGTTGGTTCCTTGCTCTCGGGCAGATCCAGCTTCAAAGGAATTCCATAATTAGTCCACTCCTATACAACATGCTTGTTAGGGTGGGGCTATTCTTTTTTTTTTCTTTCCCTCACATGAGGTCCTGGAACCCACCCAAGGAAAACGGTCTCTATATGATTTACTCAAAATGTTGTGAAAAAAAAACTTTTTTCCATTGCTTATATTTTCTGAAGAAGTCAGGGTGCCAAGGTGCACATTTCACAGCTGTATGTAAGATGCTGACAGCTAGTGCCAAAATGCACATTTCACAGCTGTATGTAAAGATGCTGACAGCTAGTGTAAAGGTGCACATTTCACAGCTATATGTGAAGATGCTAAAAGCTAGTGCCAAGGTACACATTTCACAGTTGTATGTAAAGATGCTGACAGCTAGTGCCAAGGTGCACATTTCACAGCTGTATGTAAAGATGCTGACCAGTTAGTGCCAAGGTGCACATTTCTCAGCTGTATTTCAAGATGATGACAGCTAGTGTCAAGGTGCACATTTCACAGCTGTATGTAAAGATGCTGACAGCTAGTGCCAAGGTGCACATTTCACAGCTGTATGTTAAGATGCTGACAGCTAGTGTCAAGGTGCACATTTCACAGCTGTATGTAAAGATGCTGACAGCTAGTGCCAAGGTGCACATTTCACAGCTGTATGTAAAGATGCTGACAGCTAGTGCTAAGGTGCACATTTCACAGCTGTAGATAAAGATGCTGACAGCTAGTGCCAAGGTGCACATTTCATAGCTGTATGTAAAGATGCTGACAGCTAGTGCTAAGGTGCACATTTCACAGCTGTAGATAAAGATGCTGACAGCTAGTGCCAAGGTGCACATTTCATAGCTGTAGGTAAAGATGCTGACAGCTAGTGCCAAGGTGCAAATTTCATAGCTGTAGGTAAAGGTGCTGACAGCTAGTGCCAAGGTGCACATTTCACAGCTGTATGTAAAGATGCTGACAGCTAGTGCCAATGTGCACATTTCACAGCTGTACATAAAGATGCTGACAGCTAGTGCCAAGGTGCACATTTCACAGCTGTACGTAAAGATGCTGACAGCTTGTGCTGTAAACATCTGGCACTAGGATTATTGTATATACAAACTGTAGCTCCCCACAACTCGCAGCAAACGATTCGTCTGCTGGTTCTTTTTCCTCTTCTTCTTCTTCTACATGTTCACTGCTGTAAACTTTGGCAAAAAGTTCTGGTTGTTCATCCACTTCTGAACTTTGGTCTGCTTCCAGAACCTGAGTACATGTCTATTTTACAGAAATGGCTGATTTGTATGCAGACTGTTGGTTCCTTGCCAACTTTGAAGGAAATACAGCTAACAGTCGGTCTGTTCTTTGTTCTCCAAAAGTGAACCCCAGAACCCACAGGTGGATCTGCTGGTTCAACGGTGGACAGAGAAAATAAGATAAATATGACTTTAAAAAAAAATATTGTGTCTTTATCTACAGGCAGTTTAATCACCGCCATGACGATGATTCGTACACATGCACTGTGCAATGCAGACAAGTTTGGCCCCTTATTGTTGACTGACTGACTTTCTACCCCACCAGGACATCACACAAGCAATAAACACCCGATGACACAAAGTGCCACCATGTGGATGAGGATCACCGTGGAGAGGTCCCAGAAACCGCATTCAGCCACTAGGCTATATTGCGGCCCCTGGCATGAGCCAGAGTGGAGCTTCAAATAACAACAAATTGCATCCTAAAAAGGACGGGAAAATTATAGTCAACCTTATTGGTTTTTTTTTTACTTATTCTTAAACTAACCATCTACTGCACTACGAAAGGGTGAAACACAATATATTCTTCCTTTCTTTTCTCAATTTTCTGCTTTGTGTGGCTAGGCACAGTAGGCTGCCTTCCGCTGGATTGAGAATCAGCTGTACACACATGCCGTGATTGTAACTGACTCACAGAGAATGTTGAGAAAGGTAAAGACAGGCATGCTCGATGCAGAGTGGTAAGCATAACTTCAGAGATCCCTTTGGATATTTTCTGCAGGTCATGCCAGTGTGCTGGGAAATTAACAGGCAGATAGACTGGTCAGTTCTGCACCATTTGGTGGTGAACTGATGTATGACAAGCCAGATGTTGTAAGGGCCCTACAGGAGCGAGTGAACAGTGCGGAGGCACAAACAGATCAGTAGGTTCTGAGGAAAATGGGGTTGCGAGGACTTTACGGTGGATCTGGCCGACACTCAAGACTCAAGGGAAAGGCGAGATGGGATGTACAGTCAGACAGTTACTGGTACCATCGGAATTGGAACTCTTCTCTCACAGTACACATGGAAGGGTCCCGAGGGCTATGATGTTGATTCCTAATTCAACATTCAACATTGACACTAGGCATCTCAGGTTAATAGATGATTACTTTCTGAACTAAGGCACGCTTGGTTGCCTGATATGCTGTAATGTTGTGGAGTATCAAGACATCTCTGACTCCTTCAATCCATATTCTTCATGTTCACCCTCTACCTCTTGGTGTTTGTATTTTTATGTTGTACGCTTTTTTGGGTTCTCCTTGCAATAACGGTCGCTACTTGGATGGCGACGGCCGCTTAGTCAGAGTTCAGTCCCCTGGCTGCAGTGCAATTACGGAGTGGACAAGGCACGAACCACAAAACACGCTGAGTTCAACATGGCGTCTAGACCACGCGCTGCGACTCACATTAGCCTAACCCTACCCCTAATTATGTAATTTGTGTCGTTCCCTCTTTTCCACTCCGTAATTGCACTGCAGCCAGGGGACTGAACTCCGACTAAGCGGCCGTCGCCGTCCAACTAGCGACCGTTATTGCAAGGAGAGCCCTTTTTTGGTTTGTTTTTAAGTGTTGAACTTGTTTTATAACTTTGGTCTTTTATCTTCATGTTAACTGTTTGATGTTCTATTGCTATAAACGTGATTTGTGTGTTGTTGTTTGTTTTTCGCCGTTTATTTTCATAATATTATTATATTTGAGGCTGTAATCCTGTAGAGTTGGTTTATCATAAATCATGTGATCCGCACTGATCCTGTGGCTGATTAACCTAATTGAAGTAATTGTGGAACAGGTTTTGGTCGTCAGTGGACAGGTGTTCGAGGAAAGGTTCGTGTTCATCCCCAGCTTGTGACATTTTGTTGATACTGTCTATGAATATCATAAAAAAGCGAAGGTGATAAAACACATCCTTGTCCTACTCCTGGTGTTTTACTGGAAACCAGTTGAGTCTGAAAGGCCAGCTTTTGTTCTGACGGCAAAGAGCATATAACAAATATAAGTATAGCATACATACGAAATTATAAAGTGTTTACAGCTTTAAATAATTCATTTTTATTGATTTAGTGTGCTTTGATAAAAGAAGGAAACGAATAGAAAGATTGTTCAAAATGAAAATGATTCCAACTTCTTTACTGGAAGCCATCTTGTTGCTACAACAGTTTATTCGGAGCTATACTTAGTAGTAGTTTCGTATTCGTTCTTGTTTCATTTTTGTCCGTCCGTCAAAGAGCTGTTTGTACGTTGTGATTTACAGCCTGACTACGATATCTGTGCCTGTCTGTTCAATATATGGGATACTGCAGATCTGAAGGTCCCAACTTTTTTCTTTCTTCAAAAACTACCTTCGCTCCCAGATCTTCTTCTTCTTCACTTCCTCTTTTACCGCTGTGGGTGTCGAGGAAGATATAAGGTTCTGTTTCTAGCTCTTCTGGCTGCCTCGACCATAGGCACATCGTGCTGTTGTAGAGTTTCTCTGATGTTATCCTTCCATATTGTTCTTGGTCTACCTCGTGCTCTACGTCCTTCTTCTCTTTCCATGTATGCTTTGTATGGTATGGTGTCACAAGGCATTCTCTCTAAGTGGTCAAACCATTTCACTTGCTGTCTTTTTATGTAATCCAGAATTGGCTATGTGCCGACTTGTTCTCTTATGATCTCATTCCTGATCTTATCTCTTATGGCCACTCCTACAGCCCTTCTCGGACATCTCATTTCCGCTCCCAGATCGACCAGACTTTAAATGGGTACCAGGTAAAGCCTGGAAGTAAAGGCGACCGGAGTGATGCTGACTACATTACCCACCGACTGCCGATTGGTCTATAAACTATAGGTCTCGCCCTATATGCCCGAAGGCGTCTGAAAAGGTAATTTGCAATGTGTGTTGGGCAATGGGCAGGCTGATAAATTGGATGCTGCTACTCCTCTTGTTTGCAAGCTACTTCATGATAAAGTGGGCGTGGTAAAGAGTGTCTGGTATCAAATGGATACCACGGCACAGCAGAGTATATCTATACCTGGCGATACTCGTTCAGTGAGGATGGGGAATTTCTAAGTGACACTCAACGCGCAGGAAACAAACTTTACTGTGGGGGATAAAACACATCTAGGTTGTTAATGTTGCTACACTAAATCTAAGTATTTAGTTGTCAACAGACTCAGGCCAAATTCACAGAGATGTGAGTGACAGAAAAACAAACACGGAGAGAGAGAGAGAGAGAGAGAGAGAGAGAGAGAGAGAGAGAGAGAGAGAGAGAGAGAGAGAGAGTAACTACAGTAAGTAAAGAACCTATTTTACACAAGTGTCTGCATCAGCCATGGTCGCCTAACTACACTCAGCCATGCATCATCCAAGGTCGTCGTCGGCTATTTAAGACAGCCTTGCATTAGTCAAGATCGTCTTCAGTTATTTAAGACAGCCTTGTATTAGTCAAGATCGTCTTCAGTTATTTAAGACAGCCTTGTATTAGTCAAGATCGTCTTCAGTTATTTAAGACAGCCTTGTATTAGTCAAGATCGTCTTCAGTTATTTAAGACAGCCTTGTATTAGTCAAGATCGTCTTCAGTTATTTAAGACAGCCTTGTATTAGTCAAGATCGTCTTCAGTTATTTAAGACAGCCTTGTATTAGTCAAGATCGTCTTCAGTTATTTAAGACAGCCTTGTATTAGTCAAGATAGTTTTTAGTTATTTAAGACAGTCTTGTATTAGTCAAGATCGTCTTCAGTTATTTAAGACAGCCTTGTATTAGTCAAGGTCGTCTGCAGTTATTTAAGACAGTCTTGTATTAGTCAAGGTCGTCTTTAGTTATTTAAGACAGTCTTGTATTAGTCAAGATCGTCTTTAGTTATTTAAGACAGTCTTGTATTAGTCAAGATCGTCTTTAGTTATTTAAGACAGCCTTGTATTCGTCAAGTCGTCTTTAGTTATTTAAGACAGCCTTGTATTAGTCAAGATCGTCTTCAGTTATTTAAGACAGCCTTGTATTAGTCAAGATTGTCTTCAGTTATTTAAGACAGCCTTGAATTCGTCAAGTCGTCTTTAGTTATTTAAGACAGCCTTGTATTAGTCAAGATCATCTTCAGTTATTTAAGACAGCCTTGTATTAGTCACGGAGTCTGTGGCTTAGGCGTTGCGAACAAGTTTTGTAATGCCGGGGTACTGGATTTGATCCCAGCTGCGAGTCGTGTGCCTTGCGTTGGTTTCGACAGTGGTATCGAGAAGCCAACAGTCCAGAAAGCAGTGGCAAACTACTGGAGTAAATTTGCCTAGAAGAACCACAACAGCCAAAAATTGCTGGGGTTGGTTCTGCAACGTCCTGTAAAGAATATGCATCTAACTTGTATAAGTCGTCTTCAGATATTTAATAGTCTTGTGTTAGTCAAGGTTATTTTCAGTTATTCAAGACAGTCTTGTTTTAGTCAAGGTCATCTTCAGTTATTTAAGACAGTCTTTTATTAGTCAAGGTCGTCTTTAGTTATTTAAGACAGTCTTGTTTTAGTCAAGGTCATCTTCAGTTATTTAAGACAGTCTTTTATTAGTCAAGGTCGTCTTCAGTTATTTAAGACAGTCTTGTGTTAGTCAAGGTCGTCTTCAGTTTTTTAAGACAGTCTTGTTTTAGTCAAGGTCGTCTTCAGTTATTTAAGACAGTCTTTTATTAGTCAAGGTCATCATCAGTTATTTAAGACAGTCTTGTATTAGTCAAGGTCGCCATCAGTTATTTAAGACAGCCTTGTATCAACAGGACACTATGCAATTCACGATCATTACAGCATCAATTTTGACAGATAAAACAGTGATAACCATATATCATTGATAAATTGTCTTTATTAAACTGGGCAGAAGTTGCTAACAGGATTGAAATCATTCATACAATTCATTAAAGAGCAACAGATGAGATAGTCTGGCCATGTGATGAGTATGTCCTGGTACTCACTGCCATAAAGAGCGTCGCTAAAGAAAAATAATGAATAGAGTGCAAGGGGAAGATCATACACAAGAGAGAATGACAGAATGATGAACAGCTTTAAAGACATAAAGATAAACTTATACAACACACTGGCTGTGCCAAACATTAAGTCCACATCACACTAGAAGCTGCAGAGAGCAGATTCCTGGCATAGGAGAAACAAAAGTGACAACATTGATTGAGAAGGTGATGCTGTAGTTTACATGGATGTGTCAGCATTTGGGTCAAGTGAAGTGCATTGGCGTTTACAGTGAGCTCAAGAGGGAAAACCACCAAGGAGATGAATAGTGCCCTGTTGCTACAAACAACTAGTATCCTTACAATGGAAACTGTGGCTGTAACAAGAGAATTAGTATGTCTGGGTACTGGAGAGTTCACACACGCATGCATACGTGGTGACTTAGTGAATATGCTCAAACAAATTTAGGCTGAGCTCTTCAGACAAGAATGGGTTGTATCACTAAGCCTTTTGCATATGTCTAACCTTCACCTGCCGACTCATACAGGTGTTCGAGGAAAAGTATTGGCAGATTATCTTGCAGACACTGCGACTGCTACGGCTAGAACGACATCATCAAAGCCATGAGCAGCACTTAACGTAAAAACAAAAAGGGCAAAGGTCATGACTTCACATCCCTGTCCAAGCTGATGGATATGGAGGTGCACCCAGTCGTTCTACGCTTGAGGAATGTTGAATCTTGAATTAAGAATTGAAATCATAACACTCGGGACACTCCCATCAGCGCTCTGTCCCTATCTTCAGCAGCAAGCGAAGAGTTCCAATTCCGTTGGCACCAGTAATTGTCTGATTGTATATCCGACTCGTTTTTTCCTTAAGCATTGAGCGCCGGCCAGATCCCCTAGTAACTCCTCGCAGCGCCATTCTCCTCAGACCGTAATGATCTATTTGTGCCTATGCACTGTTCACTCACTCCTAAAGGGCTCTCACAATATCTAGCTTGTCATACATCAATTCACTCCAAGTGGTGCAGATCCGGCCAGTCTGCCTGCCTGCTCATTTCCCAACACACCAGCATGACCTGAAGAAAATATCTGAAGGACGCTAACTACCTGGGTCCTCTGAATTGATGCCTGCCACTCTGCACGCAGCATGCCTGTCTCTACCTTTCGCAACATGCTCTGTGAATCAGCTACACTTGGGGAGCTATTGAGAAACGAACGAACAAACTCTATTTTCAAAGGGTCACAAATTGGGCAAACGGGTCCCTCTAAAAATATACACAAACACATACTTACACGTCCATACATACATACAAAGACACATGCATGCTTATACATATATATACATAAATAACGGACACACACACACTCATACATACACCTTTATACAAATACATATGTACACCCACACTCATGGGTACACATACAGGAAGTCAAAGTCATATACATATAGGAGGAGACAGGAGCATCTATGGAACTGTCTTTGAATGCTGTGATGATAATCTCCACTGATCACCAACACATTAGAAAAAGCACACAGAATATCCTCCCTTCACCCTCCACACACACTTTAACAAGGTAATGGGGGGGGGGAGGGGGGGTGGGTGATAAATAATAAGTGGCTAACACACATGAAGTGTGCACAGTCTGCATTCAAATAAGCCAAATCTGTAAAATGGATATGCATAAAAAAACTCAGATTTTGGATTAAGACTAAAGTCCAGAAGTGGACAAACAACCAGAACCTTCAGAAAACAATCATAAGGGGGAGAAATAAACAATACAAAAAAGGAAGTGACTCTGAAGTAACTCTATTATGATACTCACATATAATGTAAACAGATTAATCAAAAGCTTTTTCTTCTTCCTCGATCCTTCTGTCAGAAAACTTATATCAGACGGCCAGTAGCCTTTATGAAAGCTATCGTGCAATCCGTATCCTCTCGTGTACCATACAGTTTTGTCTTCATTGTAGTTGGAACAGGCCAGATTGCGTCTCTGTTCTCAGCATACAGGTGACAGTGTTGGAGCACATGCTCAGCAGTTTCGGGTGCCACCCTGCAGGGACACGTCTCCGTATTTCCTACACCAAAAAATTTGAACATATGTTGACGAAGTCTGTTGTGCCCGGTCTTTAGTCTGAATATGAAGTGAGTCTTGGGGAGAAAATCTGGTGTGGGTATCCAGCCACCTTTCTTGGATACTAGATTGTATTGTTTTCATCTCTTGGTGGGTTAAGTCGCTATTTGGTTGTACCATGTCACTGCCGCTTCTGGCCAATCTATCTGCTATTTCATTGCCTTCCAAGCCACAGTGACCTGGAATCCATTGCAGTACAGATTGTTCTACTGAAGAGCCTAAGCAAATCAGCTGTTGCGTCAAGTCTACAAACTGAGTGTCTTTAGGGTTAACAATTGCTTGTAGAACTGACATAGCATCAGTCAGAAAGACCACTCTGCTATATTTGCTGTGCTGTTGTTTATTCAGGAAAGAACATGCCGCTAGAAGTGCTTCTGTCTCTGCTCTGTAACTGGAGGAATATGAACCTGTTGGTACAGCTTGGTTGATTTTTAAACCATTTGGGCATTCTGTGTATATTCCTCCTCCTCCGTCTCTTAATGCTCTCTTGGCTGAACCATCTGTATACACTCAAATCCAACTCTGGTGTGGGTAAAGTCTATTGATCTCTCCTTCTGTAGTTGATTTCATATCAGTGCTGCTCATTGATGATTTAGAGGAGATCCCTGTTACAGTGGTTCTGACTGTTGGCAGGCTATCCTTGAGCCAAGGGGGGCAGTTTATGTAAGGTTTCAGTGGAACATTTGGTATTATGGGAGGGAGTTTAAGGACAGCGAGCTTAGCATGTGCGTTCTTAATAAAACAGGTTCTCTTTAGTCTAGCCCTCTGGGGTTACTGCAGTCGGCTGTGCACTGGTTGTTCTTTAAAGTGGTGGTATTTGGAGAGCTGGGTGAGGAGCTTTGTGTCTCTCCTATCTTCCAGATCATGGTGACCAGTAATTGTTTCCATGTCTGATATGGGCGTGGAGCGCATTACCCCTGTCATAATACAGAGAGCATGGTTTTGGATCTTTGAGACTCTGAAAATTTGATTTAGCTGTTGTGCCCCAAGCAGCTATTCCATATTCTAGTGTTGGCCTCACATAGCCTGTATAGGTCCTCTTAAGGACATTAAGGTTTGCCCCCCAGTCTGTTCCAGCTAACTTCCTCATCAGTTGGGTTCTCTTGAGTTCCTTGCTCTGTCTTTGCTATCTGTTTTCTCCATGTGAGTCTTGGGTCAAAAGTTACTCCTAAATATGACGGTGAGTCATCATGTTTCAGTGCCTGGCTGCCATATGTAAGTAAAACTTTCTGGGATTTGATAGAAAGACTGAAAATGGTGTGTGTGGTTTTGGCCCCATTTACAGGCATGTACCAACTATTGGACCACCTCTCTAGAGTTCCGAAGGATTCTTGAAGCCTTGTCTGCACTTTTCCAGTGTCCTCCTCTGAACTCAGTAGCGCCAGATCATCGGCATACATAACAGCTTGAACTCCATTACAGAGGGTTGATTTTATGTCGTTAATGTAAACTAGGAAAAGAACTGGGGACAGAACTCTGCCTTGTGGAACTCCATGTTTCATTGTGACTGATCTGCTTCTTGAACCCTGTATCTTAACTCTTGCAAATTGATTTTCAAGATATTTTACGATCCACCCAAGCATGTGATGGAATATTCCACTTTCAAGTAGCTTTTGTTTCAGCCCATTTTTTCACACTTTGTCGAAGGCCTTTTCCATATCCACCCAGACTGCAATAGTGTGCTTTTTTTCCTGGAATGCATCTTCAATGTGTTGAGCAATAAATGTAATTTGGCCTTCTGTTGATCTAGAATGTCGAAAACCTGCCTGTTCCTCCATTAGTTTGAAGTTTTTCTCTAGGAACCAGGTCAGTCGGTTGTTCAATAATCTTTCAAATAGTTTGCACAGACAGCTAGTGAGGCTGATGGGTCTGTAGCTGTCTGCGTTGTTTTTCGGCTTTCCTTGATTCAGGATTACGAAGATTTCAGACTTCCTCCAGGCTGGAGGAACTATACTAAAAATCCAGCTGGCATTAAAGATGTTTAATAATTTCTTTTTAGTACTTGGACACGTGTAGTAACAAATCATTCGGTATTTTATCGGGGCCATGAGCTTGGTTGGATTTCAGCTGGTTGAGTCCTGTGTTAAGTTTACTCATTGAGAATTTATCTGTCATGATGCTCTCTGCTAGTTTACTTTTGCTGGCTTTCTCGAGTTCTTTGATTCTTTGTACTACCTCATCTTCTCTGGAATATTCTATATTAATATCACTAACAGATTTAAACTGATTTAAAAAGATATTCGCAGCATCGTTTCCAGATCTGATCTCATTGCCCTCATTTATTACTACTGGATTGGCTTGTTGGGCTTCTCCATTTAGACACTTGACTAGTTTCCAGAGTTTGGACCCATCTTTTTCAAAACTTAGTCTCTTGGTTTTGTCTTGCCAGCTCTTCCTAGTTGCTTGGATTGTTTCTTTTTTAAGCTTGGCTTCTGCTGCTTTGTAAGCAATGTTGTTTTCTACCGTTGGGTTGCTTTCTACTCTGAGAGAGTTTGGTGGAGGTCTTGAATTTGTTGGGACCAAAATGCGATGTAATCTTTCCTTGAACTACGAGGTATGGTTTCTTTGGCTGCTTTTAATATAGCTTCTGTAAACTCTTTTACTGATTTAGCAACCTGACTTGATTTGCCATTTACATTTATCGAGTATACATCAGCAAGGGTAGCAAAACTGTTCCAGTCAGCTTTCTTGTAATTCCAACGAGGGGGTGGCATCGAATGAAGGCCTCTCATATTTAGATCAGAAATCAGGATCGGTCGGTGATCACTACCTGCTAGTTGGCTGAGCACCGTTTTGTGTATGTTGCTTGCCAAGTCTAACGTCGCAAATGTTAAGTCTGGGCGGCTGGTTGAAAGCCATCTCCTGGAGAAAACAGATTGGGAATCATCTGGTTTGTTGATTAGCTGGAGTCTGGCATATGTCTGCCAGTCCTCCACTTCGTCTCCTCTCTGGTTGAGCTGTTGATATCCCCAGCTTGGAGAGCAGCTGTTAAAATCTCCTAGAATGATGTAACTGTTATCTGGGATTCTCATGTTGTATAACGTGAGTTCTTTGCTTGGAGGGCAGTAACAATTGTATAATACAATTTCCTTGCCTGCAATGTTAAGCCTGACACCCATGATCTCAGACTCCTGTTCTGTGTTCACTGTAAGACTAGCTGCTGGGATGCTGTTTTTTACTAGGATGAGGACTCCTCCCTTGGGACCATTTTCTTTGTCCTATCTGAAGCACTGGAAGCTTCTAATACAGAATCTGTGCTTATCTGACAGGTGCGTCTCCTGTATACAGGCAATGTCAATAATCCCTTCGGTAAGATGTTTTGTAAGTGCAGCTTTTTTGTTGCAGACTCCCTCTGCATTCCATAATAAACACCAGAATATCAACACATGCTATTATTTACTTTTAAGTTAGTACATCTTTTCAAAATATTTGTTCTAAAAATGAAAAGCAAAAATTATAAACATGAGTTGGAAAATCTGAACATAAAGTACATATGCCAATATTATTTGTTATTCCACAGATAATTTCACATCCATTCTGTCTTCTGTCACAGATAACAATTATATTAACCTTTTCTATCTGAGCTATTGGTTTAACCCTGTCGACTCGACAGGGTAGGCGTTCTGGCCACAAAAGCAATAGCTACAGTAAGGAATGCTGATAAAAGACATGAGGTTAGATGAAATAACATGTGTAGGAATGTGTGAATGAGGAATTAGGAGTGGATATCGTAAAGAGGGATGTATGAGAGGAACGGAATGACGTGTGTGTAATCAGTGTGCTACGTGAACAGTTAGCATCTACACCTTGAGACATTTGCAGTTGGAGACGGAGCATCTATAAGTATGCCTAGTGTGCTATGATGTTGATTCTTTAATCAGTAATCAGTCTTTGCTTTTTGCCAGCTGTTGAAGATGAAGTGCTTTATCTAAACTCTAACCACTATATACGCTTCATATTCTTTAACCTGTTCAGCAGCCAATCGGCCGTCACAAACCACAATGAATTAGGTCTGAATATCAACGATGCCATGAACCCCATGGAGCTGGCAGGAGAAATAACGTGAAGATGAAGGTGAGAAATTGAATTAAATGGCGGCCAATGAAAGCCGAGCCGAGAGTCAGCTATGTCTCCACCGCCCTGAGTCAGAAATTCTTCCCCGACAGCTACAAGCTTATTTACAAGATCAATGTCTTTGGGCCCTAAATGTTTGGGATCTTTGATGTGTTCCTGTGGGACCACCAAGTAATGGTGGGCTGCCGCTGGTCGGATGTCTTTGAAAATGACGATACCGTCTTTCTCGTAGAGAAGACGAGAGCTTGGTTCTTGATTGTGGGCTATTCTGCAGAACAGACATTTATGTCTTTCTGTGTCTGAGAGTCCACTGTCTGCCATCTGAATCTGTGAACAGCCTCTGGAGTAGCAGCAACTATCTACAGATGAAAATAACAACAATTCATTCAGTGTCTTTCAGTTTGTTAAACCAGAATGGAGAAGTTTTTCCTGCTTTTTATCTCCCAATGGAGAATAGGCTTTAAAAAACTACCCAGTGGAGACTTGGTTTTCAATAATTACCCAATAGAGACTAGGCTTTCAAAAACAAACAAAAAACAAAAAAAAACATTTTAAGATTGTTCAAAAGACCCAGATTCGTATCCTCAGTAAGTTTTAGAATTTTTTATTTCTTGGCACAAAAAATAAATGCCAGCCAGCCAAGTCCGTCGCTACTGCTCTAACCCCAAGCAGCTTTATTTCTCAGGTTCAAAACTACCCCCCCCCTTCCCACCCCCTGAACTCTTCCCCCCCCCCCCCCCCCCCATCCTACATTGTTCTAAAAAGTGGTAAACAGTCTGAAGGGTGGTCACGATTGGTCAGATTTTGCAGCTAAAGTTTCTAAGATCATACGGTTGCGTGTAGGGTTTGGGTTAGGGTTACGGTTAGTGTTACGGATAGGGGTAGGGTTAGGGTTAGGGGTAGGGTTAGGGGTAGGGTTAGATGTGACAATTTTGACGTTGGAGTTCCAAATACTGGCCGACAATCTGATGCTACTTCTTCCGACGAAAGTATCAGCGCGGTCGCACCCGTCACGGTCGTTGGGTCGTAGGGCTAGTAGAGCGTCAGACTGGCCATTGCTACTTGGAGCTTGTGCGAAGACGAGATGCGGCGACATTGGAGAGGATCATAACAGATCACGTCCTGCCGGAAACGACCATCGTGACTGACGCTTGGCGAGGCTCTCCTACGTCAAAATTGTCACATCTAACCCTACCCCTAACCCACACCCTACCCAACCCTACACGCAACCGTTTGATGATAGGTAACCCTACACGCAACCGTATGATGACTACGCAACCCTTCACGCAACCGTATGATGCCTACGCAACCCTACACGCAACCGTATTGACTACGCTTCTCTACAAGCAACCGTACGCAACCCTACACGCAACCGTATGATGATAGGTAAGTATGTCATTTGATTCGTGACTTTTCCGCTCCCTGTTTGCAATGCGGCCAAGGGAGATAACTCCCACTAAGCCGAACTAAGCCGTCCAGCTACCGTCCGGTATTGAAAGAAGAGCCAAGAAACCTATTTTTTCCTGACCAAGCTCAGAAACTGGCGTGGTGTGCAAATACTGGAGCTTTACATCTGCTGAAAGGCATGGTGACCCACACAAAGTCAGTAAACTGAGGGAGACCTGTAAACATGCGATATTAAGAATTAGAACGACTAAGTCAAAGGGGAGGCTGCAGATAAAAAAGACAGGCATAATCTATGTTAACCTGTTCCTCTTCCGAATTTTATATAAAGTAGTCTGACATCTAAAGTAGACTTGATCCATAGTGTAAATAAAACTAAAGTTCTACTTTGTACAGTCAACGACAGAAACACTAGTTAGCAATATAGTACCCTATCTGACGTCTGTGAGAGACTTCTTTTATGGATCGTCTTGTCTCTGGCCGCTCTCCACGGTTGAAATTCAGAAACTCAGCAGACAAAAATGGAGGGTGACTTCCCCCTGGGAGACAAGTCGCAGGTTTGTGTTTATGATTTTGGTTGTTGGAACAAACTAAACTGCTGGAAACATGGACTTACCGATGTTATTATTAGAAGAAACTGATATAAGAGTACTGCAATTGTAAAATACGATGCTGAAGATACACATTTTAGTTCAGAATATTGGATAAACACAGAAAGTGTAGAAATTACTCTCTTTCTATGTTGAGCTACCTGTCGTCGATAATATACATTAGTTACTAAACTGTTTACAAAATCAGTACTTTCTTTGAGTTTACACTGAATGAAAGTAACTTCTTTTTATCGACGTTAAGGATATGGCCCTGCCCTGTTCTAAGCTTAGCCATATGTATAATCTTATTATTTCTGTGTAATTCACCGTAGCCGTAATTCTACTCTTAATGAAGTTTATGAAGAATGTTCACCGGCTGCAAACTTTGGCGGAAAGTAAATTATAAATGTGAACACTTCTGGACTTTGGTTTTGTTCCAGAACCTGGGTGTTGCGTGCACATCCGTTTTACTTATTTGTATACAGATTGTTAACTCTTTGCCTTTCATGCAGATTTCGAAGGAAGCTTCCAGCTAGTCGACTCTTACTTACCGGGATCTATTTAACTCTAATTCAGTTCAGTAATTGAATTGAATTAACAATTAACCCTTTGGAGACAGAGCCTTCATCATCATGAGAGGATTCTTTTCATTTCACAATTATAAAAAATTAAGTGTTTAATTAAGAGAGAGATATATTATAATTATACATACATACATATATAATATATATTAGAAATTGAATGAACTAACACAATCTTAATAATCACAATGACATCTCAACATTTATTCAAATTAGCTATTGAATTTGCATTTTTATAACGTTTTGCATGCATTTTTAAAAATTAGGACAAACATGACTAAACTGAACAATTTGGCTAATGATTTTGATTAATGAAGCCTGAATAAGTCTTAGTCTTAGCACTTGTCTTGTGTTTTGGGAAGCAAGGCCCATGTAGGTCCTCCAGACACCTCTGGCATATGGTTGTGCTCCTTTTCCTGCCACATTTTGGTTGCTATGGTGCAAAAGTGCTTTTCGCCATAGTTGGACATGGGTAACTCCTCTTCCCCCCCCCCTCCCTCCCCCCCCCAGTATAAAATTACCGAACACAGCAAACTTTCATGAAAGCCATCATTGAGTAGCCCATGTGTGCAAAAAATGAAAGAAGCAATCTGATTGGCTGGTGAGAAAACTTGCCAGCCAATCTTAAGGCTTGTATTATGGGGCCAACAGATCGGCCCAGATGTCTTTTTGGCTATTTTACTGTTTGGCTGATAGATCGGCCACATCATCTCCGGAGTGTTCACCAGTATAGCCAGGAGTATATATGTAACTTGTGGTTAGTGAAGTGAATTTAAGAAAAGTTTTTGTTACATAAGACCGTAACCAGAATAGTTAAATAGATCTTGAAAAAAATGTAACCCAACAGTAGCTAGTGCAGCGAAGACGGGGAAAAAGACATTGATGACATAAATTGCATATAACATTATGTTGATCATTGATTTTTAAACATTCGTATATGACAGGGCAGGTGTGATCAGGACCCTTTGGGAATAAGTAATGGACTCAGAAGAGAAATAAGATTACTGTGGCCTGGAGAGAACAAGGCACCTGGGTGTAACCAGAGGGTCTGGCTGGCTCACTACACTCAGAGGAAAGGCTAGACAGACATATAACCAGACTACGACCGGTACTATTTGTGTTGGAACTCTCCGCTGGCTGCTAAAGATGAGGACGGAGAGCATATGGGAATGCTATGAGTGCTGTAATGTCAATTCTTGATTCAACTCAAATCAGCTCAGCTTTTGAACATTCTAATTATGATATTAGACTGCTGATGATTAGTGTTACGAGAATTCCTAAAGATTTCTTCAGAGGTAGGGAAACTGATCTCGTAGAAAATAGAAAAGAGGAAACCGTTGGTAAATTTATGGGATTTAAATTGCCGATACAGGTAAGCCTGTTCATGACAGTAGTGTAGTAAAATGAAGATTAAACAAGATGAATTAAACATTGTTGCATTTATTTATGGATGAAGTGACAACGTAGATGCTTTCCTTTCTTAATCAAATTTTGTTTTCAAGTATTATTTTTAATGTTCTGTTTGCGAAATCTTTCTTGTACTAACATTTGGTTGGATTTATTTTTTGTTACTTACTAATTTTTTTTACATTTCAAATAAATAGTTGATAGGATGTTGGCTTCAGTGTACTGCAAAGAGTAACAAATGAGAACCAACTACAAAGTTTTCCAACCTGTATTCTAATATTTAATTATTATATAAGGTTAGTTGTGTATCCTTTACAGGACGTTGCAGAACCAACCCCAACAGCCCCTGGCTGTTGTGTGGTTTTTCTAGGCAAATTAACATCCAGTGGTTTGCCATTGCTTTCTGGACAGTCGGCTTTCTTGATACCACTGTCGAAACCAACGAAAGGCACATGGCCTGCAGCTGGGATCAAACCCGGCATTACGAAGCATTTTCATCGACTTAGCCACAGAGCCGACAATTATTATATAAAGAGACACAAATAATGTGTAATGATTGTATCATAATTTCTTGCAGGTTTTATTGCAGTAGTACGTGTCCAGGAAAATCAACAAGTAGATTAATTTTTTAAAGAAAAGGAAACAGTGTGACCGGCACAATGGCGGCAAAAGGAAAAGTGCCGATCATGTCTACGGCAGGTGCTATACCTGTCAGGAATGAAAAAGGTAACTGTCGTTAATTGTTGATACTTTTTATGCTCAACTTTGTTGGTCATCATTATGTTGCAGGTCCATGTGGAATGTTTGTTTCTGTAAGAATTTATGTTTTTGCCATGACCTGTCAGAATTTGGACCAAGCTGCTTGAGGGTGGATCTAGCTGTTGCCCTAGCTGTTTAAGGGTGGATCTAGCTGTTTTAGGGTGGATCTAGTTGTTTGAGGGTGGATCTAGTTGTTTAAGGATGAGAGCGGATCTAGTCGTTTAAGGGTGGATCTAACTTTAGGTGTGGACATAACTGTTTCAGGGGGCATCTAGCTGTTTAAGGGTGGATCTAGCTGTTTGAGGGTGGATCTAGCTGTTTGAGGGCGGATCTAGCTGTTTGAGGATGAATATAGCTGTTTGAGGGTGAATCTTGCTTTTTTGAAGGTTGATCTAGCTGTTTGAGGGTGGATCTAGCTGTTTGAGGGTGGATCTAGTCATTTAAGAGTAGATCTAGCTGTTTAAGGGTGGACCTAGTTGTTTTAGAATCTAGCTGTTTGAGGATGGATCTAGTTGTTTGAGGGTGGATCTGGTTGTTAAAGGGTTTACCTAGTTGTTTAAGGGTGGATCTAGCTGTTTAAGGGTGGACCTATTTGTTTTAGGACCTTTGTCCACCTGGGAATAATTAGGACGCAGCAGCAGAAGAAGAAGAATATGATGATAGTTATGACACAGATGTGTTTTCTAAATAAACTATTTCAGTGATTAAAATTGTGAAAATATTTCTTTCTGAGATATGCTGCTGTTTATGAGCCAGTTTTGTGAGTGTTCAAATAATTGTTGATGCATATCGCTTCTTTACTGGCTAGGATTCTGTCTGTTTCCTCTACAAGTTTTCGTCATTTGCTTGTCGGCTGCCTTTAGCACAGTGCAGAAAGGGAGTAAAAGGTAATAGACAGAATATACCGTCAAAGTAGTTCCATTGAAAACCTGCGTCATGAATGCTGATAGACTGCAAATGTTGGGTACATATAAAGAATAGTAAACAGAGACAAAAACTACATACACAAGAGAGCTAGATGGTTATAGACATGAGATAGAGCAAGAAGATTGTGGAGAGATCATATACAGGCAGACCTACAAGAATTTGGAGCAACCAGCTGGAAAGAGAAGGCCAGTCATGGGCATGAAGGAATGAAATCTGCAGCAATGGACCTCGGGGGCTTGCAATGCTGAAGAAGTTAACACTGAAGTAGTAGTCGCACAATTTCAGGTATGCATTCCTGTTTCTAATATTTCGTGCTCTGTTTGTCATTTCACAGGTGAACTGACTATGGAGAAGGTGAAGGTCACAAGATACATGAGAGGTCAGAGGCCAGAATTTGCCCCTGAGAGCAGCAGTGATGAAGAGGAAGAGGTAGAAGTAACAACAGGCTTCCAGAACCGAATCAGATCCACTCAGGTTGAGGACAAGAAAGAAGAGGAAGAGGAAACTGAAAAAGAGGCCCAGGAAGTACAAGATCGTCGGTTACGGAGACTTCAACAGCGAGAGCAGCCTGAGGATAGTGACAATGAGGATGACAGGTGAGTGGCTTTCTCTTGATAATCATCATTATCATCCAGGGTTGTGAGTTAGACTGGTTCTTTTTGCCTTAGCTTCAGCTTCAACATTCTAGCAGTCATTAACAAGGGTAGTGTACAGACTTAGAGTGAGTTGGTGCTGCAACATTCTAGCAGTCATGAATAAGTGTACATGACTCTTCTTCCCCCCCCCCCCCCCCCCCCCCCCCCCACCCCCCCCCCCCCCCCCCCCCCCCCCCCCCCCCCCACACACACACACACACCACTCAACACAGTTCATGGCATTTTGTTCACTTGAACAAAATGCCTAGTTATGTTATAACAATTGTTATATCACACACGCCACAATATCTGGTTTAAGAATGGAGATGAAGGCAGTCACTGCAGCCTTATGCAGCTCCTGACAGAGTGTGGACTACCATGTAAATATTCTGTGATAGAAATAGTTGAATGTGCTTGGTATGTTGTGCTATTTTAAACTTATAACTGTTGTCGTCAGGGTCGCTCGTCACCGCCGTGAGGTTGTGGAACCAGAAGTGCTTGCAGAAGGATCTGATGAGGATGGTGATGATGACAAACCTGTGAGGAGGAGGAGGCCAGAAGACAGTGATGAGGGAGATGAAGACGAGGAAGAGGAGGAGGAATTGGATGAAGAGGTTTTTCCCTTATTTCTTTTATATTCTACTCTCTTATTTTCATATGTAAAATATGAATAGTTTTAACTATGTACATCTGTGTGGACTGCTACAGTCGCTTGACTATGATATCATTGCATTAATCTAGAAGAAGATGGGTTCTAGAAGTCAGTGACAGCCTAAGACATCACAACACACCAAGAAAACCAGTGTGCCATAAGCTTGGGTATATTCTTCTGTTAAACTGCAATGGTTATTGTCCTTACCTGCAGTTTGAGGTTTTGAACAACGGATCAACATCATGGCACACGGGTGTCACCAATAAGTGCTCTGTTCTTCTTCTGTCTAAGGTCTGGGTCCAAAGAAGCTATGCACAGGCTCTGTAGCACCGGCGAGGATCCTGAAATACATTATGGTAGATTTTTAACTGCAAATTTTGCCTGGGCAGCGCTGTTAGGCTACTCTTTTCAATTTCCAACTGCCAAGGGATTTTTTTACGTTCGCAACAGTGCACATGGGCATCCAATCTCACTACCCAGAAACCATAGGGAATTACTAGAAGTCCAAGTCCAAATGAAATAATCCCAGCCCAGTACCAGGGATTGAACCCAGAACCTCTAGCACTCGCACGGACACTATGCCTCGAGACCACGCAGCCCCCTCGGGGGAATGTCCTTACCTGCATAGGACTACAGTTAACTCCTGGCTGGTGTCATCAATATGGGTGCTCTAGTTATAACTTTCTGGGAGGTTGAACAGGATAGGTGGGATCTGCCGTCCAGATGGAGATTTATTAGGATAGTTTGATAAACCTTGAGATAGTAGCCCAGAGGGGTTAGACTGATGGATCGATGAGTGCTTGGTGGCACACAGCAGATGTTGATGACAGAAAGCACACAAGAATATACCAGTCATGGGTGGGTGTCAGAGGACAGTGGATCTGCAGTCATAATAGACATACAGTGATATACCAGACATGAACAGTTGGGAGAGGTGTTTTTAGAAGTTGTAGTACTAGCAGCAGCGGCATAGATAGTAGTTGTAATAGAAGTCATACGGTGATATACCAGACATGAACAGTTGGGAGAGGTGTTTATAGAAGTTGTAGTACTAGTAGCAGCGGCATAGATAGTAGTTGTAATAGTAGTAGTAGTTGTTACTATAGTAGCTGTAGTTCTAAAAGTGGTAGAAGTAGCAAAGTAATAGTAGTAGTAATAGTGGAGCAGTAGTGGCAGTCGTCATCATCATGTGCCATGCTGATAAGCCATGTCACATGGATCAGGTCAGTGTTCTTGTCTCACCCCCATCCATATATTTATTTCTTGGCCTCCCCTGACTCTTTGTCCAGCAATCTTGCCAGATATTTACCACGTTCTTGAGTCCATTCCTTCTCATAACATGTGCGAACAACTGTTTACATCTAATTCTTCTGATCAGTTTACAGCTTTTCTTTTTTTTCTATCATTCAGTGATATTCTTTGCATTCCTCTTTTACACACGCACACACAAAAACCACATCTCACTGCCATTAAATATTTCTCTCTTCCTTCCTTTCCAAACCCCAGTGGAACATAGGAGCTCGACCAACTCACGCCAGGTTGTTCTATCCTTCACTGTTGCATGCAGAGCTTCCCCCCATGTTGGCCCCGTCTGTTTAACTTCACTCTCTAGCTCCAGTCTCCATGTATTTTTTTTAGCTTTCCTTCATTTCTATGCCTAAATATTTCTCAGCGGCTGCTTATTGTCCAGATCTCACGTGCCAGGTTCTAAATGCACTGTAACACTCTTTCCTCTATGGTGTAACACAGGTTCTAAACGCAGTGTGACACTTTCCTGCATGGTATAACACAAGTTCTAAAAGCACTGTAACACTCTTTCCTCTATGGTGTAACACAGGTTCTAAAAGCACTGTAACACTCTTTCCTCCATGGTGTAACACAGGTTCTAAAAGCACTGTAACACTCTTTCCTCTATGGTGTAACACAGGTTCTAAAAGCACTGTAACACTCTTTCCTCTATGGTATAACACAGGTTCTAAAAGCACTGTGACACTTTCCTCCATGGTATAACACAGGTTCTTAAAGCACTGTAACACTCTTTCCTCCATGGTGTAACACAGGTTCTAAAAGCACTGTAACACTCTTTCCTCTATGGTATAACACAGGTTCTAAAAGCACTGTAACACTCTTTCCTCCATGGTGTAACACAGGTTCTAAAAGCACTGTAACACTCTTTCCTCCATGGTATAACACAGGTTCTAAAAGCTCTGTAACACTCTTTCCTCCATGGTATAACACAGGTTCTAAAAGCACTGTAACACTCTTTCCTCAATGGTTTAACACAGGTTCTAAAAGCACTGTAACACTCTCTCCTCTGTGGTATAACAGTAGTAGTAACTGCAAAATTAGTAGTAAAGATAGTCTGTGGTAGGTATGGAGCTATATCAGAAGTAGTGCTGTCATCACTATTGCAGTTTATGTATAATAATAGTCAGGGCCGGTCGTACTTAGGCAGTTCAACATGTCCAGCTGCACAGGGCAGAACATTTCCACAAGCTATAGTTTGGTAGTGTGTAAACGAAAAGCAGTGCTGTAGTTTAGCTGAGGAAAAAGGGGGCATAACATAAATCATTGTACAGGGAACCAGGGCAACCCAGGGTTCTGCTGGGAAGACAATATCCGACAGTCCTTGACTGAAAGAAGACTGGAAAGTCAAAAAGAAAACCGCTGACAGAGAAGTCTGGTGATCTCTCTGGCAAATCTCTACACCCCAAGGTAGAAACGAAGCGACTAAGTCAGTTGTACAGGGATGTCATACGTCCTAAATTAAGACCTGATACAGGTAGCAGCAGCCAGTTTGTGCCGTAACTGTAACTCAGTCTTCCAGTGCTGCGATTGTTGCAGTCTCTCATAAAATCTGTTTACTTTGTTACAGGAAATTGAAAAACGCAGAGCCCAGAGAAGGTTGAAGCTGACAGAGCAAAAAGATGAAGAGGTGAGTGATAGATAAGTCTTGTGTTTTTTTTTTTAGTTGGTGCTGTAGTGGTAATCTGCTTTCTTATTTACTAAGTAGAATTGGTGGTGTAGTGGCTAGACACTCGCCTGTGGATCAGAAGGTCGTGGGTTCAGGTCTTGATGGAGCCGGACTTTTAAAAAAAATTCCTCAAGTCGACCTAGACTTAAATGGGTACCAGGTAAAGTCGGCTGGCGTGATGTTGACTACATCACAAATCGAGTGCCAGTAGGTCTATAAAATATATGTCTAGTCCTATGTGCCCAATACGCCCAAAGGCGCAGAAAAGGGTCCTTTACCTTTTACATACTTTACTTTGTGGTGGTAATCCTGTCTGTTCACAACCCTTTATCTCGTATACTATCGTATACTTTCTGATACAGGTGTATTGGGTCATGTAGAAATGTATGTATGAATGGTTGTCATTCTTTCTTTATGTCACTCCTCTTCTAGGCAGCCAGACTGTAGATAGAGATGTAAAGTTGTTATTGTTGTTGCAAGCTTTCTCTTCTTCTTATTCTTTTTTAATTCAGTATTTTTATTTACGATGTTGATTGCATTGTGCCTGTTTACATCTGGGCTAAAGTTTTGCAACTTTCAGCTGCTACATCCAACTACTCAAGTCGCAAGCTCTTTCATAAAGGGTTGTTTCCTCTGTACACACAAAAAACCTGGATAACTTGCTTCTGTCTAGGTAAATAGGTAGTACACTCATTCCCTGCATCTTCCTGAGTTACACCTGGGGTGTGCAAGATGCGGGTGTTGTTGAACTCTGATCTTCATGGCATTTTGCTGTGAATCTCATACCATCTTACAGCTTGCGAATTGAGCAGTCTCCGTCAGGCTTCCCTAATTGAAAGATAATAAAGGATTAGTCTCTCAGAAGTCAGACAAGTTGATGTTTCCAGGTGAGACCCTGACACTTAGTGTCTCCCAAAGAGCTGGGTGGTACACAGTAGCTAATTATTTACGTATAATTTTTCTTTACGGCCCTTGGTAGTATATTTATGTGTGTGTTTGAGCTGCAAAAGTGCAGTGGTCAGGCTGTTGTCTGCTAGCCCAAAGATCTAAAATTAGAATCGAATAGGATTTGTATAAAATGAACTTGGCTCTAGAGTCGACTGAGCCTAAGATGTAATATGTTGTGAGAAATAAACATAATAGGCTAGATGTTTGTCGTGTCGTACGTGGGGTACCTGTGAGTCTATTACAAATATGCTTCTAGCACAACATGCTTTATGTGACACTATACAAAGCATTGTATTTATTTGTGTGCTGTTTAGATATTTTTTAAATAATTGTGTGTGATTTTATTTTTCAACATTCTTTCTTTTAATACCATACAGGAAGTCATGGATGTTGAGGAAGAAAAAAAGGAAGAGGAAGAATCAGAAGAAGAATCCTCGGAGTATGAGGAGTACTCAGACTCTGAGGAGGAAACTGGTCCAAGACTGAAGCCAGTGTTTGTAAGAAAGTAAGTGATACATTCGTGGGAGGTTGAGAAACAGTGCCATTCCTCAGTGACACTCATAGGCCACAACTAATTTACAACTGGTAATTGAGTTGACATTTTTTTCCACAGCTAATTTGTTTTTTAAATCTAAAAAACAAATGGTGGGGGGGGGGGGGGGTTGATAACCTCATCATCTTTGTCAAGTGCTTTGCAACTGCGAGTCCTGTGTGACATATAATGGAACAACAAGACATTGATGATGTTATTGATATGTTTTATTACCATTTTCATTCCCTTATTTGGTTGTGTCTGTGTGTGTTTATTTCCACTTTCTCCTTCATGAGGCTTCCAAACCAGCATTCAGTAAATTCATTTTGCCAACTGGCATATTTGACTCAGACAGTAACTTATCTTCAAACATTCAATCAAATAAATGATAGTTGTTTAACTACAAAATGTCTTCATCACAGGAAAGACAGAATAACCGTACAAGAGAGGGAACGGGAGGAAGCCAAGGCCAAGGAGTTAGAGGCTGAGGCTAAGAGGCTGGCTGAGGAGAGAAAGAGGCAAACAATAAAGGTCAGTTCTCAATGTGCGGTCAGACTTTTGCCAGTTTACCTTCACTTTACAAGCTAAATATTTCTGATAGGAGAAATAACAAGAAGTTTCAACATTGCTGGGATGACCCTCTTGAGCCAGTGTTCGTCTCTGACTAACACGAAAACTAACACTTTTAGATGTTGATATATTTCTGTTACAATAATACATGACATGGTTGCCACTGTGCACCTTCTGTCTGCCTCTGTCTTCATCACTCTAGTTGTGAGAACATCAATTGACAGAGTAAAATTACTCTGCCAGTAAGTTCTGCTATGACACTGGCAGTTCAGGTTCCAGTTTGAACTGAATATCCATGATGTGCAGCCTGTATATTGGGCAGCAGTCTCGCATGAGGTGCTCTAGACCCTGCAGAGCCTTATTTGCTGGGTATCCTTGTGGATTAGGCTCACCACCATAGAAGCAGGAGCACCCTATTTTGTGTGTGGGTGGGGGTGGTGAGTGCCCCCCCCACCACCACCACCAACTCCCCTAAGTAATTCTGACAGGAGGTTAAGCAGCCCCTTTAGCCATGTATAAAAATTCTCTGTAAAAGTTTTATACATTTCTTATTATTTCAGGCCTAGTATTTTTTTTAATTCAACATGTGGCACATTATTATTGTTTGCTCAAACTAGGATTAGTCCCACCCCTCCCTGGATATTTTCTCTGTGTCACACACCTGTTCACCACTTTATCCATGTCTTTCAGGGTCATGTTCACCTTGACTTAGCAGGTCAGTACACTGGAACCACTCCACCATGGACTGTTTAATATTTATACAAGTGTACAAACATACAGTTTTCTTCTTCTCAACGTTCAGCAGGTATAAACTCCAGCGGAAAAGTCTGGCTGTTCGTCCACTTGTGGCATTTAATATTGTTTCAGAACTTGGGTTCTACAGCTACATCCAGATCTGACTTATTTGTATGCAGGCTGTTGGTTCCTAACCGCTCAGGAAGATACACTTCAACTGAAAGATACACCCTAATTAGTCTAATTCTATGAAATGCTCGTTAGAGGGGAGTGGTCTATTCTTGTTTCCCCATGAACTCACATGGTGAATGTACAGTTATGAAAGAATAGTAAAACAGTGAATCAATTACTTGCCTCAAATTCTGACCTGCACATTCTGTGTCTAGATGGCCAATCAAGATATGAAGAGAGAGTTGGAAGAAGAGAAAGAAGTACAGCAGGCCTTTGATGGTCTGGACACAGACGATGATAACGATGAAGAAGAGTACGAGCTATGGAAGTTACGAGAATTGAAGAGAATCAAACGAGACAGAGAGGAGAGAGAAGCGTAAGTTGCCTTTTTTTTTAAATGGTTGATATATTTCACTGTTATAACAGTGCACAACACTTTTTATTTCTATCTTAATTCATTATCCAGAGTCATTTGGCTATGTGTTTTAAGGTAAGTGAAATCATTTAACGGTGTAATCCTACGCGTTTACCAGGGTTTGGTTTCCACGGTTGGCTGTTTAAAAAAAAACAGTCAGTTCTTATGGCTTTCGCAGTGGTATGAGAGTCACACTGTGGAATTGAGGCCATACCATGTAATAGTCCCTTGATTAGTTGATGGTATGTTGCAGCCAACCTCTATCGTGGGGGGGGGGGGGGGTTAAAACAAATTTATTGTGGGAGAAAAAAGAGATCTAGCTTTTGTGTTTAGGGTTTCCTCTTTCAGCCTTTTGTTGTTGAGCCCTATCAGGAGTGTGCCTTCTTCTTAGCTTTCACTGGTTGTTTGTCAACTTCTGTACTTTGGTCTTGTTCCAGAACTTGTGTTTTGTGTGCAGATCTGTTTGACAGATCTGGCTTATTTGTGTGAAGACTGTTGGTTCCTCGCCTCTCAAGCAGATGCACTCTGACTTAAAGAAAAGAAACAACCCTAAAAAGACACCTTTTACGACACGTTTTTTGGAGGTTAGTGGGTACATTCTTATTGTCTCCAAAATGTGCCCTGGAACTCACACAGAGAAGAAGTATTTCTTCTTCTTTGCTTTCAACGACTAAACTCCGGTGGAAAGTTCTGGGTATTTATCCACCTCTGGACTTTAGTCGTGTTCCAGAACATAAGTGTTGTGTGCACATCCGTTTGACACATCTGACTTATCTTTTTGCAGATTGTTTTTTTCTTTGCCTCTCAGGCAGATGCACTCCTACTTTGAAGAAAGCCCCCCAGTTGGTCAACTCTTATGACATGCTTGTTGGGAAGGCAGTGGGTCTATTCTTGTTTTCCCCACAATTGAGCCCCGGAACTCACACTGGGTGAAGAAGTGTTTGAACCATAGTACTGTCTGCTCCCATCCTACCATTCTAGTTTACTCCGCGAATATGTGATGTCTAGTATTTCTGTCTCCGCTGTTGATAATGTTGAGATATTTTGTTTCAGAATGGAGAAGGAGAAGCAGGATGTTGAGAAACTGAGGAACATGACTGAAGAGGAGAGGCGGCAGGAACTGCGACAGAACCCCAAACAGGTCGTCAACAAGGCTCCCAAGGGAAAATACAAGTTTTTGCAGAAGTACTACCACAGAGGCGCTTTCTTCTTGGTATGTGTGCTTTCTTGTCTTTTTCTTCCTAGTATCCACTGGCTGCAACTCCAGTGCAATGTTGTTCTGGTTGTTTTCCCTGCCTCTGAACTTCATTTTTGTTCCAGAACTTGAGTTCTGTGTGCACACCCATTTTACAGATCTGGCTTTTTTTGTGTGCAGACTGTTGGTTCCTTGCCTCTCAGGCAGATGTACTGCAGCTTCAAAGGATTTACTGTCTTAAATCTTGTTGTGTAGAACAAAGATTGGTGTCAGGTTTGTTTGTACAGCACAACCATCATTACACAGTTGGAGAATAACTTTATCAGAGCTTCAGCCTGCGTCCAGATTACACTCTGTAGCTGTGATGAGAATCAAAGTGTGTGAGAATTACACTTCCTGTAAATATTTTGTACGTTTCTTCTTCCTTTTTGAAAATGAGCCTGGGCAGCAATTATTTCAGCCTTTTTTTTTCAGGTGGGTGTGTTAAATTTTCATCTGTAAATGAATCTCAACATGTTCAGCATATATCACCTGCCTCAGTGTTTCTCTCCTTTGCACTTGGTGACTCCCAAGTGTTTGTAAGACTGCCTCGATGTTATCTCTTCCTGTCTCATGGTCTACTCCCTTTCTGTTTTGTGTTTTTTTCTCTCTGTTAATCTGTCATTCTCTCTTCTTTTTTTCTCTACTCCTGGAAAAGTCAGAGCAGGAAGAGATTTCTAGAAGAGGCTCTTCTAGTCAGTTTGTGAGATTTCTTAATATCCTACAAGCAATAAGTAAGTCACCATCGGTTTGCTAGAGCAGTTACACTTAAACTCAGACTAGTTTAACACAACTTCCACTCTAGGGTGTCCAGAACTGACCTGTTAGATACTGGCCCCAAAAAAAAAGAAATATATCCCCGATTATTCCAGTCCATTAGCACTCGTGATGCAAGTAATTAGTGGCAACTTTAACAAGTTACCATTTTATTGGTGTCCATCATTAATGATGAATCTTCTTAGCATTCACCGGCTGTGAACTCCAGCGGAAAGTTCAGGTTGTTCGCCCCCCTCCTTTACTCTTGTTCCAGAACTTGAGTTTTTGCATACTTATCCATTTTACAAATGTGGCTCATTTGTATGCAGACTGTGGGTTCCTGGCCTGTCAAGCAGATTCGGTTCACTTAGAATGAAACACGCCTCAATGGGTCAATGTTGTCGCCATTCTTGTTAGGAGGAAAGTGGTTCTACACCTCATAATGGATGTGTCTTGTCTTCTCTAGGATGTTGATGATACTGTGTTCAAACAAGACTTCTCTCAGCCCACACTGGAGGATCATTTTGATAAGACAATTCTACCTAAAGTCATGCAGGTATGCTTTCGTATTGTACTGTTTGTATTTATCAGACCTCATGTTTTCATTTTTTTTAAATTATTATTATTAATCAGACCTTTTTCCATCATTTCTTAATATTTATCAGGATTTATTGTTTTTAGTGATGAGACCTAATGTTCTATTGTTGTGCTTGTGTCAGTTTTCATAAAATGTCTGCTAATAGAAGTTTCAGAAATTGTTGAAATACTTTCTCCACATTAGTCCTGGAAAATAAAGGTGACCACATTATGTAATGCGCCAGTTTGACTGTAAAAACATGGGATTGGCAACCGTGGTGAAGGCATAAAATGGGTCAATTACTTATTTTAATCTGCCATCATTGTGCCTACTCTATAACTGACAGTTATTTCTCATTCTTGTTCTCCATTTTGCCCTTAAAAGGGGAGTTATATTATGTTGAGGTTTACAGCTAGGCTACGATATCAGCCACTTTCAGTTCAACTTATTTGATTTCAGTTAATTCCTAATTAGTTGCCTTTTATGACAAAGGATCTGATCTTTCGAAGTTTAGACAGAAAAGAAAACTGAAGCTGTTTGGACTGAAAGACAGACACGTTTAATAAAACTATTAAGCTGTTTGACAGACTAGTTCTAAAAAAAATAAAAGGCTGTTTTACAGACAGAAGTAATTAAAAAAACCATAAAGCTGTTTGACAGACAGAAGTTTTACAAAGCTGTTTGTCAGACAGCGGTTTAAAAAAAACTATAAAGCTGTTTGACAGACAGAAGTTAAAAAAACACTATAAAGCTATTTGACTGACAGAAGTTTAAAAAGAAAAAACCATAAAGCTGTTTGGCAGACAGAAGTTATAAAAAAAATCTAAAACTATTTTTTAATATACACTCTGAAGCTCTGTCATAGACAGTAGAGTTGTTTGAAAGACCATAAACAGTAGTTTGATTGACTAAGACCTGTGATGGATGTAATTATTTCAAACTGACACCTGCTAACCCACTTCATGTTCCCTGCAGGTGAAAAACTTTGGCCGCTCAGGCCGGACCAAGTACACCCATCTACTAGACCAGGACACCACTCAACACGAAGCTGCTTGGATGCAGGACGCCGCCCAAAATCTCAAATTCCACAACGCTCGAGGGGGAGGAATGAAGCAGACATTTGAACGTCCGGCCAATAAAGTCAAAAAATAGTTGGCCAGATAATAACTCATTGAATGAGTACCACTAGGCACATGTGAGATTTTGGTATTAACTCTTTTACTGTCAGTCTTAATGGCCTTCTGTCTCTTGTGCCATCAGATTTGCACATAACCATCTCTAACAAAAGCAGCAGCCATCTTGTTCTTAAATGTTTTTAGTGGACAGAAACGGGTTGCCAGATTGTATGCTGTGTTTTGTTTAGTTGGTGTCATCTTGAAGATGTTTTTGATTGAGATGTGTAACTGACTGAAAGGACATCTGTGACAATTACAATTTGTGTCCAAATATTTTATGATTTTCTTCTGACCTCCATCAGTGAGGATTGGCATAGATGGGGATCGTTTTTGTTTTTTAACAAGTATGTTTCTGTCTGTTCACCCTGCATATTGTATATTCATCCTCGTCGGCAGCAGGTTAGAAGACTGCTGTTAAAATCATCTGATTACATCATCACTTTAGTTCTCTCTATCTATTCTTAAAACATCTCTCCAGTTCAGAGCAGTGTTGTAGTTTGTTCTTCTTGTCAAAGTATGTAGCATTGATAATTCATCTGTTCTCAGAATGTACATTTTACATTAATCATCGCCTGTGTATTGCAGATAGCATAAGCATTCATGTATAACAACATGGTGGCCGTAGGTTCAATTCCTCACTGATGCAGTTGTGAAGATTAATGACCTGTCATCGTTGCCCCCCTCCCCCGTGCCAGGAATAAAGAGGCCTCGGCTGATATTAGCCAGATCACCACAAAGTGCTGATTGGTCTATTAAAATAAGGGGAAGGGGTGTGGGGGCAGCAGCATATATCCATCACACCCAGTGTAAAGACATCAGCACTAGTCTTAATTCAAATCTTGCAGGACTTTAACATGTATGCAAATGATGCTGTGCGTGTGATTGTATGTGTGGAGATATAAAGCAAGAAAGTTGGAAATTAAACATGTTTTAAACAAAACATTTTTGTTTGTCTTGTTTTAACAAATGTGCAAGTATACATGGGGGCTTTAAATGGGAACCTAAAAATGTGATAGCAATGATTGGAAACACGACATTGTCTTGGAGCCTGTTAATATTGTTAGTTAAGAATGAGGCATCACGGTGCAGACAAACATGATGACATCTTGAAACTATAGAAGATGGACAACACAATTTTGAGATGCACCAAAGAGGAGCACGTTCTGTTGCCCGTTCTTTAATCAGGAAAGGGGGTGAAACTTAAAGAAAATGCATCAGCAAATGAAGCTTCTGTGTGGTGATGCATGACTGTCAGTCCTTCAGCAGGAGTATGAGTGGAGAAGGAAGTTCCTGACCCCTGCGACATAATGTGTGCCTGACTCCTGCGACATAATGTGTGCCTGACTCCTGCGACATAATGTGTGCCTGACCCCTGCGACATAATGTGTGCCTGACTCAATGGTTGGCATCAAGGGGACACAGAAAGGTGGGCATTGGGAACGTCTATAAATAAGTATTTATTCTGCAAGGAAACACTGTGCAGCTAGTACGTATGAAATCGTGGACTCATGGCACTAGCAGAATCTGCCAGAGGACAAAGCAAATGTGTACCAATCCAGATGGATACCAGAACTAGGAGTATCCGCAACTTTCAACAACTTGTGAGAACAAGCAGATTCTCCTAGTACACTGGCGTCAATAAGGAATTTCTCCCTCTGTGGGTTCCAGGCTCTGTTGTGGGGAAACGATGAAAAGACCCACTGCCTGCCCAAAAGCATGTCACAGGAGTCAACAAATTGGAAGCTTCCATCAAAGTCTGATATTACATTTGCATGAGAGGTGAGGAACCAATAGTCTGCATACAAATGAGTCAGACCTGGGAAACAGATGTACACGCAACTCAGTTTCTAGAACAGGACTAGAGTCCAGAAGGGAATGAACAATGAGAACTTTCCGCTAGTGAATGCAAAGAAGAACAGGCAGTGATAAATTCTGTTTCTCTGAATTTTTTATATTTTTAATCATTCAACTCAATGTCTAACTACAAAGACATAAGGCATGTTACATGTAACTTTATTATATGAGCTAGGCTCACAGTTACAGATAGCAACATTTGTAATCAACTTTCTATACAAACTAAAGTCAAGTTAAAGCACCGTACATTGTTTCATGGACAACAGATTTCAACACAACACTACAAGTTACCAAGAATATGAAATAGATTTATTTACAGAGAAACAACTTTTTGATTTGAAAGCTTAGTTCAAAATATAACACTGATGATTTTGATGTATAGTATTTCCCCCTGCAAAAGATAAAAAGAAATTTTTAAGCCCCCCCCCCCCCTTTTTTTTTTTATATATTAAAAATACATATTGTAAACACATTCTGTATATAAGATTACTCCCAATTTTAAACTAAAAAATCTGGGAAAGCATATTGTCTTCTTCAAGGAAAATTACTGCATTAAGGATCATGATCAAGTTGTATGTGTATCTGTTGGACTACCAAAGTGGGAATCACACACAACAGAAAAGGTTATTGTACCGTCCTTGTGGTTTTGTTAATATTGTGTGAATAAGTTGGGGAGAGAGCAGTTTGACTGTATTTATGTGAGCAGGCCCTGATTCCAGCATCACTTCCACAAACAGTCCATAGATGGGAAGGCAACAAGTAAATACTTCAGCAGCAGATGCCCACTAGTAATGTAATGACTACATACACAGATAACTGAAAGTCATGACTATCACACGAATGTGATACTGGACACAGACCCATCGTCTACCCTCGTGGATTTAAGCTGGGTGTGCCTATCTACCTGATCTCAACACTATTACAGAAATACACAAAAACCAATGTGGCAACCAGGCAAGTGTTCAATATAGCAAAAGTAGAGTTTTAGCCAAACCACTGACTGCTGTTAGGACTGACATAAGACCATGATGTGCACAAGTCTGGAAGTCTTGCTTCTTGATGATGTGGATGATGTGTATATATGAAAGAACGTTTAAATAAGTAACCCGTCTGCAGTGTGGGTTGCCGTTAACTCTAGCAGGAAGTTCTGGTGTTGGTTCACTCCTGGATCTTGACACAGAACTTGAGTTTTGTGTACATCCATTTTACACTGGCTTTTTTGTATGCAGACTGTTGGCTCCTTATCTCTCAGGCAGATGCACTCAGACTGAAAGAAACACTGCTAATTAGTTGTCTTCCACTACAGGCTCATTGTGTGTGGGGCAGTAGGTCTATTGTTTGTTTCCCAGAATCGAGCCCTGTAAGCCACAGAAGAAGGTTGGTGGTACACAAGTCAGCAGTTTTATGACCTAATGTAGAGAAAGGTCATTAACACAGGCAAACTTATACCACAATCCATCAGTCACACACAAAACATTTCTCTTTGCTGTATTGAGATACTATATCCAGCAGTCAAGTCCCAATCAATATCAGTGTCAACCCTATGTATACTTATTGTGTCTATGAAATACATGTGCATACACTGTATATACATCAACGCATAGAGAGCTGTGTATGTAGAGACAAAGCTGTGTATAAACCAACCATATACAGGATGCCCCCACACAAATGACTATATCATTAGTTACATACAGTCAATGGTAAACTTAAACCTGCACCGGTAGAAACAAGGACAAGCTTAGCCTATTAGAGAGACAGACAGACCAACAGATCCAATTTCAGCAAACCCCAGTTAGCCACCTTTAGGACATGCTTGTTAGCAGAGTGGTGGTCTAGCCAAACACCTCCCTCCTCCCCATTCCCCGAGAGCTTTTAGCAATATCTCCCAACATCCATCCCCTGCCTCATTCAACAGACATTATATATTCAAAGTGATGCAACCTATTTCAGTGTTCAACAAGCTATTCCAACACTTAGTAACCCTGTATTGATACCTATGAACTCCTAACTGAAGGGACACATCTCAATGTTCAACAAGCTATTCCAACACTTAGTAACCCTGTATTGATACCTATGAACTCCTAACTGAAGGGACACATCTCAATGTTCAACAAGCTATTCCAACACTTAGTAACCCTGTATTGATACCTATGAACTCCTAACTGAAGGGACACATCTCAATGTTCAACAAGCTATTCCAACACTTAGTAACCCTGTATTCATACCTATGAACTCCTAACTGAAGGGACACATCTCAATGTTCAACAAGCTATTCCAACACTTAGTAACCCTGTATTCATACCTATGAACTCCTAACTGAAGGGACACATCTCAATGTTCAACAAGCTATTCCAACACCAAGACACCCTTGTATTCACATTATGTATTTTAACTGAAGGGGCATATCTTAATGTTCAACAAGATATCAAACACTTGCCTCGCAAGATGCAACAGTTGAACTCCCAGTCACATTCTCAAACGACATGACCTTTGACACAGACAACACGGCAGACAACATAAATCACAGATTTCATACAAATTGGATACATGGAATGAATGCTGTTTAATATCACATGAAAGGTTTCCCTCAAAGATTTGTTTTTAAAATCACACATTATTCAGTGTCCAAAGATTGTGAATTCAATGATTTGACAGACACAAGAAAGAAAAAAATGCAGTCACAAGTTTTTCAGACACTAAACTGTGGTAGAAAGGCATGATTGTTTCATCATGCAGGAACACAACTGGTGGCATCCTTCCCAGACAAATGCCATTTGATGCAATCAATATTTTATCAACAAAACAAACACATACAGCATAAGGCACATGTTGGTCTCGGGGGGTGAACTATTCACAGTCTGTAATATACATGGGTCAATGTTGGGGATACTACTAGCTAGGTGAAGTGGGGCAACAAATGTTTGCTTTTACAACTGATGACCTCTCACTTGTCCAGGCCAATCCTGCCACACCATGGAATACATACTGCCAGCTCGCAGGCTCATAAATAGTGCCAGGTTTGAGGTTCAGGCATTCTACTAGAACCTAGGTTCAGAAATGCTGCCAGGTCGGAGGTTCAGAAATAGCAGATACTGTGGTCTGACCATAAGCACCATTTCTTCTTCTAATCCTCCTCCTTCACGTTCACTGGCTGTAAACTCGGGCGGAAAGTTGCCGTTGTTTGTCCACCTCTGTTGCGTGCACATCCATTCAACAACTGAATTAATTGTTTGCAGACTGTTGGTTACTCGTACCCCAACTAAAGGAAGCGGGCAAAATCCTGCATGTCCTCATAACTATGAGACCAAGACACTTGCAGGGAGAAGACTGAAGTCAACTAACACTGACCAAGCATACAGGACATGCAGCCGGACAAACTTACTGGAGCTACCACATGGTCCAGCTTCATTGACCAGACTGGCAACTGTGGCCCAACACAAAGCTACCAACCAACACTCAGTTTGTAAAGCCTATAGAGAAAAAGTAATTCCAAGGTACCTGGTTTGATCCCAGCTGTAGGGGATTTGGCTGCAGACCACTTTAGGAACTGAGCATTCAGAAAACAGTGGCAAACTACTGAATGTAAAATTGCACAGTAAAGCCAACAAATGCTGGGGTTGGTTCTGCAACATCCTGTTAAGCATCTGCAACTTACTTTAACTAGAACAAATGTTGTGGGTGGCAGCAGCACATACACAGGTTGAAGTGTAGTCGGCAACCCCAAAGAGACTATTCCCTTTGTGGTGTTACATTTGCAACCCCTTTTTTTACAAATCTACCCCTGTGAACATCAATACAATTTATCCTGTGCTTTTTCTAGAACATTGCTCCCATCTATCAGAGGAGATAACACTGATAAGGTTATTCCAATGAAGATACAGACAGCAGCTTTCTCCTATAAACATTGCATATTCTGACAAACTTCTTCAAGTTGCAACCCTTGACAGCTCTAGAATGACACCCAAACCCCATGATAATACACAACAGCAACAATAATAAACATGCACTGTGGTAACTGTACTGTTTCAGGTCATGGCAAATAATAAAACAAAACTGAATACTAGAACACAAATATCAGAACATGAATGTGTCACACACAAAAACACGTGCCAACCACTGAAGAAAACAACTTCAAAATACATGCTTTATACAAATGTGAAAATAATAAAGGCTTTATACACATGAGAAAATAATACATGCTTTATACAAATGTGAAAAAGACATTCTAAAAAAAATTTTTTTTTTTTTTAGCAAAACTGCAAACAAGGAAAGAATTTGTTCAACACATGAGTCAAGTTTCTGAAGTACATACACAGACATGTTAAAATAGTTTCCAGAAATAAATAAATTAAATGAGTGTTGAAACGATTTCAAAGTCATACACAGACGTGAAACGAAAACAAGGGAGCTATATATTTGTTCACTGGATATCTGGCATAATACAACACACTGTGTGGGGCACAGACAACAGTGTGTACAAGCTTGTGGCCCCTGTGTGAGAGAAGAGTGATCAAAGTGAGTGAGGCAGCAAGAGACAACAAACTGGACCACATTCAGCAACTGGACAGTCTCCAGAAATAGGTGCTGAGTTCACTGACACTTCATTGTGCACTTCCATGTATGGGTTCTGGGGACAAACAACACAGACCCATCACAAGCATGTCATACAAGACGTGCTGCATTCACTGACACTTCATTGTGCACTTCCATGTATGGGTTCTGGGGACAAACAACACAGACCCATCACCCTGTCACAAGCATGTCATAAAAGATGACTCCTGACGAATTTCTAAAACAAAGCATGTCTACCACCCAAGAAAAAGAGGTAAGATCATGTTCTCTGACTTCCCAATGAGCAAGGTGTTGTAAGACTATGATGATGATAAATAACCTCACATGTGAAAGTGATGATTTTCTATGGAAGAAGCCACCTAGAAATCTATGACTACAACACACAAACAAAATAATAATATTCATAACAGTAATCACAAGTGTCAAGACCTGCAACTCCGCTACAAAGCATCATCAAATGACTCCTAGTGGTTTCCTTACTTAAACAATTGCTTTGTTTCATTTTTCAACAAATGCAAAGGGACATTTCATGCTTGTAATAAATCCTGCAGACAGGTATTAATGACGTATTAAACCCAGGGGAGGGATTTTACCTACAGCCTAAATTTGCGTCTAGCTATACAATTTGATACATCGGCTGTTGTTCTTGCTATTCGCACATGGTCACTTGTGGCCTGCATACACACTTCTAGATAAGATTCACTGTAAACTGTGGCGTAAAAGTCGACTTCAAGGCTTGGGCTCAGAATTATGAGTTAATCATATATCTACCATAGTGGATGTTATAGTCATCATACAATTGTAAAGGCTTATCAACTCAACATATATGCCAAATTTTACAGTACCGGCTGTACACCACAGCAGAAAGTTCTGGTTGTTCGTCCATTTCTGGATGTTAGTATTGTTTCAGACCTTGAGTTCTGCACATCCGTTTTACAGATCTGGCTTATCTAAAAGGACAGCTGGTTCCTCACCTTTCAGGCAGATGTACTCCAACGGAAAAATCCTAAATAACATGCTTGTTAAGACGGCAGAGAGTCTGTTCTTGCCCTTCCGCAAATCAGGTCCCCGGAAACCAAGCAGACAGGGATCTACATTGATTTAGATAGTGTCACAATGACCACAAGAGTCATGCCAATAGTAGAAACCAGAAGTGTCCCCCATGCTGGTGACAGTAAACCTAAAGAAATCAACTGTGATCAACCACTGACTTGAGACGAAACAGATAAATGTAACTTCAACATGATGAAGTCATTACGCATCACTTGACGAAAACAGAAAGTCGGTTTACAGGCTAATGTTCTAGCTGTTTTGGTTTTGTCATTTCGCTGTTTTCTGTTCCTATCACTACAGAAGACACGGGCATTTGACATCAGATCGCTGATCCATTATCTGTGGCAGCAACCTTCCTACAGACCCAAATGACACACAGCAAAAGTCAATCATGCAAGCAAAAATGCACAGCAGTGTTGAGTCTATTTCATCCGCCTAATACTGACTCATTTTATCAGTACTGTCTTATTCTATCCATAAGTGCTGTCTTTTTCTAACCATAAGTAGTCTTATTCTAACCATAAGTACTGTCTTATTCTATACATAAGCATTGTCTTATTCTATATTTAATTATCAATTTCTATACACTGGTACTGTCTTCTCAGCTTTTCTATGTGCATTAGCTATAATCTTACAACACAATGTGTTGATGCCTCCTTCACAGACAAATGAAAGACCTAGCCCTCATTCTAAGTTGTAAAACTGGACTGTTCACATTCTAGACAATCGCTGAAAGAAGAACCAGGAATATGGTCTGGCGAATGTATGCTCCCACAGAAGCCTAAAACAACAATCCATGCTACGTTTAAAATGACTTGTCCTCTTCTTCGTCGCTTGCGGCCTCAAACATGCTCAACAGATTCTTGGGCTCAATGCCAGGCTTTGGTTCGTCCCACTCCATCTTTGGCAGTGGTGGAGTTCCTGCTCGATCGTTGAGTTCATGTGGGCTAAGGTGACCATTGCTGGTGGATGAGCTGTGAGTTGTGGATGGGGTGCTGGTCTGACTCTCACTGAAAAGAAGCCTGAAAAGAAAAACTGTTTGGTCAATTTGTGAGCTTAAACAGAACTGCACACACAACTCCAGGAACCACCATAATCTGGGTCAGCCCCGGACAGGACCAAATTAGCCCAGTCTCTCACCCCAACAGCCAGTGAAGAGTTTCTAGACTGAGGTTACTTAATGTTATTATTATTATTTTTTTAAATCCAGAAACCATGAATTGTAAACCCTTTGGCTCAGTACTACAGATATCGCAACCCTTTGGCCTTGATTCCATAAATCTGGAAAATTATATGGCCTTGCTACCCCTGAGAGTGAACTCTGACTGCAAGGTGTTTGTCACCTGGTCGCCGCGCTGGCTCACCAGGCATCATCCAGTTATCAGTTTGCCTCAAGCGGCCCCCACAGACACTCCCTGCTGCATCATTCTCCCCAGGTACAGGTTTTCAATATCTTCCATGTGGCTTGTGACCTGGTCCCACCAACGAGATCTCCTCTGCCTTGTGCCAGCTCCTACTGGGATTATTTCAGCCAACCTATCTGACTGCTCATACATATGTGCATGGCCTGGGCAAAATATCAATGTAGGAACCACTTGCTGATTGAGAAGAGCTCTTCCTCTCTTTATGTAAAGAGTGTCAAAGGAAAACATACAAGAGGGCATCAACAAAGATCAACCAGGGAGACAGCACCAACTAAGGGCAGGTTTAGAAACAGTTTCAACAGTTCTCAAACCAAGAACAAGAATGTTGAGTGAAAAACAACATCAGCGCACTCAGGACATTCCCATTAATGCAGTTCACTAAAATTAGTTGTGTAGGGTTGAAATGTGCCAATACCACAGCCGAGCTGTAAACCACAACACAATGACCCAACCATTCTTTAGGATCTAACCAAGAAGACAAGCTAACAGAAACAAAGCTACTGAGTTTCCAGCATGGCACGAGGAGAGTTGATGACCTACCTTTTTATTGGTGATCCATTGATGACAGATGATGCAGGTCTTCGCCTGATCGCTGGTGTGGTGTAGGCTCGACGAGGTGCTGATGGGATGCTGCAATAATCAACATGAACCTTCATTACCTTTATCCAATGTACAGTACATCACAGAAACTTTAAATTCTCATCTTCTTTCTGAGCATAATGTTGGAATGTCTTAATGAAACACCTTAAGCCTGCGGAGAGGGCTATCTTCCTCTTCTTCACATATTTACTGGCTGTAAGCTCCAGCAGAAAGCTCTTGAAGCTACCAACTGTAGCTGAATCCAGGCCAGTACGATATGTTCTGTGCTGAATCCTGACACACACTTCCACAGATGTCCAGTCTTTCACACCTTGCCGATTGATCCATTTGGAAGCTAAGATCTTATGTTATCACATTTGACATCACTGCATACTGGACATTCCCATGCCTGCTCAGTCCTGTGATTCAGCAGCCACTCCAAGCTACCTCTACTGATTGTTCCCATGAGAAGTTAGTTATAATAATATAACATCTCCTGTCTTGACCTTGAAGCTGTCACCGACCAAGCTTTACTCTGCGACAGCCCATGCTCAGACTAACTGACTGCCTTCTGACAGATACAAGTGTTTGCTATGCTTTGTTCCAAGCACATTACTGTTACCTTCCCTCTGGAATAAACAAGGCAGGCAGAGCGGGTGATCATGATGAAAGGGCAGCACCTTACTGCCCAGGCCTTGTGCTATGGAGAGGAGAAACTTTATCCCTGGCCTTAACTGGCTGTGATCTCATGCCATAACAGTATTGCCAGGACAGAGGGAAAATATTCCAATGTGGCGACACACTAAGGGCAAGTAGGTGTCTGGTTTCCACACTGAAACTAAACAGTACTAGGACATAGAATCCATCTACAAACTGTTTAATTAGTACTACCAAAGACAAACTGACAATTTTATCTCTGGGGTTACTAAAACAAAAAAGTCAAGAAAATTTATTTCTAAAAATCAAAAGAATGGGGGAAATGTGTTACCTCGGCATCACAAATTCATCAGACAAGTTCAGCAAATCAGACCTGCCCGCCCCACTATCATCCATCTCGTCTGAAATGAATAGAAACAATAAAAATTACAGACATTCATCATCATCTTAACAAATTTTCCTAAATGGCTAGCCACTTCAGAAACATGATTTCAATCAGCTGATTGGTGATTATAATGCAATGACACCAGAAACACGACTAAAAGTGGGAAACAAAAAACCGCCGTCAAAATTCTCAAAGAATGAGAGCATTAATGTGTGGACCCTTTCACATTGTGGCATATCATGCGTTTGTAAAGATAACACTTGCCAAAGAGGTAGCAGACAAACATAGTAGAACAGGTCCACAAAATACCCCTTACTAGATAGATATGAGATACTGCCTTAACTGGTTCCCCTGAGCTCATAAATCTAGCTGTAAATGCAACACACAATATTACCCAACACTAGTACACATTTCTCACATGTCCTTGTCTTGATCACTGCTGATTACTCCTTCAGAATTGAGAAAGACAATGAGATGAGTCCAGACAAACTTACCATCTGAGAATGGGCAGTCCTTATCCAGTCGAACACTGGGGCTGTTGCTCTGGAAGATGGGAACATGAGGGCTGGGGAAACTTCTGAGGTTTCTCACTGCTTTCTGTGAGGACCAAACAGGACAATAAATGAACCACAGGAGAGAGGAGCTAATCTCACCAGTTAATACAAAAGTTATATTAGATGAACATACTGAGAGCACATGTATGTGAACCCATCTACTGCATCACAACAACACAGAAGATTTTACACTGGAACAACTGTGTCTTCTATCCTCTCCAACTTCCTGGACTCTTCTGCTTCTCTTTCTGGTTGTATATCCCCGTGCAGGTTTTTCTATTGGATCATAAGCAAAGTCAAAAGCCATGGTAGTGTAGTTGCCAGACGCTCACCTGTCCGAAGTCTTGGGTTTGAATCCTAAACGAGTTTCATTCTTCAAAAATTGATTGTTGCGTTCTGGTCAACTCAGCCATAAAGTCAGCACCCGGTAATACCCTGGGAAACAAAGGAGGCCAATGTTACTTTGACAACCTCGCCCATGGCATGCCAGCTGAGCTGCCAAACTGTGAGCCTAGAAACACATTCCTGATAAGCCACTGGCAAGAAATGGGTCCTGTAGGCAAAATCAGCCTGGTCATCACTGTCATGATATACCAGAAACGTTCATTTGAAACCTGTTCCAATAGCTTTATTACATAAGCAGGACAGAAACATCAACAGGTGTGGCATAATTAAACAAAACATTCATTTGAAACGAATTACACATTATGGGTTGGGCAGAAAAGCCAACGAAGGCATTCAGGCAAGCATCCCATTTCTTAGGTAGGCGGTGAATGCTGTCTGCAAAAAAAAAAAAAAAAGGATTGTGGTTGCTCAGTAAACCAAGTGTTTGCCGCAAAAGTTTCCATCTCTCTGGTCATGACTGCCAAAAATCTTCAAGACTGCTGAGATTCAGTTCTATTTAAAATGGCTCCACATGACAAAAGGTTGTCACCAAACTTCTTGTGCTGTCTTCCTCATCCCTCCTTCCACTGGTTACAGAACCAGGCTTATACAGGTCAAGATCTATATACACCTTCCCACAGTCATCCCAGAAACAAGTTATCCACCGGGGCCTGGATAACATAAATAGGGACTGACCTTTCTTCCAAGTAGGAATGCATCAAACAGTACAACTAAATACATTTATAAACAACAGCAACAACATTCATTCACTTACACTGCCAGCACGCATGTAGCTAAACATTCTATTTTTTAAAACCTATGGAGGAAAGAAAAGTTTCTCATATTATTGCACAGAACAGTCCCAACAAATGATTAAAGTCATATATTACATCAACGACGCTATAAGTAATCAAATAATCACAGCAAATGGGTCACAGAAAACGGCACAGACTGTCCTTTCCTGTCCCCCATAAAAGAAGCTGACACAGACTGCCGTCTTAGCAAATCCAATAGCATCCCATGCATAAGAGCCCATACAAACAATGTGACAGTAGAAATGCATTTTATTATCGATGGAGGCAGCAACCATAACAGATCTGTAGTTGCACAAATAATAACTGCATAATGTTGATTGTGAAAATCTGAGGTGAGAAGTTGACAAGTGTCACACAATGCACTGCAGCAAAGCTTATCAAACATTTCACATAATAGTCGCCTTTTTCTTCATTTGCTCTGAGAAGGGTTGTCACACTGTGTTGTGGTTAGCTGAGATGTGATATTTGCGCATTTCGGCCCAAAACATTCTATTTCAGCAGTACTCTAATTGTAATTTACAACATGTTTGTTAGAAGAGGGTGGGTACACGTTTTCTTCCCTCTAAACCAGCAGTTCTCAATCTGTGTTCCATGGCCCTTTCACAGGGGTCACCAAAGACCATTAGAAAACATAAATCCACTGGTTATAAAGTAGCAACGAAAATATAACTGTATGGTTGGGGGGTCGCCACAAGAAGAGGAACTGTATTAAAGGGTTGCGGCATTAGGAAGGTTGAGAGCCCCTGCTCTAAACTGAGAAAGCTGTGGAATCATAAACTAACAGACTTTCTACAAACTCTCTTCCATGAGTATAGAGAACACTAACATTTTTAAAGAATGAGGGGCAAGCAGCTGAGTCTGACTACTGGTAATGTTTGAAGCACCTCTCAGACTGTGCAGGACCATACATTAATTGCAGTTGTCCTACAAACAGATCTGATCAAACTGTTTTGGCCCTGTCTCAAGACAAACTCTGTAGAGATGGCAACAACCTCAAGTCAACTCATTTCTTTAAATATATTCACATTTATCTGCAGCTGAACAAAGATTTACTATCATAAAGTCAATAAATACTAACATCATAAATGAACAGGACATTGGAAGATTGGATAATAAACAGCCTCTTGTCTCCAAAATGGCAGGTTGGAAAGAATGCAAAGAATAGTAGCAGCAGGCATGGTACCAGGAAAGAGGCAGGGGTTGACCAGCACAAAGATGAGTAGGAGAGAATGTGGCAGGTTAGAAAGAATGCAAAGAATAGGAGCAGCAGGCATGGTACCAGGAAAGAGGCAGGGGTAGACCAGCACGAAGATGAGTAGGAGAGTGTGTGGCAGGGGATCTTGCGAAAGAACTAGTTTCCTTCAGGCAGGCTTTGATGACAGTTTTTCTGCAAAAGATCTGCCATATGATGTCATTAAGTCAGATGAAAACTTGCAGGCGGCTCATCATTAGATGTGCTCCCACTAGATCATTTAGTTCAACACAAATGCACTAAGCCAGCATTAGAGCATAGTTTCTTGTTTGTTGCCGTTTCAACATCATGCAGCTGTTTCATGTTCTGATGCACCTACAAAGAACAACCTGATGAACAGAATCCTTTGACAGGAGAAGCTATAGCAAAGTGAATGAGGCCAGAAAATAAGCTACCATTACTTACATCTCTCAAGCATGGCAGTGCTAGTATCTGGTCAACAGTTGGCCGCCTTTCATAGTCTAGGTCTAGCATTTGTTCTATCACAGCCTTCATGTTGGCAGGACGACCTGAAACACCAACAAGATATACAACTATTGAGGCCACATTTCTGTTAGAATAACCTACGCCACCACTGCTGTTGAATGAAATACAGCCCATTGTGCTAACACATCATCTGACCTCCACAGATTCAGGATAATTTGTTCACAATTTATCAAAGCTACTAGTGTAGCAGTTCCCAGCCCTTTACATAAGCAACGCCACTTGCTAACCCATAGACTTAAAAACAAGAAGGGTTTTTAAAAAAGAGTAGATGAGAACAGATTTTTTTGCCCCAGTATAATTCAAAATAATGTTTGACTTACAACAAATTTAATATTGTGACTGAAATTGTTGCTTAACAGCTTCTGCATACAACAAACCAAAGAAAACCCTTCACGACCTCATTTGAGGGTTGTGAGTCTCTGTTCTAATGTGACATAGTAGTTAGCATGCTTGCCCTCCAACACAGTGGCGTGGCTTAAGTTCCCAGAACTGGCAGTATGGGTTTTCCTGACCAGAATGTCCCCAGGTTCAAACCAACCTAAGAACATGTGTGCCAGTTCATTTCCAGTTGTCCTAGGCTGAAAGACAATCAGAAAGGGAGCCCAACTCACCGGTCAAAGCCCAGAACATGTAAAAGCCAAATAAACCCCGCCTCCAACAATATTATCTGGTCATAAAACTACTTTTTACTTGTGTGACTCTCCTTTTCATTCTCTCTGCCCGTGGTTTTCACATAAGAAAGCTACAGGTCTCTATAAAGGCTGTGGTATGACATGTCTTCCGCTGATCCATCCAGCTTGGTATCCCCAGAAATGCTAACTGGTCAGATCTGAGATATCTATCTCTAATGCATAGTTGTGGTGCCTGCACACATTCTAAGTTTTACCTGTGAATTTCTTATACTCATTCATGGCTATGGAGTTTTGCTGTGTTGTTTGCAATCTAAATACAATGGTCTGGTGCTTTTGAATGAGGAGGGTGTCTTCAGGATATTGTTTAAGATGGCTGCCTTGACCTGGGTTTTACATACCCCATTAGTACATCCTGCATATGGCTGTTCTGTAGCGCTCCCAATGTTTGCTCTAATTAGTCTGCAAGGGCGAATGAATAAACAAAGTAGACATACACACCCCACTACTCACACTTACCTTGGAGAAACTGTTCCGGCAGAGACCCGTTACGCAGGTAATGCCAGTTATCCCCACTCCGAGGCAGATCCAGATCGCTGGCCATCTCCAGCATAAACATGCCCAAGGAGAAGATGTCTGCGTGTTTTCCAAACTTGCCCTCCAACAACTCTGGGGCCAAATATTTGGGGTCCCCTTCTATGGCGTCATTGACATCCCTTTTCTGGAAATGGGAGAACAGACAGTTGAAAGACATGTTTCACAAAATGATTTTTAACCTTTTTTGCTAACAGGAAACTAGAGACTTTTCAAAATGTATACATCTCTGTGTGTGTGTGGTGGTGGTGGAGAGGGGAGTGTCACAAACAAGATAGCAACTGAAGAACTGATAGTAAGGGAAATCAAGGATATAAAGTGTGATACTTCGGAAAGAAAAAGCAGCATAGGGGCAACAATTGAGACCACCTGTGAGTGCCTTATGTGTCAATGATAACAAAAAAAAAACTTTATAGATAGAATATCGTATACCGAGAGATATGAAAACAATAAATTTTTATGTTTGAATCTCACAGATTTTTAACACATCCTGCGAATAAAAAACATGTTTAACTGTTTTAAAATTTCACAGCTGGTGCGAGAATCGCTCCGTGGAAGAGACTAGGGTCTCACCGCCTCACATTTCCAAAGATAGAGGTGATGCGCTGGTGCATAAATCGCTCTGTGGAAGAGACTAGGGTCTCACCGCCTCACATTTCCAAAGATAGAGGTGATGTGCTGGTGAATGAATCGCTCTGTGGAAGAGACTAGGGTCTCACCGCCTCACATTTCCAAAGATAGAGGTGATGCGCTGGTGCATAAATCGCTCTGTGGAAGAGACTAGGGTCTCACCGCCTCACATTTCCAAAGATAGAGGTGATGCGCTGGTGCACAAATCGCTCTGTGGAAGAGACTAGGGTCTCACCGCCTCACATTTCCAAAGATAGAGGTGATGCGCTGGTGCATAAATCGCTCTGTGGAAGAGACTAGGGTCTCACCGCCTCACATTTCCAAAGATAGAGGTGATGCGCTGGTGCATAAATCGCTCTGTGGAAGAGACTAGGGTCTCACCGCCTCACATTTCCAAAGATAGAGGTGATGCGCTGGTGCATAAATCGCTCTGTGGAAGAGACTAGGGTCTCACCGCCTCACATTTCCAAAGATAGAGGTGATGCGCTGGTGCATAAATCGCTCTGTGGAAGAGACTAGGGTCTCACCGCCTCACATTTCCAAAGATAGAGGTGATGCGCTGGTGCATAAATCGCTCTGTGGAAGAGACTAGGGTTTCACATTTCCAAAGATAGCAGCGGTACACTGTAGCCAACCTTCACTGTGGAGATGGCACAGCATTTACTTAGCATGCCTAACAAAAAATTAAGTAGCTGTAACTGTTTAGTTAAAGCGTGTCAGCTGTAATTAACAAACAGCCCATTTAACTAGCAAAAGCAGTTTTAAAAAAATAACACACACGTGCATAATAATGAGAACAGGCCAAGACATAATTTCAAACTAATTAAAAAAAAATTGCAACTTCACCTTCGTAAGATCAATGACTAATCCAAAGTCTCCCAGTTTACAAATACCATCGTGTGAGATGAAGGCATTTTCTGGTTTAATATCCATGTGAACTAAGTTGTGATCGTGTAGATGTTTTAAGGCCTGAAATTAACAGAAAAAGGGTCAGATTCAGTTTAAAATATTCCCATCTTAGGAAAACGTACACATTATTCCAGAAAAAACTGACAGTGTAATCATATCAAACTCCTAATATCCTGTACAGAGACTTCACAAATCAATTTTTTATTCCGAAACTCCTACAAATCTAAAATAGCTTATGTCCACATATTAGAAACATATTCAATTTCTCTAATCCTATAAAAGCTGACTAACAAATGATTTTACTTTAAACATATAGGTCTAGCCCTATGTGCCCAATATGCCTAAATGCATGGAAAAGGATCCTTTACTTTTACTACATAAAAATCAGTGAGTAGTACAGAGAAGAGAAGAAACAAAGATCTTACCAACAGAAGATCCACCATATAGTTCCAGATGATCACTTCACTGATGTTCTGGTTTGTGTGACAGTACTCCTGCAAACTAAAGTCCATGCAAACAATGTTAAGTCTCTGTATACAAGCACCACTGTATGTATCTTACAACTCTTCTTCTAAACTGGAAACTGGTGCACAGTTCTGGTTGTTCACCCACTTGCTCCAGAACTTGACGTAAGCATGCACACGTATAAATCTGCTCATTGGCAAGCTACAGTTGGTTCCTCATTTCTCAGGCAGCAAAAATCCAGTCGCCTTTTAGGACATGCTTGATAGGGAGACTGTGGGTTCACCCCCACAGTATTATTGTTAAATAAAACATTCCTATCAACACTAGTATGACTGCAGATCTCAATCAATTTTTTTTTAAAGACCCTTTCACATGTGTCGCTCAAGACCATCGGAACACATCATTGAAGTTATGAAGTAGTAATGAAAATAACTGAACGTTTGGGGGTCACCACAACACGAGGAACTGTATTAAAGGGCCCCAGGATTAGGAAGGTTGAGAACCACTGTCCCAGAGCAATATTACCACAAGACTGTACTAATACCACCTTTTACTAATTTATAACATTCCTATCAAAGCTGACCAGACTAGCTGAAAACAAGAAGTTGACAAACACTAACCTCAAGCTTATAAATGTCACAAATACACTAACACTGTGTTTCATGGCATGCCAATGTCTGTTACACAAAAGCATTCTTACCTAAATTTACACAGTTCAGTCTGGATATATAAATGACCCCGCTCCTCCCAAGCTCGGTAAAACCTGATACAGTTGGGGTGAATTGGCAACAACTGGTGCTTGGCCACTTCTTCCATTTTGCATTTTCTGATGAAGAGACAAAGTGTTGGACACGGTTTAAAGGAAATATTATTTGGGCTTTATAAATATGCCGTACACAGTACAGTTTGTTAACAAGTGACACATTCATGCACACTCCTAGAGATTCAACAATATCTGTGGACACAGCAGGTGTTGCTTGTCAGTAAAACCCATTGTCTTAAAAAAAGAAAACACAGAGGTGGTGGGGAGGTGTGTGTGTGGGGGGGAGGGGGGGGGGGGGTGAGAAGCATGTGTGCGTGTATGTGAGAGAGAGAGAGAGAGAGAGAGAGAGAGAGAGAGAGAGAGAGAGAGAGAGAGAGAGAGAGAGAGAGAGAGAGAGAGAGAGAGAGAGAGAGAGAGAGAGAGAGAGAGAGAGACTCCAACAGGCATTCTCTATACATATTACTTAATTCTTCTCTGGAATAAACAGAGTAGGCAGAGAGAGGGATCATGCTGAATCAGTACACATGGCTCCCACAATACTGACAAGGCTTTGTGCTACAGCACAACACCCTCCTTTGGAGAGAGGGAAAGGTGCCAGCAAATCAAAACAGACAATTTTCCACTGAGGAGACTTTCCCCAGACTTCCGACTTAATCCAGCTCATGAGAGAACTGGGAGCTGCCACTGTGTAGCAGCTAGACACTCAGCAGTGAATCTGAAGGTCGAGGGTTTTTAATCCAGATGGAGCCAAATTATTTTCACACAACCCGGCCTCCTGAACTGACCTAACTGTACATGGGTACCAGCTAAAGTACTGGGAAGTAAAGGTGGCTGGCATGATATAAACCACATCACCCACAAATTCCTGCACTCCTAGAGATTCAACATAATTTGTGGATACAGCTGATGTTGCTTGCCAGTAAAACTCATTGTCTTAAAATAAGAAACAGAGAGAGAGAAAGAGAGAGAGAGAGAGAGAGAGAGAGAGAGAGGGGGGGGGGTGTGTGTGTGTGTGTGCATGTGAAAGAGAGAGGGAGGGGGGGGGGAGAGAGAGAGAGAGAGAGAGAGAGAGAGAGAGAGAGAGAGAGAGAGAGAGAGAGAGAGAGAGAGAGAGACGTTTATACAAATCTGAATCTGGCCTCCTATGTCCCAGCAGCGTGTAAAGGGACCTTTACGAAGATGGAATGAAACAAATAAAAACCACACACACAATACCTGTCAAACTGGCCCTTGAATGGCTGTCTGGATTTCTTGACCGCATAATACTTGCCATCGTCTTTGCTCTTACAGCTGAACACCTGCATAATGAAAACAGCATATTGGGCAAGGTCTTCTTATATACTGGAGATCAACTGATCAAGTTCCTCCTGTTCCCGCCACTGTGGCAACTGCATGGAAACAATGACCCTGAGTGGGTGTTTTTTCCAACTGTGGCTTAGAGGTTAGTGGAATGATTCAACAATGTAGCCCTTGAAGTTGATCAGTTTGACTCCTGCTGTGAGCAGACTGTTCTTGTAGGTTTCAGACAGTGGTACCGTAGAAGACACTGGGGCCTTGCTACATATTCTCAGTTGACAGTGGAAACACTGCAGCCAGCCTCCATTGTGAAGATGGCACAAATGTTTCTTGTTATTTTGGAGACCGAATAAGAAACTCCTGATCCAGTCACATTGTGGCAACAGCTTGGAGAAATTGCCCTATTTTATCAACCAGCTGTGCATACAGAGAATTGTTACAGTTCTTGGCTCCCTTTAATACACAGATTCATTGGCGGAAACAACGTAAAGTTTTAAAACAAGGCAAAGAGGCCCTTTCATGTCTTCAGCACATAGAGGCTGGTACCCAGTCGGGGCCAAGATGGAGGAAGAGGAGGGTGTCAACATAAAAATAAAGCAAAGGACTCTTTTCCACTCCTTGAGGTATACTGGGCATACAGTGTTAAGCCTATCAGCACTCTGTGGGTTAGTCAACATCACACTGGATAACTTTAGTTCCAGGACTCTACCTTGTAACCATACTAAGCAGGGAGCCAAGGTCATTTTTTAAAGTGAAAAAAACATAACTTCTTCATGTAGATTTAAACCCAGGATCTTCAGATATGCAGGCAAGTATCTAGCCACTACACCATGGGGCTCTCTGGTTACAATATACAATCAATAAAGTCCAAATTCCCACCCACAATGACAACAGAAATCGTTACTTGAAAACTAAACCTTTGCTAACTTTTTCTTGAGAGCTTTTTAGTCTAAGTCAAAATTTAACAAATTTTTAAAACAGGACAGGATTCACCGATACATGCAATTATAAAGTCACAATGAGTCTCTGGAGATGTGGATGTGGATAAACAGAACGGGTAGTATTTCATAGAAATACAAAATTATCAAGAAACAAAAACAAGAAAATAAAGAGGTTCTGAAAAGAGAATTGCTGGATGAGATAAAACAAGATACAAATATTTTTTTTTAAACCATACTAGATTGAAATGTTCAAGACAAGTCAGCAAGAGGAAGACAGTGATACAAGTGGGAGGATAATATTAGGAGATTGACAAACAGCAGCTGAGTGTATATTCAGGGCAACAACAAAAAAAAAGTGTCTTGGAGATCCACTGCAGCCAACCTTTCTGGTAGAGATGAAACCTGTTTACCGACACCTATAAACTGCCTGTGTTTATCACATGTTGTGCAGGCAGGGTGTCTTTCAGTCTATGGATTTGGAGCCACAGAGACAGTGCTGTTGCCCCAGTTTATTGCTGTTGTCACAGACTGGGCAGGTTAGGATTATATTTGTGCCTCAGTCCAAAAACAAATCTCTGGTCCTTAAGAGGATCTGAATGTAGGTATCCCGCTTAAAAGCCCAGCATTTTAACCCTTAGCCCATCATCATCATGTAGCAGGTTGCTCTCAACACAGTCTGTCTGAAAGAAACGTGGTCTCTCGTCAGTTCTCCTACATCATGTACTTTTATACTCAAAGAGTTACTTATGTCCTGTGCCCATCTTCGTGTCGGCCCCTGCCCCTCCTTTCTGGTACCATGCCTTCTGCTATAATTTTTTTTCCAAGTCGTTGTGGTGCTTGATATGACCAAAATATTTCAGCTTCTGAGACAGGATGCTATTCATTAGATAATCTTCCCTGATGTTCAGATCTTTCAAAATGCATCTAATTGACACCTATACTACAGGATAATTATACAGTGACAAAATGACAAAACTAGACTGACCTCTCCAAAAGATCCTTGCCCAATGGGTGTGACGTCCTCAAATAGTTGTTCAAAGTACAGGTCAGTTGACTTCTCATTGTATTTTGGACTTAGTAAAGCTGTCAATCAGTTAAGGAGCTTAAACAGTAACTACCAATAGCCTACTGTTGCTGAAATATTTGAAACCGCAAACTAGATCTAATGCACAAACACACAGACAAAAAAATCCTTCTGTAGCTATCAAATTATTGTCGTGGAGTGAACAGCCAACCCTACACTATGGACTAGTCGTGACGCTGACTTCCCTAAGTGGGCACGTCACATTTTAAACTTAAATCGTCCCTTATATTGATATATACCTCTATCTGATGAAATAATCATTTTTAGACCCTCTAGTTGCTTTAAGAAGTCTACATTTTCAAACTTGCAACTGTGGGATAAATGTTTCTGGTGTATAATTCAGAAATCCCTGTAAGCCTGTTTACTCCTTGGGCATGAATACAGGAACTTCTTTCCTAGAGACGCTAGCGGGGGTTTCGAGCAGATTCTTTAGCCTGATCTCCAAAGTGTCAAGACGTGTATAGTCTATGAATAAAATTGCCGCATTCAAAGTAGCAGTTTTATCTTTGAAGAATTCCTAAGCTTGGGTAAGTTGATTATAGTTTACGAGTACCATAATATGTCTTTTTAAAGTTGGCCACTGCTGCAGAGAGGGAAGATTCAGCTGTGTGATCGCACAGAGTTGGGCCGTTTTTGATGTCCAGAGATCAGGCTCCGAACATTAAACCTTTCCCTGTGCAGACTAAATAGTTTGTGCTCTACATAACCCACACCATTTGTAAAGATATGAAACCCTACAAGTAATTATTCTCTGACCAGACAAACGAAGTTTTGTGCCTCACAGCAGAAATATGGAATCTGGGTCATCTTTTAACCGGTTAGATGCGGTGACGTCAGAGCTTGACGCTCTGAGTCAAAGATGTGTTTGGCACGGAAACATTGGGTGTGTAGAGAGCAGCCTGTGGTGACCTGAAAGATATATATTGGTACTAACGGGATACATTGTTTGTCTGCGAGTGCAGATGTGAGGGTGGAGAGAGGATGATCTATGTGTGGTAGTGTCTATCTATCTCCACTATATACCTTGTCTTCTATCTGGTGTACTAATTTACAGACAGATAAATGAAAGGAGACATTGTCTCCTGTTCTTGAGAGTTATACTCTGAGGAATGGAGAAGGGTAGCAGAGTGTGGGGTGAGCTAGTGTGCGAATAAGGATGATTACTAATTCTGAGTTCTTTCCTGACAGGATGATACCTCCTTAGAGATCAGGCAGACGAATCACAGTCCAGCCAACAACCACCAACCCATACCATTCTGTGCACCAAGCATACCCAAAAGTCCTACCTATTGTTGCCACTACCTCAACATGGCAGGAACTTGTTTGTAAATTCAAGGACTAGTAGACAATTACAGACACCTATGTCATCAATCCAGAGAATCAGTCTTTAAGTGCTTTGTTGTTCCTGTGTCCTCATCTGTAAGACAGTCAGCGTGTACCATATCAAACCGAGGCATATCTATCTATTGAGTCAACCACAGTCGAATCACCATGGACTGAGGGGAGCAATGACCTACGAACTGGGATAAGTGATCTCTTAATCACATACATGCTCTCTTCCCACAGCTCCCTTTGATTTCAATGATGAACTCATGTAATGTCCAGGAACTACGTCTGGCTGCTTCAACATCTGGGTTGTGTCCATTAATTCCTGAACTCCATTCACTGAACACTCTTGATTATCTATTCATTTAAATATGTGTATATATTGAAATTATTACATGCAGAAATTTTCATGGCTGACTTGGGTGTCCCTGTTTCACCATTCTAACTGGCTAGCTTTTATGTTTGTGTGAGTAATAAGTGTAATCTGTGTTAACATGGCTACCATAGTATACTATCATAACCTGGGGGCTACCTTTTTATATTAGTGAGGGCGTCCAGCCAAGTGTGCCTAGGAATATTATATATTTTGTAGTGCCAAAGCTTGAGTTGCCCTACTCCTGAAATAAGTTGAGCGTATATTGGCCACAGGATATCCCTTAGACCAATACGAGCCAACGACTCAACATTATTATTTCAGAGTCCTGTTGGTTCTTAAGGAGAAATCCTTAAATCAGGCACGTGACAGGATCAGTATGTAACAATTATATTGAACCTAATGCAAGAAACTAGAAGAATCCTGTAAATATCAAATTATACAGAACTTAATGCAAAAAACTAGAAGAATCATGTAGATATCAAATTATAAACCTAATGTAATCTGAAGACATAAGTTAAAAGAAGGAGTGGATTAAACAACTGGCAAGACTGATCAGAAAGGAGCAAAGCAAACAGACAGCACTTGGATGACCTGGCCAAATGGAGGGGACGAGACACGAACACAGACCTGATTTGTGATTCTGGTAATTATGCCAGGTTCTTCTTAGCGTTCACCAGCTGTAAACTCGGGTGGAAAGTTTTAGTTGTTCGTCCACTTAAGGACTATTGAGTTCTGCGTACATCCATTTTACACATCTAAATTATTTGTAGGCGGACTGTTCCTTGCCTCTGAGGCAGATGCACTCCAACTTGAACACAGGGATTTTCTTTTTCTTATTTTCGCTGTGTGCTTAAAATATATATTTCTTTATTTTGCGCTTTTAAAAAAAAAACAAGTTTCATCATATACATGTGAAAGGGCAGCAACTTATTGTAATTTAATCCAACAACACTGAAAGGATACAAGCTTCTGGGTGTCTGAAAGTGACTGGCTGTGCATGTAATGAGGGAACATTGCGCCGTGGAAACACCCTGCTCAGCGGCGGACAGCTCTTTACAGGAGGTCTTGGCGGCAGACTATCTTTCGGCGTACCACCTGGCAATAGCTGTAAAACAGAATCATCACAACTTGAGAAGAAATGTTGTTTCAGCTTTTTTCTACACCAAATAAACTAAAATGACTATCTCTAACTGACAGTGTCCGTCTAACCTTATGGTAGAGGTTCAAGACAATCCTCATTTGGTGCCCTGAAAGCCTCTGAGGTTGATTATTACAACAACAACAAATTGAAGATTTCAATGGTTGCGAACAGAGATGTGAGTCATTAAGTGGAAGAGATTGGTTCCTCGCCACGTAATATGCCTAAAGACAGCAGTGGATTCCCCACAGCCAACCTACATTGTGGAGACTGCACATCATTTTAAACCATAGTTGATAATCAGCTTTCATACACCTCAATCAATCAATCAGTCCTGCACTCAGGACATTCCCACACATGCTCCGTCTCTTTCCTAAGTAGCCAATGAAGGGCTGAAATGCTAACATATGCAACCGGACTAAACTCAGTCTGCCTGTTTTCTGCTCAGTGATGCTTATCCTCTAGATCCTCTACTCACCCCAGTTTAATTAGTCTTTTAATGTATTGCATTCTCTGTTCTACTGGGCTGTCCCCCTGATCCCACAGTCATCATTCTGTCCCCTTGATTTCATAGTCATCATTCTGTCCCCTTGATCTCACAGTCATCATTCTGTCCCCTTGATCTCACAGTCATCATTCTGTCCCTTTGATTTCACAGTCATCATTCTGTCCCCTTGATCTCACAGTCGTCATTCTGTCCACTTGATCTCACAGTCGTCATTCTGTCCACCTGATCCCACAGTCTTCATTCTGTCCACCTGATCCCACAGTCTTCATTCTGTCCACATTGATCCCACGGTCTTCATTCTGTCCCCTTGATCTCACAGTCATCATTCTGTCCCTTTGATCTCACAGTCGTCATTCTGTCCACCTGATCCCACAGTCTTCATTCTGTCCACCTGATCCCAGTCTTCATTCTGTCCACCTGATCTCAAAGTCATCATTCTGTCCACCTGATCTCAAAGTCATCATTCTGTCCACCTGATCTCAAAGTCATCATTCTGTCCACCTGATCTCACAGTCATCATTCTGTCCCCTTGATCTCACAGTCACCATTCTGTCCGCTGATCTCACAGTCACCATTCTGTCCGCTGATCTCAGTCATCATTCTGTCCTCTGATCTCACAGTCATCATTCTGTCCTCTGATCTCACAGTCGTCATTCTGTCCCCTTGATCTCACAGTCGTCATTCTGTCCACTTGATCTCACAGTCATCATTCTGCCCACTTGATCTCACAGTCGTCATTCTGTTCCCTTGATCTCACAGTCATCATTCTGTCCACCTGATCTCAGTCATCATTCTGTCCCCTTGATCTCAGTCATCATTCTGTCCACTTGATCCCACAGTCTTCATTCTGTCCACATGATCTCAGTCATCATTCTGTCCACTTGATCCCACAGTCTTCATTCTGTCCCTTTGATTTCACAGTCATCATTCTGTCCCCTTGATCTCAGTCGTCATTCTGTCCACTTGATCTCACAGTCGTCATTCTGTCCACCTGATCCCACAGTCTTCATTCTGTCCACCTGATCCCACAGTCTTCATTCTGTCCACCTGATCCCAGTCTTCATTCTGTCCACCTGATCTCAAAGTCATCATTCTGTCCACCTGATCTCAAAGTCATCATTCTGTCCACCTGATCTCAAAGTCATCATTCTGTCCCCTTGATCTCAGTCACCATTCTGTCCGCTGATCTCACAGTCATCATTCTGTCCACTTGATCTCACAGTCATCATTCTGTCCTCTGATCTCACAGTCGTCCTTCTGTCCACTTGATCTCACAGTCGTCATTCTGCCCACTTGATCTCACAGTCGTCATTCTGTCCCCTTGATCTCACAGTCATCATTCTGTCCACCTGATCTCAGTCATCATTCTGTCCCCTTGATCTCAGTCATCATTCTGTCCACTTGATCTCACAGTCGTCATTCTGTCTACTTGATCTCACAGTCGTCATTCTGTCCACTTGATCTCACAGTCGTCATTCTGTCCACCTGATCCCAGTCTTCATTCTGTCCACCTGATCCCACAGTCTTTATTCTGTCCACCTGATCTCAGTCATCATTCTGTCCCCTTGATCTCACAGTCATCATTCTGTCCCCTTGATATCACAGTCATCATTCTTTCCCTTTAATCTCACAGTCATCATTCTGTCCCCTTGATCTCACAGTCATCATTCTGTCCCCTTGATCTCACAGTCGTCATTCTGTCCATCTGATCCCAGTCATAATTCTGTCCACCTGATGCCACAGTCATCATTTTGTCCACCTGATCCCAGTCGTCATTCTGTCCACCTGATCCTAGTTATAATTCTGTCCACCTGATCCCACAATCGTCATTCTGTCCGCTTTAAATGCCTCACAAATTGCATTAGTATGTATTAATTTCTATGCGGATATTTCCTCATGCCATCATCAAGATCTACACGGGGACTGTGCTGCAGCTTTCCTTTCCTTCAAAAGACAGAGACCAGCAGGGTGTGCATAACTCTTTCAGTCTCATGCAGTATTACTTTTAACTCCTTTTTTTATGAAGTTGTGCTCAAAATCAGTGAACATTTAAGCCTGAAGAAGTTCTGCAAAGACATATTGGGATAAAAGCAGGTAAACTAATAATTCTGATACAAAAGATTACTACACACACTCTCTGTGATAGAAGACAGCAAGGATATCATATCTTTAAAATGACAAAGGAACGTATGGTGAGTTGGTTGGTACTGAATGAGTTAAAAGGGACTAAAACCACACCTGAAAGGACAGTGTGGATCCAACCAGGTGATATTTGAACAACCAGAACTCACAAGGTAGCAAAGAATAGCAAACCAGTGTTGAAAAAGACCATAAAGAACGGTCAGTATGACATTATATCAGGATAAAACTAGTGTCAAAATCAAACCCACTGACATGTCTACAAAGGCTTTAGAGCAAGCTTAGTTAAGGACACATGCTTCATTAGGTGTATTTAACCATGGAACTGTGAGAATACTATGTTGCCCTTAGCTAATTTTGGAGCACTAGAACCAGATGTGCCTGACAGGTCTGCGCTGGAGATAATCTATCACCATGGACTGGGCATCAGTGTCTTCAAGCAAGCCATCTGCCCTAGTAACAACAATGTAACAGGAATATCGATTCTAGAGAGAGTGTGACTGTATGTGTCTCTATGTGTGAAAGAGAGAGAGTAGAGATTGAATGACAAACACAGCCATGTCTAAAATCCTAGCTCTGTCTATAACTGCCCACTTGAATTATTCCATAACTCTCCTGTTCTCATTTTGCGGTTCTGGTAGTTCAATAATTTGTGTTTTCAGTATTTTTTTCTTAAAGTTTTTCCATCATCATCAATACTCAATACTATCTAACCTTAATAATTAACTTTACTAACTAATCCTAATCTTTAAAACATGTTCATGTATCTCTTTTAAAAATCCTACTTTTCATCTTTACTTTTTTTATTTCATAATTCTTCTGAGAAGAAGTTTAGGTACAACGTGTCAAGCTTTCAAAATATCACTATTATATTATAAATTTACTTTTTATAAATATTCAGTAGTTTAGAAATGCTATTCAACTCAGCTCTTCAGATTTTTTTGGGGTCTATAAAATCTATTCTGAAATAATTCAATAATTCAAAAACTTAATAATTAAGTTTTTATTATCAGCCGGAAAACAATTTATCTTTGACACCAATTTTTTTAAGCACTTATCTGGTTTGGCTAAAAAGTGAAAAGAATCACAGAGCACACAAACAATCAGCATAAGTATTTTGCAGATGATAACACAAGGAAAATCTTGACTGCAGGGAAACCTGTGAATGACAAAAAATCATCATTTACACAAGAACAATACAACTGACCTGGGATTTCATTTTGTCAGTACTGTTACTCTACTACGAGTCAACATTTTGTGAGTGATAGGATCAATAAATATTATTAGGCTGGCCACAGTTAATTCTTAGAATGTTTTCTGGATTTTGCAGCCTAGGAGCCCAGATGACTATATCTTTGATTTTAGCATGGTATACAAAGTGAACAGGACAGCATACAATGAGGTATTAGTATTATGCTAACCACTACACTGCTGAGTTTCTGTTGAGGAACAAATCTTGGCAAAACTAGGATTACTTGACAGTTTCAAGAGACATTTGCAGGCGATAGTAGCATTCTGCACAGGACTGAGGCCCTGTTAGGGCATTTGTTTGGCCGCCATAATATAGGGTAGAAGTTCGGAGGAGAGCCATTAAATTAATTATCCTTCAGTTTATAAATTATTACTTTATCATTTTCGAAAAATGTCAGCATAATCGATTTTGTATTAGGCAATACAATAGAGCTCTCTACAAGTCAACCCTGTATGACACACATAGTAGTTACTTGTTAATATTAGTTAGGGGCTATACCTAACTAATCTTGGTAAATTTGGAAATTATAGCCTAGCCTAGCTTAACAGTAAATAAAACAAGAAAGAAGCAAGATAGCTGTCTTGAGATCTCAATGACAAAACTCCAACCAATGGTCCCTTTACTATTCTGAAGCAGTTTGTTTACATTTTAAAACTTTAATATCCAGTGCTTACATCATATGTATGGCTTGACTCTAAGATTTCAAACATAAAATAAATAACAAACCTAGTTTGTTAGAATTAGATGGAATTTGCAGGGGCCTCAGGCAGGCCGTGGTCACTTTGAAATATTTTGGGACATGGATGATGGAATCCGCCCAAAGGACTCCACGCGCACACATAATTCGTTTACATTAATTTTCATCGCTTTAAAAAAGTCATTTAGACCACCAATATTTAGAAAATATTTGACTCAAATTATTGGGGGAAAAGTGGTATACAGGACAAACAGGACTGTTTCAAAAATTAAGAAAATCAAAGATAACCGCCTGGCTACTGGTGGTCATTTTGAAAAGAACGATCTCAAAATACGTCCGGTTCAAAAAAGTCATCTTTAACGGCAATAAATAATAATTTCTTACCTTTTTAACGGAAAGGGTTTGGGCCTCTGGATAAAATCTTGGGGTCGGCCGAGGGCTAGGAAGTGCAGACTCGCTCATTTTGAGAAATAACGATAGAATCCGTGGTCATAACAAGAAAAGTGTGGAGTTGACAACAAAAACAGTAGCCAACAGGTCCCGGCTCTTGCCGTCTGCAGCCTTTCGCGGTTTTTTCCGGTCACATAAACCGCGCCCTCTCATTGGCGGATATTAATAGATCAAATTTTAAAATGAGTCATCCCTCTTAAATCTTGATTTAAATTTGTAAACATTAGTTTGTACAGAAATTGTATAATGTTTATAAATTAAGTTTTACTAATAATGTCTATTACATGAACTTATTACCCCAAATTTAATTGTTTTATTTCGCATCATATGTACCACGTGACCAGGTGTAGAACTGTTGCTTTATCTGTTTATAGCCATTATATTATGATCCATTGTCACTCATTACCACTTTTATTTTTACACTAATTAAATTTTAATGTGTTCACGAACTACATCGTGCTGGTAAATTTGATAGTTTTTCCTCATGTAATGCTTTCCCTCTTACTCCGAGCTCACTGGAATGTCAAAGCTTGCGTGTTCGTCAAAATTAGATACACACATGCCTCATCTGCTGGGCCAAGGTTGAATGAAGCTCTCCAGAGCACTCCAAACCCCAGTGGAGCGATGAAAGCTCCTCCCATCGTACGTTGTTCTCATTCCCACCTTCTTCCCCTGTTTCTATTGGGCGTTGAGGGAGCTGTGTTGTTGTCGAGCATCTTCGTTCGAAAGAACTCTTTATTATGACGAGTAAACTGAATTTGCCACTTTTCTGTTTGGCTATAGGAGTTCATTTGAAGGTCACTGAGATTCACCAAAACATGACATTCTTATTGATGATCCGTTTCTTGGGTTCATGACTTCTCTGTTATTGTGGCCCTGTCTGTTGCGGCATCTGTATGACTCACCGACAAGGCCGGATTTAGAATTACAAATTCACATAAATTATATTATATAATTCTGTAAAAGGCTCTTAGCTCAAAGTTCATACTTAAAATCGTATTTCTTGATTTTCAAAATTGTGTTTGTGAAAAACAAAAACAAAATTTTGGAAGCATTTGCAGATTATGGGTTGTAGCTTATTTAGCTTATGTGTAAATCCCACACTGCTCACGGGTATTTTATACCAGCTTCAGTCCACAGGAAACTACGTGTTTATCCAATAACGCCCACCGTCTGAGATGACGATGTACCCTGTAAACTATCATGAACACAGAAGCGTTGAACGGAATATTCCAGGTATGAGTACAATGGTAGCCTCAACAGCCCGCTTCCCCGTCGACTCAGAGCCCACACGCGGCAATCCCCTGCAAGAGCGGAAATTTTTTTTTTTTTTTTATGAACTAGGGCTTCCCTGTTTACTCGGCTTTTCAAATGGGTACCAGGGAAATTTCTCTGCAAGGGAAGCTTAGAAACCTTAAGCTCCCCCCCCCCCCCCTCCGCCAAGAAAACGGTTGAAGCTCTAAGCTCCCCCTCGCCTGCCCCCCCCCCCCCAAAAAAAAAAAAGTCATACATAAAAGGTCTTAGAAATGCAAATATACATAGGCTAGTTAACATTTTTGATGTACCGGGCCACCGAGAATGATTGCTGGGATTTCAAACTGCTATTATAAAAGAACACGATATGGCTCCAAGAAAAGCTACAGGAGGCTGTGGCGTCGAAAAATGTTTTAAAAAGTTTAAAACGTACCTTAGTAAGTATACTTGGATGCGAGGCCATTCGCATCTCTGGTGATGCCTACGCGTTATTCAATCTTCTGTGGCAACTTCAAGGCCAGATTACGAACCTGGGCGGGAAATAATTTTGAAAAATAAAACCAAGAAGACAGAGAAGTAGGGAGCATGCACATATATGCAAGCAGATGGAGGAGATTCAAGAAATCCTGAAGACCAGGCTAGAAAGTCAAAGTCAAAAGGCGAAAGAAGCTTTGATAGAAGATTTTAAATCCGAAATGACATAAATTACCAACCCCCTGTGTGGGTTCCGTGGCCCTACTATGGGGAAAACAAGAATAGACCCACTGCCTCCCCAAAAGCATGTCGTAAGAGTCGACTAATTGGGAGCTTCCTTCGAAGTCGAAGTGCATCTGCATGAGAGGCAAGAAATCAACAGTCTGCATACAGATCTGTCAAACAGATACACACGCAACACTCAGGTTCTGGAACAGGACTGCAGTTCAGAAATGGACGAACAAGCACAACTTTCCGCCAGAGTTCACAGCCGGTGAACGCAAAGAAGAAGAAGATAAATATTCAACGAGACTAAAGAAAGATATACAACATCGTGAAGATGGAACCTCCCAGACCGGACAGAAAAACAAAAGAAACAAACTCAAAAGCCAAAGCCAAAGCCAAGACCAGGTGAGAGAGGCAGAGCAGTTGCACCAAAGCAATTTGATTTGATTCAAGAACTGACATCACAGCACTCGGGGTATTCCCATAAGCACTCCGTCCCCATCTTCAGCAGCCAGCGAAGAATTCCGAGACTAATGGTGCCAGTAGCATTCTGATTAAACGCCCGTCTTGCCTTTCCTCTGAGCCTCGAGTATCTGCCAGAACCTCTCGTCACTCCCCCCCCCCCCTTTACATCAGTCTCACCAGACTGTAGTGATCCATCTGCTCCTCTGAACTGTACACGCTCTCCCACAAGGCACTAACCCCGTCTGCCCTATCATGCATCAGTATTCCACCAAGCTGTGCAGAGCCAGCCAGTTCGCTGCTTGATCATTTCCCAACACACCGGCGTGCCAAGGTGAAAAAATCCAAACAATACTCCTCACCCATATCCTCCGCAGCGAGGCACACCACTCTGCACGAAGCATGCCTGTCCTGATCTCCCTCTGCATACTTTCTGCGTCAGTCACAATGTGTGTGTGTGTGTGTGTGTGTGTGTGTGTGTGTGTGTGTGTGTGTGTCGTATTCTCTAGCCAGCGGAAAGCTGCAGTAACCGCCTCCACCTCCATTCTTAAGCTGAATGTTGTGGTAACATATGCTAGGCTCTCCTGCACCAAACGTCGACCATTAACTTTTGCTAAGAAACCCCAAGCACTTCTTTTGCCTCTTGACACTGGACCGTCTGTGTAAATGATCAAATCTTCTGAGCGAGCATTATCTTGAATTAATTGCTGAATTTCCACCTCTTTGGCACCTGCCGACCAGTCTCTGCATTCCCGGCTCAGTGTGATTATGACCCTACACAAGTCTGGCTGTTCAGGTAGCACTTTGACCCACTCCTCTCCTCGCCTAATGTTCTCAAGGATGCAAACCTGTCTGATAGTGTCTTCTGCCTAAGCCATCCATGACTTCCCTCTTATCAGCCGCTGACCTTTAACTGTACCCAGAGCTTCGAGCAAAGGGTGGTCTGTGTCTGCAGCTACCCTGAGATATGACTTCGCATGCAGCCCCTTGTGCCTACCTGCAACCGTCAGCAAACCAAGGATGTATCGCATACACACCACTGGGGTGTCTCTGGTGCAACCTAGACTGCCCCCTCATAGCTGCGTTCTGTATGCGCTCTAGTTTGTCCATCTGACTCTTTGAGACGGTAAGCAGTCCCAGGCCATAATCAACCACTGACAGGATCAGGTGCTGATATAGTGTGAAAAGCTTTCTTTGCTGTGTGTCAATTGCAGCCATAGTCTTAAGTACACTAAGTCCTGTTTGGCATCTCGTCACAACACTCTCCACATGGCCCTTAAAGGCAGGCTCCTGTCAAATGTAATTCCCAGATACCTCAGCTAGCTCTCTATGTTGATGTTTCTACCTTCTATCGTAAGGCTTGGGACATTAGCTTTAACGATCCTGTTATCCAGAGAACACCACAGAACATACCCCTTTCCCGGGTGGACGACAGCCCTCAGTTCTGTACACTACTCAGTCACTTTGTCTACTGTCGCTTGTAGCTCCCGGGCTGTTTGTTCCCTCTCTTCTCCCTGCCTATATGCAAGTATATCATCAGCAAAAGACAGTACCCTTCCAACTCCTGGGGCTTCTAGGCTTGCAATCTTGCTCGTATACTCGTAGCACAGGCGAGATGGCGGATAACTGTGGCAGTCCTGGGGCCAAACTGCATGGTTCTAAGATCCATGAGCCCAGTTGAAGAGCAACCCGACGTGAATACAATCCAATTCACCAGCCATGGACTGACCTCCTTCTCCTTCAGTGCAGTCATCAAGATGTCGTATCTTACTCTGTTATAAGCATTCTCGAGATCAAGTGCTACCGCCATAGTTTCCTGTCTGCTCTGAAACCCTTTATAAACGTCAAAAGCAAAAGTGGCAGCATTTGCCCATGTGTCCTTTTCTGGCCTGTAGCTTCCCAGACCTCTTGGGAGAAGCTTCCCCCTTTCCAAAAATTCTTCCAGCTGTACAGCAACTATCTTTCCCAGGACCTTTCCAAATATGTTTTGTAAGGTGATGATTCTAAAGCCACTGAGCTTTGAATGATCCTTAAAAGGTTTTGGTAGTGTGATTAGATAGCTGTGCACCCAGTCCTGCGGTACTGTTGCTGTCTTAATGCTCTGATTAAAACAGTCCCTGTTAGGTCCACATCGCTCAGATCCTTCATGTGGCCATACCTAACCCCATCAGGCCCTGGTGCAGTGTCTTTTGCCTTTTTCAACATTTGTTTGATATCTTCTACTCCTTCATGTCTTCACAGTGCAGATTCTTTAAGGTGCCAGCTAACTCCTCTCTAACTGCATCCCTGAAGACTACATCATTATGATCTGTCTGAGCTATAAACCTATGGAGAAAAGCCTCCCCTTTCTCTTTGCCTGTTGTTACCACCGTCTCAACAAATTGTTCCCACTGTCATAGGCCGATCTTTTCTTTGCATCTGCCTTTGCAGTTTCCAGAATTTCCCCAGTGTTTTATCGCCTCCCATATCATTCAGAAAAAGTTTCCCTTGCTCTTTTGGCCTGTGCAGCGCAGTGCTTGAAAACCTCCACCTTATCTTTTTTCACATTCTCCGCCATCTCCACTTCCTCTCGTGAGCTTGAGGGTGTCTGTCGTACT